CAGCTAACGCTGCAGACAGACACGTCCATGAGACGCGCAAGAAAGCGATCCGGACATTTTGTCTCGCAGATCATCGAATCATTGGAGGGCGTATGGCAGACAGAAAACGATAGACCCGCACAGTTGGCGCCTCACACACGACAAGAACAAGCTGGCGTAACAGAAGTAAAGGTGTCTGTTATTAATTCAAGGAATACACGTCCCTTTTTCACTCATATCTTAGAAAAGCTTAGCACGAACCATCTCGCAACTCGTCTATCCCCTGCCGTTCGTACTCTTGAGTGCACTGGGGCAGTTTATGTCTGCGAGGATATCAAACTGGTTGCCTTCACAAATTCTGTTTGCTGTCACCATTGAACAGGCGTCAGCTCAAATAATCGTATCTTCACAGCCAAGCATATAGCAGTCGTCCTCTGCTATGGCGATGCTAAGAAACCAAGAAAAAGGTAGGGAATTGAACACACCATGTAGTGCTGGGAGCCACTGTGAATTCCGTTTCATAGTCAGTTCGAATCGCAATTGTGGCATCGAATGAACGTATCGTCGAGAAGAAAGAAGGTAAGCACCGCCGGAAAGCTACCGGAGTAGAAGACTGCGGTCACATGCCATGCACGTGGATGCGGAAAAATTGGGCCGACCATACGTTCAAAAATGCACCGCCATCGGTACCCACGAAATCGACGCGAAAGAAGTGTCAGGGAATTTGCGAGTTGTCGCAATGTTAACACGATCCCGGCTTCGCACCGTTTCTGATTGCCTTCCAGATGTTTGGAGCAGATGACTTTTGGGTCGTGGAATACTGGTTCCGCATCTGACCATATGGCGACTCCCGGACCGATTGATCCACCAGCCTACCCTGTTTCCCATCCGAATCGCAAACAATCATCTTGATTGCTCACGCGATGGACCCAGCGATAGTCTCTGCCTTTCAAAGCGCCCCACGAGCGTATTTAGGAGACATGATCACACTTCCGAGGGATTACAGGATGCCTGATTTATCTTTGGTTCGGAGCCAAGCTGCTGAAGGTGGATTGCGTTATCTGATAACTGTGCATCTTGTTCTGACCTGTGACAATGAACAGTTATCCAACTCGCACGGGCTCCGACACCGCGTCAAGGCGAGACTATAGACTCTCTCCCACCGGGATTGTGGTACAGATACAAGCTTCCTCGGCTTTTTGAGTTCAGCTATTTCTGCTCTGTCGATGATAGTAAGTTTCGCTGCACTTCCATATATATATATATATATGCATCTTATTTGTACAGTCCCAGAAGACATTTTACCGCAGTGTATCTGGTCTCTCGAATGGTGGATTCGTGCCCTTCTAGAAGGGTCAGATGAGCAACTGAAGCCATTCACCAAATGCGTGGAGCGTAGGTGCGGAAAAGATACTCCTATACCAGCAGAGAAAGGACGGTACTATATTGGTGAATAGTTCCACTACAGAATGCAAATTTCTCCAAGTTTGATTATGGATTATGTAGCTTAAAATTTGTCGATCCAAGATTGCCGAATACCTTCTGTGAGTGTTTATTTAGCATAGCACTTCACCTCTGAATCAGGCTCTGATTACTTGGCAATGAAATTCTAGCCACCCGCAAATTAACCTACCACTGGAAGCTCTGTACCATGTTCGATGTTCTATGGAGACAGTCAAGGAGCACGGCGGAGAGTCCGATATCTTCCATACAAGCCCGTGCGTAACCGGAAACATAGCTGCGTCGCCTCCATATTGACTATTTTGCGAAAGAGGGCTATACATTTCGCACGCTATATGCCTCGCACGCGCCAGGATAGACGACGTTGAAGCAAAGACAGCTTTGTCGCGTATTATCCAGGATATAACATTCGACGCTGGCTCCGGAACTATTGCGCATCACGTCCATGCAAAGGTGTATCTTGCCCGCGTACTTCGGAGACTTGGGGAAGACGACGAAGCACAGGAACTGTATGTTGAGCGTTTGTTCTCTTGGTGATGTCATCTAATAAGTCTTTTAGGGAAGCATGGCTAGTTAGATGGTTCAAGAAGTATCCACATAAATTTAAAAACGACATTCTGGTGGGAATGTTCACTACCGACATTGATCCAGCCGTGGATCCGGTTTTCACGGGCCTTGGTGGATTTAAGTGGCTGGATCATAGGAAGGCGACTTTGAAAACGGTAATGCGTCATGCGAGGTACTGCCAAAACTGCGGTGCTCGTGAACCGCAAGTGAAATTGTTGAAATGCCTGCAATGCCAGCATACGCTGTACTGGTGAGTAGTAGCTCTCGTGCCCTTCCGGAATACGAAATCCTGAAATAATGGCTTCAAGTTCCAAAGAGTGCCAGAAAATGAACTGGCGCTACCACAAGTATGTCCTCTTTATGATACTTGTTTTATGAACGCGCTCACGCCGTCCTTGAATAATACAGGAAATACTGCAAGTGAATATATCAGCTCGATCTCTAGATATGATGTTAATGACATTTCAGAGATGCTACTGAACAGTCCAAGAGAATAGCAGAATTCGAGAAGATTGGTGCATCCGCGGCACAACAATACCGAGACTGGATGGATACCCGAGATAATATTATGCCTGGGATGATAGAGTGCTTCGCACACGCTCTAGGACTGGCACATGATGAATCACGAGGCCGGACACACATCGTACTTCAGGAAGTCGAATACGTCCCGTCCATGAAAAGTCGTCTCGACAGATTCAGAACCACCAGAGTCGGAGTTTTCAAACAAGAAGATGCTTGGAAAGACGTTGGGTCCATATTACGCCTAGATCCAGGCGAGGCGAAGATGCACATCCGCGATATGCTCGAGGCGTTTGATCAGAGACCTATGCAAGAGCAGGTCGGCAGCCAAACGCTCATTCCTATCTTTAATTTGGTGTTCTCGGCCAAGCGCAGCGATGGCCAGGCATATCTCAGAATGGGTGCGTTTTCTCTCTCTCTCTTAAAGGATCTCTTTGCAATGTTGCTTTCCAATTTTAGGTATGATTTCGCGAAAGGAGCTAGTATTGATGCAACGCAGAACGGACTGGAGACGGGATATCAACGTAGAAGGGGAACCTCCCACTCAGTTCAAGTTACGTGGCGGCAAGAATCCGGATGCAGAATTCATCTTTTGAAGGTGTGAGTCAAATTCTAATTGTCGGCTATACACAAGTGGTTAACGTTGATACGCAAAGTGTACAACATGAAGCCAAGGAAGAGGTAATAATACTGTTGGCGACTCGACTATGACACTGATGAGTATGTGTGTGCTCCCAGGTGCCGATGAGTACTAGTAAATGGTAGTCATTGTGGAAGTCGGAGGAAAGTTTCAAAAAAAATGTAATAGTACCACATCCTGTACTCTGTTGCTATTTAATGACAGATTCCGAAGACAATGTAGAAGAGGCGTAATCATAGGATCGTTGGATGGCTAGAACGTCATCTTAGTGAAGGACTTGCAAGCAGACAGGTCTACGAAATAAGCAGGAGAGCGAACTACAGTCTGAGGGGCCATGGAAGACGTATGCCAAACTTGAATTGATTGGCTTGTATGGCTGGACTCGTCGCATACAACAGACACAGACTAGAATAACGAAGAGAGGGAGAGGTGCCTATTAGTAATTCAAGAAATCCATGCCGCTTCCTCAATCATATTTCAGAAAAGCAAGCTCTCTACGAAGATACTTTGCCCTCAGATTGACAGGACTGATCATAGCCTCGAAATGTATTTCTTCCAACCAGCCCACCAACATTCGGACTGGATCCAGTACCGCGTGAAGCTTCTCCATCTCATTCCCACTACTGGCGGAATTCAAAATAACGCGTTTCTGCTCCAGCAGAGACTGCTCGAGGGAAGACATTTCAAGAACTGCTTCGTCCAGGAGACTGCGGAAGCCTTGGGGGCGATGAACAGTGACACTTCGTTGATACTCCCGATAGATGATGTCGGCGTGGCGTCGCGGTGAACCCAGTGTAAGTATCCCGAATCTTGCGGAGAGGCGAATAATCTGGTCCATTGCTTCAGTCAGCGTTGCAGAGCGCCTGTAAAGCATAGAACGCGTTTATAGATGTCACTTTTTGAGAGGGAAGGACGTACTGGGTGTGTGGCTGACCGCTGTTGACTTCAATTTCAATGGGGCGTGCCCCTTGTCGACCGTCCAGCGGTTCGAGACTAGGGGATTTGGTAAGAGCGTGACATCATAGAGAAAGAATTGAAAGAATTGACGTGCCTGCTTCCGTTTCTTTGGCCCTTCTTCTGTTTAGATGTCTCGTCGTCTTTGGTTGATCAAGTCGCGGTGCCTACACACAAAAGCATCAGTGGGGTGACAACACACGTAAAAACAACTGTACTTCGCATAGCTGCGACGACTACTAGCGTTATGCGCGGCTCGACGTTCTTCAGCAGTGTCCATTTGAGTGGGGGACAGTAAAGTCTTGCGTGACCGAGAGTCGCAATAAATACCCATGAAACGGTCAGACAAAATATTTACTTACTGTAAAAATTGGATTTTACTGGACGCGATGGAATTCAATTCAATGTCCATTATCTCTGATTGTGCGGCCCTTTTATGTAAAAGGCCGAACAGCGGATCACAATGCAAGCCACGACGTACAGTTCTCCGGCTGTGCTCTGACATAGCCTAGCTCTTCGCACGCCAGTGCTACTAGAGAACAACCAATAGGAATCCCTTCAACCACCTTAAAGCGAATACTAAACCATATTACGTCTGGAAGGACCGTTTTCGTGCCCAGCAGCCAGGAGGTCATTGAGCACCAGCACACGGCACGCCTGCCACTGGTTGGCAGGGCCAAGGGCCGAGTGTATGTGATTACTGCCAGAGACGTCGTTCACAGTCTCGAAATGTAGATGTGTTCCTTGTGTTCCACTGAAAGTCACAAACACGAGGAAAGAAAGCAAAGCAAAGACAGTCGCACAGATAAACAGTAAAGGGCACAAAGAGAGGGTATCGGGAGAGCAGGCTCGAGAAGTAAGAGAGTGAAAGATAGTGATATGTTTGTCAAAGCATTCAGTGTACCGCAGCTACACAGTGATCATGCTTCTTCATTCAGACTGCCCAGTGCTGCTCTTTGAGGACCCTCGATTTAGGTGTGCACTGACATTCCTCGAACGGGATTCCGGAAAAGGTGACAGTGTTGGACAGTGTCGGAGCGAGAGCCGCATGCCGAGGCCACGTGGCATTTAGGGCAGGCTTGGGGGCTTCACCTGTTCAGCTCTAACTTCTCCGTCACGGTAGCAATGCGTACGAATATTGTGTTCTCGCCCAAACTCTGACTGTAAGTAAGTGCAAAAAAAGGGACTACAAGTAACACCGAATTCCTGTTTGGTTATTTTTAGGGCAACCGTTAATAATCAAATTCTCGTCAGAGTCAACGTGATGGAAATGTCGGCGGGTTTATGCCTTAGTACAATGCCAACATAGTCCCAGCTTCGCAGCCCGAAGGGATTGCCTTTCAGTCATTTGGACCGGACGGCTTTTGGACTGATGTGGGATACTGGTTCTACTACCATCTGACCTCATCCCGAACCCCAAGTGAAATTGTCGAAATGCTTGCAGTGCCAGCGTACATTTTACTGGTCAGTGATAGCTCTCGTTCCCTTCCTGGTTACTCAATGCTGAAATAATCGATTCAAGTTCCAAAGAATGCCAGAAAATGAATTGGCCCTACCACAAGAATATCTTCCATCGCACTTACTTTGTGAAGGTGCTCATAGAAACTTTGAATCATACAGGAAATACTGCAGATGAACATGTCGGCTCGATCATTAGATATCCTGTTATTGACGATTTCAGAGATGCTGCTGTACATGTCAAGAGAATGGCAGAACTTGAGAAGATCAGTGCTCCCACCGCCCAGCTACTCCGAGACTGGACAGGTTACAAAGACGAATACTAGGCCGGATACGACAGAGTGTTTGGTGCCGGCTCTTGGACTAGTGCGCGATACCTCACGAGGCCGAACACACATCATATATCAGGAAGTCGAGCACGTCCCGTCCGCAAAGAATCCGCTCGACAAGTTCAGGTCCACAAGAATCGGAGTTTTCAAGCAAGAAGATGTCTGGAAAGACCTTGAATCCCGATTGGGTCCAGATTCTGGCGATGCGAAGATGCATATCCGTGAGATGCTCAAGGAGTTCGATACTGGACCTGGGAAAGAGCGGGTCGGCCGCAAAGCGCACGTTCCCATCTTTAATCTGATGTTCTCGTCCAAAAACAAAGTCGACGTATATCTTAGGATGTGTGTGTTGTTTCTCTCTCTTGACAGATCTCTTGCAATGTTGCTTCCCAATTTTAGGTGAAATTACGCAAAGGGATTTAGTGCTCATACGACCCAAACCGGACTGGAGGCGGTTTGTGAATGTGAAAGGAGAACCTTCTATTCACATCCAGTTATGCGACGGCAAGATTCCGGATGCAGAATTTATCTTTTGAAGGTATGGACCAAATCATACATATGAACTATTATCTTAGTGAAGGACCTGCAGCAGACGGGCCTAGGAAATGCGCAGGAAAGCGAACTAGCCTGTCTTATGGACCGTGGTCGGAAGGCATATGGCAAATTGAAATCGATTGACCCGTACGGTTGGACGCGTCGCATACGACAGATCGGACAGATTAGAGTAACGGAGAAAGGGAAAGTGTCTGTTAGTGATTCAAGAAATACACGCCCCTTCCTCATTCATATTTCAGAAAAGCAAGCTCTCTACGAAGATATTTCCCCCTCAAATTGGCAGGACTGATCATCGCGGTGAAAAGTATTTCTTCCAACCAGCCCGCCAACATTCGAACTGGATCCAATACCACACGAAGCCTCCCCATCTCGTTCCCGGTACCGGCGGAATTCAAAATAATGTGTTCTTGCTCCAGCAGGGACTGCTCGAGAAAAGATACCTGCAGAACCGCATTTACCAGGAGACTGAGATAGCCTTCGGGGCGATCTAAAGTGATACTTCGCTGATACTCCTGATAGAGGGTGTCAGCGTAGCGTTCCGACGAGCCCAGCGTAAGTATCGTGAAGCTTGAGGAGATGCGAATAATGTGGTCCATCGCTTCAGTCAGTGGTGCACAGCGCCTGTAAAACATACAATGTGTTCATAGAGGACACTCCTGAGAAGGAAAAAACATACTGGGCGTGCGGGTAAGCGCTATTCAAATCAGTCTCAATGACCGGGTGTGCTCCTTGCTGATCGTCCAACGGCTTGAGACTAGGAATTTGGTAAGAAGAGACACCTTAGAGGATGTAACTTGACGTACCTCTTCCCATTTCTTTTATCCTTCTTCTGTCTATAAGCGTCCCGTCGTTTTTGGTTGATCAAGTCGCGGTGTCTATACAAACAAGGGCGTCAGCGGGGTGACAATATACACAAGAGCATTATACTTCATGTAGCTGCGACGACTGCTAGCATTATGTGCGGCTCGACGCTCCTCACTAGTATCCATTTGAGTGGGAGAAAGAATGCTCTTGCCTGGGGAAAATAGCCGCAATAAATACTCCTGGAACGAGTAGGGGAATGCACACGTTCTCGTATCCCGAGTCTTGGGATACGACAATGCACACATTGCACTTTTGTCCGGCTATAAAAGGGCAAACAATTAACAGACTGAGACCTTGCACGGAGGCTGTATCGTCCAAACTCTGCAAAGTGTCCCTGTAATTACAGTGCGATCCGGTATGCAGACCAACCTCGAGTATGCAGAGCGCAGTGTGTAACCTTTCCACTCTGTAGACTCCGGGCCCCCTAAACTGCGCTGCAGTATGCAGAGTACATGTCATTGAGGTATACAGACTGTAACTACCCTGTAGAGCCAGGAAACTCTGCAGACCGACTTGCACTGCAACCACAGGAGATTCTGTATAGTATGAACAAGATGGTTACGCCTTCGCTGGTTGACCTAGCTCTGCGCATGTCGGCACCTCCAGAGCATACCGGTAATTTCTCCGACCGTACGATATCTCGAAACTCTTTGCAGAATCTCGCCGCCCGCTGATCGTACTATCCTCGACGGTCCCGGCGTCGAGCTTTACTGAAGATCACGACGCGTCGTAGCAAAGAAAACAAAGACTGGGGGAAAGGTAGCAAAGGCAGCTGCATAGGTTTGAGGACGCGACAACGACAGCGCCGTTGGGTAAAAGTAGCGCGAACAGGCTTTTGTTTGTCGAAGTCGTGCAATACAACTTTAGGACTTTCTCATTTCCCGCGCTCCCTCTCTGTCTAAACCATCTTTGCGGGAGGTAATTAGTATTCAAGATTTGTGCAAACCAAAATCAGACTGAAGACAAGACGTGAACTTCAGCTGCATTTGAATGTATCAATTGAATATTGCATGAGTTATTAACTCTGCTATGCTAGCGGAATTACATGATTCTAATGATGGTATGTATGTATGTAGTATGTATGTGCGATGCTGTTGAGTAATAATTTACAAATGGTATTTCTCGTGCAATTCGGCGAGTTTCGAAAAGATGTAGCCAGGACCACATCTTGTACATCCGTGTCTCGCGTGCCCAAGTCGTACCGCGGTTATGCAGTGATGCAGGTTTTTCCACGGGTTGATGTTTCATTATACGGCCTTTGGCTGGCTGGCTTGTTGTCGAGTCAACATTCTCCTAGCGTTCCACTGGAAAAGTGGGAGGGTGAAGAGCGAGACGATTGTCCATGCGAGAAGAACTCCAAAGTGGAGACCGACTAAGCAAACGGTCAGCATAAGCAACATGACAAAGAGGAGTCCACATACGTTGATTCTTTGTACCAAATAGAACCGTCCGGACTGCGCCCGATACATTGTAGAAGGGGAACGCATAGCCGTAACGGTAGAAGTGTGGCAGAACTTCGATAGGCATGAAACACACCGCGACGTTGGCTGAAGAAGGTATCGGTCAGTTATTGAACAGGAGACAGAAACACAAACATACTGATGATCCAAGTAATCATGAAGAACGGCATAAACTTTGGCGTCAAGAGCGTGATCATAGCCTCAAGTGCGAGCCCCACGGAGAGCATGCCAACAAAGTTGAGCATCCAGAAGATCACGAAACCGGCAGCGCCGAACTTTCTGTCAAAGTCGACCTGGAACGCGCGGCTGAGGGTAGAGTAGAAGAGGGAGATGACAAAGTAGAGGGCAAAGGTCGAGGCCAAGCGGACTTTGATAAGTGATTTGGTGGTGAGCTTCATCTCGACTCCGGAGGTCATACGAGCGCCTGAACCGATGAGCTGAGATTAAAAGTCAGAACAGTGATCTTGAACGCAAAGACTTGGACTTACGACGATGAAGTAGCACAAAACCAGTAGGTAGATGAGACCAACAAAGGTGATAGCACTTGCGCTAAGGAAACAGTCAGAAAGTGACCTGTATGCGGCAGAAGGGAAACTTACACAGGAACGTCGAATGGCCGCAGATTGTCGATGGCGTAGCTGATAGGCTGAGTGATTATTTGTGGAGCAGACTGGAGGATCGACGCGATAGACGAAGATGAGGAGTTGGCCAGTTGCGTGGCGAAAGTCTGGGCAAAGTTCTGCGAGATTGTTGCCATGGTGGTCATGATGTAGGGACGGAGAAGTGAACGGCTGTACAACGTGAGCAAAAGAAGTGACCAAGATGAAGGGACACTCACAATGCATTCTCGTTTCTAGCTTCTACAGCATAGACTGTAAGTGCCTGTGTGCCATTATATGACGAATCGATCGACGAAGCAGCCGAGGTGAGGGTGGAGGTAGCGTTGGCGTGAACTATCATGGTACAATGTTAAGACCAAGATCGAAGAGGAGTGGCTGGGTACGTACTGACGACAGCCACCCAAGCCTTTTGCTCTACGATCCAGTGACCCACTTCATCTAGGCCCGAGAAATCTGAGGCGGGCATTTGCTTCCAGGCAACCCTTGACGAAGACGATGTATCAGAAAGAAGTGCACTGGTAACGGCACTGCCGACAGTAGACCCGTCGAAAGTCCTGCAAGCCAACGGTGAGACACGACGAGGTCGAAAACGGGGACCAACTTACGACGACCCATCCAGGTAGTTTGTGATCAGGAACCTTCCACAGCGCGCCCCAATATATCGAGAAGACGGTGAATATGACGATGATCATGGACAGACATCCTACAACCAAGCTCTTGATGTAAGCTTTCCTCTGCACTGCTACCTCCTTATCGGTGAACTCGTTCGAGAAAAGTATAGGAGCCACAGGCTTTTCGTCTTGGACGGTAACGATGCTGGCGGTGTCGGACATCTTTGGAATGAGTGGGGAGAAAGTGACGAAAACTGACGCATTCTCCACATCACTTAAGTATCCCTCAGCTTAGCCGATTCGGACAAAGGAGACTGACCTACCGTCGGTAAGAGCGATAATTGGTTGACAACCCGATTCGAAGCCGAGTCGGAGTAGTCATCCAACAATGGAAATTCTGACAAAGAGATTTGCCGAATAGCCGAGAAAGGGTAATCGGTGATTTTTCATTATATTACCAGGCGAGTAAGCCCTGAAAATGCGAAATGATGACGACGTTGATGAGCAATGTAATATACCAGGTATTTCCTCTGCCGAGGCCAAGGAATATTTTCCTGGACTTTTGCAAATTGAAATTGCAGTGGTCCGTGCATCGATAGCGTCAACGAGGCAGACAAAGACGCCGAGATGCGGAGATGATGCCATGAACAGCTATTGCAGCAGTTTTTAGCGCTAATCACAGATTCTGTCGCCGACTCGGAGGAAGGAACCTCGAAATCACCCTCGGGGGTGATCGTTCCTGCTGTCCGTGAAAGGGCAATCGTCATTCCACATCTCTGTCAGTTTCAAAGCTGAGCAAGAACTGAGCTGCCCGGTTATACTTGATTGCTCCTCTGCTATGGATCTCACTCGGTGAGCCGCCAACCCGAACTCGTTGGAGGAAAGTGGCAAGGAACAGGAGACAAGGAAAGCGCCCGACAGGGACGTCCGATGGGACGAGAGCGTACGAATTGGCTGCACATTCGGGAGTTAGCTGTCTGGTATCCAGACAGCACGCGCGTCATGAGGTGGTCGACCCGAGGTTGTTGTATCTTTTTCAGTCGTAAAGATGAAGCCGGGGATGCCGAAGTCTGCGGGCAGAGAGTCGCAACTGCTGACGTGGACCGTCTTTGGGGAGGTACATTGGCTGGAGATTCGCCCTTTACAGAAAGGGTAACGTAACGGGGTGCGGCAGGATCTGATATGGCGAACAGCGCTGATCGATGACACAGATGTCGTTAAGAGGGGTGTTTTCTCAACTCAGGCGCTCAAAGGCTGCGCTGTCCGAATGCGACCTTCCCGTTACTCCGAATCAGTGGCTTCGCCTAGATTACAGCAGATGATCGATATGGAGCACCATTCGGAACTATGGAAACTGTTTGTTTCAGTAGCCATTTCATCAATCAAGGACCATACCTCTATCTTCTGCGACGGCTGCCGACCGCCATACGTTACTGTCGAGTTAAAGAGAGCTCCCTTTGAAAGGAGCATCTTGAGCACCACAGATATATGCTTTCAATTCCTTTTCGTTTCAACGCAGCCACAAAGCAGCGATCCAGGATGAGAACGCAATTCCTCGTTCAGCTTGAGGAACGATGAATGATAGAGATCTGTGGCAGAATGAGTGAGTGTCACGTATATTTATACCCTCAGAAATCCGAGCTCACCGGTAAGGGCAAAGGCTTCACGGAATTCTGCTTCTTCATCCTCCGAACTCCAATACCGAAGAACCTCAAGAGCCGCGCAGCCTTCAACCCTAACATTCATCGCTCATATCAGCGCCACGTAGTCCTCGTACATCTCCGATTCTCGCAATAGGCGTGCTCGAGTGCCATTATGGAACATTTGAAGGGTAGTCGGTACAGATGATCATGATGGAAAGTTTTGAGCGGTGATTTCCGTTTTCGGTACGGATCACGTGATATACCTAAATTGAAATCTGGATTTCCTGGTTCTTTGCTGGCCACCACCATCGCCGCCGCCACCCGAATGCTCATGAAGCAGTTGCAAGTACCCAAGCGCTCGGTAATGCCGGTTGAGCAATAAAAATGGGTGACCAATCTTACAAACGCGACGCGGCTTACTGACGAACCGCCTTAGACAATTGTTGGACATTAACGTTATTGAGGCAAACGTAAATTTATGTTAACCTAATACTCCTGTGAAAGTCAAAATCTTGCTCAGTATGTTATCCTGTTTACACAGATGAACCTTGCACTGAACTTATCTAGGTTCCATAGTTATACAGCAGAAAAGCACACGTTTCGATTACCCACGCGCGCCTTTGCCTATTCGCTTTTGAAGTCGTACCACATAGAAGAACCTTCTGAGTGGCGGTGGCTGCATACCACGATGCAAGAACATATTCTGCCTAGCCCAATATCATATTAATGGGTCCCGCCATCTTCATTCTCCAATCCCCTAGCTTAGCGTATCCGTAGTGTCACCAAAATGGCAGGTCCACATACTTTCTGTCCAAAGTGAAATGGATCGTTCTCCTTGTGGTGTTTCACATATTCGCCAATGTCACTCGACGTCACTATGAACGGAAGAGGATTGAATTCGATAGCAAGTCACGCGTACCCGGTCTTCCTTCTTTGTAGCTGTTTACTTTGCTATATAAAAGTCAGAAGGTAATAGGATTCCAAGAAGCGTCGATCATGGCCGTCAACTATCTACCACCAGGACCTGTCTGCCTATTCTACGCCATTCTTCCCATCGCCATTCCATGCGCCGCTTTTTGCATTCTTCAGAATGCATTTGGTCTCAGTCTTCCGTTATGGCAATCCTTGGCCGTTCCTCTGTTCTTACATCTCCTCTTTGGCCTATCTCGCAGCTGGTTCAAGAACCTTGCCATTCGCAGGGAGGCCGCTGCACAGGGTGCTCTCATCGTGCCGAGCCTTCAGGAAAGCAGTATCTCAATCATGCGACGTATCGTGCATAGTGTCAAGGATGGATACCCGGGTATGTGATAATTTACGCTCTGGAGAGCGTTGTTTGTTAACGTAGATGTTATCAGATGAAGCATTTCATGAGTGGAGTGAGAAATACGGAAGCACCTTCTCTTTCACCGTGTTTTCTGATACACGTGTAAGTAATCTGACATTCGGTCGGTTGTACTCCGTTTTGATGACGGGATGTTACACAAGGTCATTACAATCGAGCCAGAGCATGTCAAGGTATGTGTTGACACATGTCAGGGTTTATACCTTATCCTCACTCTCACCTGTAGGCTATCCTGTCGACTCAGTTCCCAAAATTTGAGAAAGGTCCGGCGACCACTAACCCATTGTCAAGTTTTTAATGAAATTTATTAAAGGTTCCTTTTCCTTCACCGCTACACAGTCTCTGCTTGGCGAAGGCATTTTCAATGTAGACGGTAAGAAGCTTACGGGATATATGAAGTCATTCATTAATTCACGATAGGTGATATGTGGAAGTGAGCCTAGCGCCGGCACTCTGCACATAATACCTTCTGATCCTGACCTCATGTCAGGTTTCATCGGACAATGACAAGACCTCTCTTCAACAAAAATCGAATTTCAGATTTCGACAACTTCGAGAGACATGCTGTCAGCACGATAGCTCTGATCAAAGCCAGACTGAGAGAGGGTTATCCGGTCGATTTTCAGGTCAGCTTGCCCTTTACGATTACTTGCAGCCATCATCTCATGACGAAACCTAGGATGTTGTCGCTCGCTTCACTCTGGACTCCGCCACCGACTACCTGTTTGGAAAAGACGTTAATTCGATATCCGCAGGTCTTCCTTACCCAGCTGGATCTGGCAATGGTCGCTTCATTGATCACCCATCAAATGCTTTTGTGAAGGCGTTTGCGAAGGCACGGGAACAGATTGTGGTTCGCTTCCACAGAGGGCCGTTCTGGCCACTTTGTGAATTCTGGGCAGATGAAGTAAAGCCACTGAGACAGGTCGTCAATGATTTCATCCAGCCGACGCTCGTCGAAGCACTCGATAGGAAGGCCAAAGGTGTCAAGCTTGGTAAGGATTTCGAGAGCATGTCTCTATTAGACTGCCTTGTGGAAAGCACCGATGGTAATTGTGTCTGCCTCGGGTTGATGTGCGGTTCAGCCAAAAATATCCACAGATATGAAGCTCATTCGAGATGAACTTGTTAATATCTTGGCAGCTGGTAGAGATTCGGTTAGTCTCTCGAAGTTTTTTTTCCATTCCAAGGAAACTCAATTATTAGTTAGATCGCATGTCTGCTAACTTTCGCTGTGTATATGATGTGTGAACATCCAGACATGGCTGTTCGCTTACGATCGGAGATTCTAGAAAAAGTTGGTACTCAGAGACCTTGCGAGGACATCCGTGGAATGCAATACTTACGGGCATTTCTCGATGGTACGACATTTGAATGGTTCGTCATATTGTGCTGACTTCTTTCGTTTTAGAGACCTTACGGCTGTATCCACCGGTGTACGTGAACTTGCTTCCTCCAGCATAAGCAACTAAACCCGTCGGCGTTCAGCCCAGTAAACGCTCGGTATGGCGTTCTTTCCGGGTACGTGTTAACAAGACTCATCCACACCTAGTTCGTCGAAGGTTGCAACCACCATTCCTAATCAAGGGCGTGCACCGTACTATGTTCCAAAGGACACAGGGTTAATGCTTCGTTCCAATTACCTTGACATCACTAGTAAACGCTTACTCCAGGGTAATAAATTCTGTTTTCTTGATGCATCGCCGAACGGACTTGTGGGGACCGGACGGTAGGTGAAAATGCTGTTGTCGTTTTTGCCAACTCTGACCCTTCCCCTAGCTCTTGAGTTTGACCCTGACCGATTTCTTGATGGCCGCCTGCACAAGTATCTAACACCTAATCCGTACATATTTGTTCCCTTCGGCGCAGGCCAGAGGACCTGCCTTGGTCAACAGGTAAGGATGAACGTTTCTCAGGCCGCGTTCAAGGAGCACTCAAGTCTTCATGCTAGTTTGCCTACAATGAAGCATCATACTACCTCATTCGACTACTGCAAAAATTTTCTTCTTTCAGTCTAGCCTTAGACGTTCAGCCTGCTGAGGGTATCCCGCCAAAGACTTGGACCAGAGCTCCGGGGACGACCAAAGGTAGGGATAAAATCATGCTCGGGACGCATGTGTTGCTGTATGCCAAGGTATGATTCAATGTTAGAATGCGGTCTTGAGTTGACCTTGTAGCCTAGGGTGGTCTGTGGGTTAGGATGGAAGAAGCGAAGGACGAGACTACGATGTAACTACTACCGACTGAATGTCTCTGTTCTGTACGATAAGTTTATGCACGAATGTCTCAGATTCGGGAAAACGTTTGTGCAAAGAATTGGTTTGGATGATGAAATCGTCCGGAAGCGATACAATATGACCGAAGACGAGGCATGAACGTGAGCTGTCCCAGTACATAATTTCTGACTTATGATTTTTGGCCAGAAAAGTACGACATAACCGGAGCAAAAGCGAGCCAGCACTTCAAATTAAGTAGTTACAGACCTCATGGGCTAGTAGATAATGCCGCTATGACTACTATTTCTTCTCACAATGAGCAATCGAGGTCGGTAAAGTAGTTTACTTCTAGTATTTACCTGAGGCGACATTGTGACGTAGGTTAGATTATATTTTTTTGTTTCTTGAAATTTGGAAATTATAGACCGAACGATATATAGTGATTACGCGGATTTATTTTTAAATTCTACGAGCTAAAATTCAAGAACGTCAATAACTTTCAAAGGGATAAAGGGAAACGGGTCTCATTCAATGGTCACGTGGTGGTGTATGCAAAGTCGGCCCGGGACCTCGGGACTCAGTCTGCAACCACTTACAACTTGATGCCAGACCCAACATTGGCAGCAATCTTGACAGTTGGATCCCTTTCATGGTGTCTGTGATATATTTGGTGTTTAGAAGGTACATCTCTCACCTCTAGGTCCTTAAGGACTAGCCATCTGAAGAACTGCCAATCTAGGGAATCAATGCGTCGGGAGTGATTTCTACAACCGCCAGCCTTGAGTAACTACAGAATACAACTTCCTGCGTATGCGCAGTGGTATCTATACTTTTTATTTGCTTATTCATATCTTATCTTATTGATGCGTGTAGATACATGTCGTGGAGATGGCGCCATCTGACCTCAACTTCACAATTATTGTCTCCTTCCACTAATAACAGGCGGAATTCGAGTTGATTCGAGCGAGGAGATGAAACAAGGCGAACCACAAGCGTTGCAAGCACATTTATTCCTCGCATAAACCTGTATCATGATGTGTCTGAGTGCGCTTCACTTTGTTTGAGGCGGAATCTGGGAAGCAGACTTTCGTTATCTCTGATTCAAATTTGGCTTCGAACCCGGGATCTCTTTGAAGAGCCCGGAAACAGCCTCGCACCATCTTCGAAGTCTACCACCACGACCAGCATGCCAGTTCAAGCCGACGTTCCGCCCTACTCGCCTCCGCCTGTTACGCAGGAAGAATGTACGTCTTTCGATCTTCTGGATAGCAATGACACCCCAATCAAATACTTTCTGCCAGTGGAATACGCTGATCTGCCAGTCATCGACCTGGAGTCTAAGGAAGACCAGGTGGAGAAACTGCGTGAAGCCTTGATAACGCACGGGTTTTTCTACGTCGTTGGACATGGATTCTCCCCTTCAGAGGTTAGTCTCAACCTCAAATACATACCATCCATTCAGCTCATATTGCGTACTACGTGCAGAAGCAGAGAATCTTCAGTATCGCTGACGTTGCTTTTACTGGCGTCAGCGACGAGGAAAAGCGTCAATACGAAGGATCCATGGAGAAGACAGGTTCCTTCCAGGGATACAAACTTCGTCAATACTGGGTGAATCGCCATTTAATTAGACATTTATTCAATCCTTATCTCTCTGCAGCACATTGATAACGGTGTACGGGACCAAGTAGAGATTTACAACAGTGAGTCTGGTCGGCCGAATTCTTGTCGACTTTAATTTCCAGTCGTTACTCAGTGAATCGTGATTTGACAAAGCGGCGGCATCCTGAGGCCTTACGTCCATACCTTCCTGAGATCGAGGCATTTGGGAAACACAATCACTTCAACGTTCTGCACCCCATTCTGCGGTTCGAAGATTTTAATTCGTCTAACTGCTCATGTTATTGACCTGATTACAGGCTTTTCGCACGGAGCCTAGGTCTCCCAGAAAACGCTCTTGTGGATATCCATAATTACCCCGCGGTCGGAGAAACTTATGGTAAGAACGCTTCCTTTTTACATACACCACAATCATTTATGTTTGTGATCCAGTTAGGTTCATGAAATAGTTAGGCCTTCCTTGGTAATTTAACTTCCAAGCTTACTGACATGTAATCCGCGCAAGTTATCCACGACCTGCTGAAGACGAAGAGAAGGTGAACAATGTCTGGCTGAAGGGACATACTGGTGCGTTCAACCTCACATTCACTAGAATGCAAGCGATGTGAGACGTTAATAGATTTTGGTACGATGACCATCCTATACAGCCAGCCTGTGTCGGCGTTGCAGATCCTTACTCGAGATGGACAATGGAAATGGGTCCGACATGTTGACGACGCGCTTGTACCTCTCTTTTATCTCCCAACTCTGGTTTTGACAAAACTGATGCCCTCTAAAGGTCATCAACGCAGGAGACATGCTTGAGTTCTTCTCTGGCGGGCTGTATCGCGCGACGATACATCGGTACGTACAAACCGTGAATTGGGCGTCACTTATTGACTGGTCAGTAAGGGTCGTCCAACCACCCAAGGATCAGCGACAATACACTCGTCTAGGTGTGTTCTATTTCTGCAAGCCGGACGACAGTACGAAGCTCCTGCCTTTGGTTGATAATCCGATTAATCCCCAATTTAACGAATCGAACGTGCCTACCGTGGAGGAGTGGCGAAAGCAAAGAACGGCATCATACGGGCGGACCGCTTTAAAGAAAGCCGAGGAGAATGGGGTCGAGGAAGAGATTATCAGTGGTGTCGTAGTTAAACATTACAGCTGATGCTATGGGATATTGGCAGCTACAATCAGCCTAGTGTTTACGTAGTTCGGTTTTAATCTCATATTCTGTAAATGCAAAAAACCACCGCTCCAAGAGCAGTACGCCTAAATGTGATGGAAACTGTTTCTCACTATAAAAGGTCGGGATGTTGAAAGAATTGAAGACGTATAGCTAAATTATACAACTGTTGTTACGCCTCAGATTAATTGTAATGCTTGACCACAACACCGTTAATAACTTCTTCCTCGATTCTCTCCTCTCCTTCCGCCGTCTTGAGTTGGCTATTCCCGTATGCTGCTGTCCTTCCCTTGCGCCATTCTTCCATCGTGGGAGCGTCCGCATCCACGAATCGACGGACTTTGGGAGCAACTAACGGGAGGAGCTTCACATTGTCGTCTGGCATGGAAAAATAGAATACTCCAAGACGGGTGTATCCCCGTTGGTCTTTGGGAGGTTGGAAGACACTACACGACGAGTCAGACAAGGAATCTCTCGGTAAGAATAAAGATATACCGATGAATTGTCGCACGATATGCCCCTCCCGACAAGAACTCGAGAGCGTCGCCAGCATTTATCACCTGTTTTTCATCAGCGACGAAAAATTAGCTTCAAGGGTAGACATGCCAACGCGTTCTCCAAGTGTTTAACCCACTTCCATTCCCCCGAGGATGTGAGCATCTGTAACGCCGCCACGGGCTGGCTGTACAGGATGGTGATCGAACCGATATCTAAAAAAGTATCAGTTGCAATCAGTTGAAGTTCGGCACTGGGCGAACCAGTATGTCCCTTGGTCCAGACACCATTCGTCTTTTCCTCATCCCCGGCAGAGTGGGGATAACTAAAAACAAATCAGTGTATGAGGGAAGGGGTATAGGAGGGAAGTTATTGAACTATTTCATGAACCGTACTGGGGAATGAAGAGATCGTCGGCAAACGGGATGAACGCGGGACAAACGCCTCACCATAACTCTCCCCCACAGAGGAATACCCGTGTAAATTTACAAGTGCATCTTCTGGAAGGCCCAGACCCAATGCAAGAAGCCTTAGTTGGCAAGTAAGTCAGACACCAAATGAAGAGAGAAAAGGATGCGGAACCGTAAAATGGGATGAAGAACGTTAAGATGATTGTGTCGTGCAAATGCTTCGATTTCGGCGAGATGAGGACGTGTGGCTTCGGGATGCTGTCGTTTCGTGGTATCTCGATTTACTGGAATACCTAGAGTAAGCCGACAGAAATATATAGACATAGAAACTCACTGCTGTAGATCTCAACTTCATCTCGTACCCCGTTATCAATGTGCTTCCAAGGTTCTAATTTAAAAAGCAAGACGTGAGTGCTGATTCACCTACCCAAAACTTCCGAAGTTTGTATCCTTGGTAGGATCCGGTCTGCTGTATCTTCCCTTCGTACTGCCGTTTTTCGTCGTCGCTAACACTGGCAAATGGAATGTCAGCAATATCAAAGATTCGCTGATTCTGATGAGTACACGTTTCAATAAGCAAGACGATTAGTCTGGAAGGATGAACATACATCAATAGGCGATAGTCCGTGCCCAACGATGTAAAAGAATCCATGGGTTTCCATGGCCTCGCGTACTTCATCTGGACGCGGCGACTTGGATAGATCAATGATCGGGAGGTCGGCATAGTCCACTACGAGAGATAAGTGAGATTCAACTGGTATGATATGCACATACACGGCTCCTTGGTAGTCTGTGGCGGGGAATAATGGTTGATTGTCATGGTGGGAGATAAGAACATCTGTGTTGCGAGAATGGCGCGATAAGCCCTCGTGAAAGAGAAGCTGAGAATTTCAGGATTCTCAGATTTGTGAAGATCCGGTCCTCTTTAATTCTCTCCTACAATATCATTGGATCCGTCCAAGCCCGTTATTTAGTGCAGCGGAGACTTCATATTGTTTACACTCCCGACGTTACTTATAACTTGATGGCACCCGACATTAAACATCTAAAAATTAAATGCAAAAATTGAGGTAGATCAGGCAGATATGACGGTCGAGTACTGAGTCATGAGATACTGCTATAAACAGCGGCCCGGATTGGGCCCGGAAGCGAGAGTCGGAAAGTGTTACAGTGTTACAGTTAAAGAACCGCCAACGCTATCTAAAGCTAAGAGTAAACTCCCGACGGGCCGAATTAGCAACTAAGAGTAACTAAGAGAGTAGGTATGAGTAGAAGAAAAGGGTTAAAAACAAATTGCATGAAATCCAGCGAGTCCGTCATCAACCAAGGGATCCGGATTCCTACCCAAAACAGCAATCCCACGTGGTAAAAAGCGCACGGGCCATCAACAAGCTAAGTGCTGGGGCGGGAACGGCGCAGACAGCGAGCGCAGGCAAGGCAGCCTGAAATGCCTCAGCAGAAGCATCGGAAACGCGATTGGCCAGTGAAGGACCAGGCGGAAGAGGAGAGAGTATGGGATTTATGGTTGGATGCAAACCGTTGGCTGTGGATGTCGTTGGGTTACCGCATGTCGATGTCGATACAAATTTGTAGGGATCATGACGGTGAAGTGGAATAGATGGAGAGTTTCGCGTAGTCTCCAGAGGATGAAAGTACAATTGGCATGAAGATGAGCCAGCAGATGAAAGTGAATGGTAGAAGGTGAAAATTTGTTGGGGTTGTGGTTGTTGTTATGCATGACCCATGGACTATCGACAACTACGATAGGGTCGCAAAGCCTCGTAGTGCCGGAGCAACAGTGAATTTGGACCGGGGCGGGTCGATGATGATGGTTGTTGTTGTTGTTGTTGTTATTAGTCGCTTGTTGGCACGCATCGCTCACACCTGGCACACGTCATGCATTCGTCTGTCTGGCAGAATTTGGGCGGAGTATAAGCGAAGGGTACGTCCGGCTCCATTGAAAAAGAATAACAACACCGTAGCCATCGACTTACCGTCCTTTTTGTCCCCTATCTTATCGTCTTGACCGTTCCCCTTGATACGCGTACCTTTACTTGCAATGAGCTACCGAGGTAGATTAGTTTGCGCTTATTTACCTGAGCTGTATCAGCAGAGGTGGCCAATAAATCCGGTTTTCCCGTTTTCTAGTAGCTATTCAATATGTTACCTTATGGAGCTGGGAGCTCTGACATTGGAGGATGCGTGAGTCAAGTGAAAGTCGAGAACAATCAGAAATCTAGAAATGAGATGGAGCGGCGAAGGTTTGGATGAAGCGCAGAAAGTCAACGGAAAGTTGCGAACCACGACGCCACGACGCGTAAAGGTCACGTGCGATAATGCTGTCCGGCCCGAAGACGCCGGACGCGACGGAGGTTCTTTAAGTTTCAGAATTTTACTATACCTTAGTGCTCAGATCAATTAGATAGTCGGCAGGCCTGATAGTCAAAACAATTCCTGAGGTAGACAGAAACCGAGGATGCTGATAAATTTGGGTCATAATCCACTGCACTTTATGTTTTTGACAGCCTTTTGAACTACGGATACCTCTCATTAGTTATAATGCCTGTTCACAACCCCCGCGACAACTTCCTCTTCAAACCCCTCGTCCCCATCTATCTTATTTAGTGGGGTTTTCCCATACGCTATGGTTCTCCCTTTTCGCCACTCTTCCATGGTCGGCACGTCCACATCCACAAACCGTCGACTCGGTGTTTTGGTGTCAATCAATGGAAGGAGTTTCACGTTATCATCTGGCATAGAGAAATAGAATACTCCGAGACGTGAGCACCCCTTCTGGTCCATGGGAGGTTGAACGACACTGGTGGCTGGTCAATACTCAGGTGTCAAGACACAGTCCATCGACGTACCGATGAATTGTAGAGCGATAAACCTCTCCCGACAGAAACTCGAGCGCATCTCCAGCATTGATGACCTATTTCAGTGATCAGCAATAAAATCATCTTACGGTGTGTAGTATACTCGCCAGCGCGTTCTCGATATGCTTTACCCATTTCCACTCCCCCGAGGGTGTAAGGATCTGCAACGCCGACACAGGCTGACTGTACAGGATGGTTATTGAACCAAAGTCTACAGGCACTAGTCAGATGTAACCGTAATATGGCACTAGATGTACCGGTGTGCCCTTTAAGCCAAACATTCTTCGTCTTTTTGTTGTCCTCCGCGGAGTGGGGGTAACTTAAATCCAATCAGCGAGCTTGCAGACGACATACGGGACGCGACGCAACTACTTCATAAACCTCACTAATTCATATGCTGAACGATCCGTGGGCATTCAAGAAATAGAATTCTTACAAAATGTTTCCCCGACAGAGGAGTATCCGTGAATATCCACGAGGGCATTTTCTGGAAGGCCTAAACCTAGCGCGAGGAGTCTGCGTTATGAAATAAGAAAGATGGGCAATGTGAAAAATGGGAATCCAACCGCAGAATGGGATGAAGAACATTGAAGTGATTATGCCTCATAAATGCTTCGATCTCGTCGAGATACGGGCGCAGACCATCGGGGTGCGGTCGCATGGTGACATCCCGGTGAACTGAAAGATTTCAAATGAGCATACTGCGAACAACAACCAACCAATCTTACTGTTGTAATGCTCGATTTGGTCTTTCACACCGTTGTCGATGTGCTATGAAAGTCAACTCTAATTCCCCAAAAGTCCAAACGTAGACATGGCTTGACACACCCAGTACTGCCGGAGTTTATACCCCTGGTAGGTCCCTGTCTGTATGATTTTCGCCTCGTACTGCTGCTTTTCGCTGTCACCGACAACAGTGAACGGAATATCAGCAATATCAAAGATTCGCTGGTTCTACCGGACGACGGCAGTTAGTGAGGTATAGAAATACCTAGAAGAGACCACGCACCTCGGCAAGGGATAGACCATGCCCAACTACATAGAAAAATCCATATGTCTGCATAGCTTCACGCACTTCTTCGGGACGCGGGTTCTTGGATAGGTCAATTATCGGAAGGTCCGCATAGTCCACTGCAGGATGTAAGTACTTTTTGATTAGTATATTGTGTACGTACATGACTCTTTGGTAGCGGGCGGCGGAACATAGTGTTTAACTTGAATGGTCATCGTGGTGGCACCTCGGGGGGATAAGAGAACTCGTGAGAGAGGAATGCGACTATAAGTATTCACGATTCTGTGAAAGCGTGGAGTGTTCCGAAGGACCGCCAGAAAGATTGATGCTTCCTGCTCCGCGTGTTTCTCCTCCCCGAAATCAGTCCTGAAGGTCGTTTTGATTGTCCATGTTCCTTGTACGTAACGCTCATATATGAAAGCTCAGAATGTTAGTGTTTTGGGTGACGTTGGATTGTCAAGCTTGGTGTTAATCGTAGTCGCTCCCATTCCGTCCAAGAATCGGACCTCCGTTAAGGATCTTCAAAAAGCCGTTTAGCACCATATGACGCGTCACGCTCTTGCCATGACTCATGAGGTTCAATCGCTGTGCCAACCACTGGCCACTGATATAGAGCGGCAAGGGAACCAATAGACGGCATCATTCAGCGGTATCTGGCATGAGAAAGCACGGGTCGTAAAGTGGAGACCCAGATAACGTACAGATAGTAAAATAAGGAAGAACACTCTAGGAAAGATGAAAACCAGCATCGAAATTCCACGCTTACGTGAACGAGACAAATATATGATCATGAGCGAACCCACCGTTAAGGCAACAAAAGATGCCGAGTGGCTATTCATAACGTCGTCCCATCTTTGGCTTCTTCCATTCTGACCCACAATCCACCCTGGCAGAGAAAGTCAAACCAAGATTTTCATATATAAAGATCTCCAAAAATTTTACCTTGGCGTATATTGTGATGGTTATACCGAACATAATTTTGTCCCTGCCTTTAGTCGTCCCGGGTGTTGGGGTCCAGCTTGCCGGAGGTATGCCTTCCGCAGGTTGCGCATCCCGAGCAAGGCTGAACGACGAGAAATTCTGTAAGAGTCGGATGAGGTAGTAGGAAGCCTCGTTATATGCAAACTGACGAGTAACACTAAGATTCCATAAGTCGCCGAAGAAGAACGTCCTCACCTGTTGACCTCGGCAAATTCTAGGACTCGCATTGAAAGGTAGAAATATGTAAGGGTTAGGAGTTAGATATTTCTGCAACCGGCTATCGAGGAACCGATCCGGGTCAAATTCGAGGGCTGGAGGTCTGAGTTAGGATTGTATAAGTGGAAGGATATCATATATCCTACCATCTGGTCCCCACAGATCTGTACGCCGGTGCATCAGAAACACAGAGTAGGTCAGCCTGTTATAGCACAATGAGAGGTGTATCTAGTATCAAAAGACTGGAATAAGAGAATACTAACAGCGTATCTCGTGGGACATAGTAAGGTGGGCGCCCCTTGTTTGGAAGGGTAGTTGAAACCGCGGATACCCTATTACACAAACCAGCTATAAGAAGCATCAAAGAGGTGCGACGATATATCTTACCGCCCGTTTTCTGGGCTATAGACGGATGTTAGCGACTTCCAAATTTCAAAATGGCCAGTTGACATACACAGTTGCATACAGCCGCAAGGTTTCTAGATAATTCTGTCAGCGAAGACTTGAATGCGTATATAATGGACTACTGCACCATTGAGAAAGGCTCGTAAATACTTCATGTCACGAATGTCCTCGTATGTCGGTCGTCTATTGCCAACTTTTCCGAAAATTTCGGACCGTAAACGAGTAACCATGTCTGGATGCTCACACATCATATACACTGCCATAGTTAGGAGAGAAGCGGTCTGCATGAGTAGGCTCAATGAGTTAATATTTGAAAGAGCCAACCGAAGAGCTTACCGAGTCTCTACCAGCCACCAAAACATTGACAAGTTCGTCCTGAACAACTTTAGGGTCTACAAGCACGTCGAAATTAGCGAAGCACAGTTTCAAATATGAAGCGAGCGGTGTTTACCATCGGCTTCTTCTACGAGACGATCCAACAAAGTCATGTTGTCGAGCTTCTTCTCAGACCCGACTGACTTTATACCTTAAGTCTTTCTCTCGTGCCCTTCAGAGAGCAGTGGCTCGATGAAATCATCAAGGACTTTCCGCAGCGGCTTAACCTTATCTCGAAATATTTCGCGCAGAGGCCAAGAAGCCCCGCTCTTGACGCGAATCATGTTTTGCACTTGTGCCTCCGCAAACGCCTTGACGAACGCATTCGACGGATGATTGACGAAATGCAGATTATCCCCCAACGGCGATCCAGCTGGATAAGGAAGACCCGCAGATATGGAGTTGACATCTTTTCCTAACAGGAACTCCGTAGCAGAGTCTAACGTGAAACGAGCAACGACATCCTATGTACAATGTCAGACAGTGATTTTGAGGGAATAGCTGGCTCTGACCTGAAAATCGACTGGATAGCCCTCCCTCAATCTCGCTTTGATCTGGGTGATCGTACTAACGGCGTGTCTCTCGAAGTTGTCAAAATCGGAAATCCGCTCTTTGTTGAAGAATGGTCTTGTCATCGTCCGATGAAACCTAATCGGAAGACAATATGACAAACAGGCCCATAGTTTCAAGGCTGCGTCCAAAGCTCACTTCCACATTTCACCTGTCGGAGCCGAGTGAATAACAGCCTCGCGTACGCCATGAAAATCTCACCATCTGTACTAAACACGCCTACGCCGAAAAGAGCTTTCGTGGCGTTGAAAACAAAGGCACCTAGAGACCTTCGTCAATAACTTGATACCTCACTAGCGACAACAAACACCTTTTTCAAAGTCGCGAAACTGCGTCGCTAAGACGGCCTACGTATGTTGATGAGAGTGTAAGTAACTATCAAGGATAGCTTACCTTGATATGCTCTGGCTCGCTCGTAAAGACCTCGTGTGTCTGTTTCAGGAGGAAGTAAGAACAGGTTTCCAAAACCACTTACCCATTTGGAGGAAAGAGTACCGAACGAAAAGGTATTTCCGTATTGTTCGCTCCATTTCTGGAACACTTCGCCTAATGCCCTGTTCGTTAGTTGAAGCAACACGGAGGAAGACTCGAACGTACTGGGATATCCGTTCTTGAAGCTGTCCACAATGCGCCACATGATAGAAATACTGCTTTCCTGAACATAGGGCATAAGGATTGCACCTTGCGCAGCTGCGTCCCTGCGGATGGCGAAACCTATGTACCAGCCGTGCACCAGTCGAACGATAACCTGTGATACGAAAGGAAGTACGAAAACTGGCCACACAGGAATGCTGAAACCAGACTCCGTCAAGAAGTGCCGAAGTGCCCAGAGAGCCGAACAAGGCAGGACTACAACATAGAAAGCGAGATGAGATAAGTAGACAACTCCTGGAGGTAAGTAGCTGGTAGTCATAGTTGACAATGCCATCGAACTGAAGAGGAATATCATTCTTATATACATGCTGGAGGATAATCTTGATGACTTTATCTGTAAAACCTCGGGGGGTTGGTTCCGCTGCTGTGGATTTATCTGCACCCTGGATTCTGTTTAGAAAAGGCGCCTGGGCAGGCAAGGACTAAAGTCGCGCACCGTAGTTGATTAGATTAAAGTCGTCTGACTTTTCTTCGGCTGTCTGCAGTGAGACGAAGGACAGTACGAAGAAATCTTTGAACATAAGTACACTCAGTGGGGTCAAGACAGATAACTTTGCTGTATTCCTCCATCAGTACTTGCTTTCTCCCTGCTGGCGCCTACGTACATATTGACCCTCGTGGTGTCCATCGCCATTTTGGATAAGAGGGAATCATCCTTCATTTGTCCTATTAGACCTCGTGTCTGTGCTTCGTTAAAATGCCATCAGCCCGGTTTCCGAGTACGACAAAGCGCCAATTACTTTGCTCACACGATCGGCTATAGAACGACTGTTCGCGGATTAATTAAAGTCCTTGAGCTGATTCCTAGCTCTTACCTCAAGAGAAACCGGAATGATCTAAAGATCCATTTCATGTTTGATGAAAACATGGATGAAACAGACTGGACCCTGCTGTACTAAGATAAAAATTAGGCACAATATGCGAGAGAAAGCATAACATACTAAGTTCATGCACAATTTATGTATTCACCTGGAATGACCTACAAGCGAAGCTGTCTCGCAAGTATCCAAGCCACGCCCAGCCACTACGAACGGTTCCTCGATTAAGGCAATAGCCGCTGGCATTGCATATGCGAATGCCAAGGACCGCCGATTGAAAAAGGATGACCGCAACGATCACGTTGGCTCGGCGGCGTCGCGCTGCCTGGCCGCGTTCAAAGAGCTTCAACTTCCAGTCTGGGTATGTAATCATTTCGTCCAAGGCGATCTTGATTCTTGACTGGAAAGAGGCGTTGTACCAGCGTCTGACGCTTGGCACTACTAGCTGTACCAGTACAAGCGAGTCGTGGTCTCCATGTCGTCGCCTGTAGTGCGTAGTTCGAATCAGCGAATTCGCTTGCAGTTTTGCGGTACAGTTATTTACCGGTCAATGAAACAGCAAAACTGGATATTTACTGTAGGTTCCAATTGGTTGGGAATTTTGACTAGGTTTGAATGTAAGAATGTGTAATACTATACAACAATAAGATACAGTAAAAAAAAGATGCTCAAAGGTGCGAGTACAAGTCCGTTTTCACAGCATTATTGTGGCGTGGGTATTCTAGGCTATTTTGAGTCATTGAAACAGTCTGGCCCATATACCCAAACCTCATTAGTCAGCTACTCGGAATCGCTCGAGTGCTATAGAAAAGTGAGATCTCCTTTCCAGTCTCTCTCTGATATACAGCCTCAAAATCTTTGCAGATTTTTCTTGCACCTTTCCGAGGAGCACCAGGTAGTTTGACAAGCTCATTCTTGTATGCAATCATTTGCAATGACTGCCTTTTCCATTAGCTGGTCATGGCATTTGTGAGCAATCTGACACTTTTTCAAGTTTGATTTGGCATGTCCAGGCATAGTAAAAAATTGAACAAGAGGAGAAATAAAGTTTGGAGGCAGCAGGGCAATAATGGACGCATTGGACTGTCAGACTGTCCATCAAAGGTGATGGCTTGGCAGAACCGCACTTTTATTTATGCCCTAGACTCCTCAGATAATGGCCGCTTGGTCTCAAACCTGTCACACAGGTTCTTCAGAAGGTCATTAACATTATTGAGGCCTTTGTGGGTGATTACATTCAGATGGAGGACACACATTTCCAGGTCAGATTTTGAGTTCATGAGAAAATAGATATTTTTAGAACAGAAGCCTCAATTTCTCGGGAATATTATTCATGTCACATATGAAGAATCACTGCAGAACATGAAGATACAATACACATCAGCAATGTAATACAAGTTGATGATGAAGGATGAAGGGAGGGAGAGCAAGAGGCTAAGTGTTTCATTGAACCATGGTGTTGCAATGACCGGTAAATAACTGTACATCGGACCGTCACGCACGTGATCACTTCTTTCGGACCTTTTCCGATTCGGACTCGTTTTCGCTTTCGCATCGTGAACAGCAACTTGTATTCGGACTCGCAGTTCCATGTCCTTACTTATACCAAAACTACCTCTGTCCTCAGTGACAAACCATCATTCATTCGAATCAGAAAATTGTTACTCCCACAGCAGCCCAGCTTTTATCCATCTTGACCTCAAACTCGAGATGGCTGAGATCGTGCCAGAACGTGCAGTCCAAGGACAATAAGTACCTACCCTTCTCTGGTGTTATCATCTTGACTAGCACTAGGTCTTATCGTCCAAATTGCCAGTAAATATGCCGTAGACACGAAGGCCAGAAGTCGAACGAGCTAAGCTAGAGCGGAGTGAGATAATCACCACGCTTAGGATAAAAAGCTGCTTGTTCCAAACTGATCAAGAATGATGAACCTATATAGCCAGCCAGTATCAGTATTGCAGGTCCTTACTCAGTGGAAATGGGTCTGACATCTTGACGACGCACTTGTACCTCTCGTTTATTTCCCAACTCCCGTCCTTGACAAATCTAACGTCCTTTCAAAGATTATCAAAGCGGGAGACATGCTTGAGTTCTTCTCTGGCGGATTGTATCGCGTGACGATACATCGGTACGTACCTACCGTAAACTGAGGATCGCCTTATTGACCTGTGAATAAAGGTCGTCCAACCGCCCGAGGATCACTGGCAGCGTCAATGCAAGGTTCGTTTAGGCATATTATATTTCTGCAAGCCGGATGACAGTACAAAGCTCCTGCCTTTGGTTGATAATCCGATTAATCCCCGGTTTGATGAATCAAACGCGCCCACCGTGGAGGAGTATAGTTCGAATCCAATTTTATATCCTGTATCCGACAGGAAAATGGCCAGGTCAACTGGTCTGTCGACGTACAGGGTAATACCGTTTGATAATCTACCTCTAAGCTTGAATCACTGCTCAAAGAACAGTGCGACTAAAGGCAACGGTTATCGGTTTTCTCTAAGATTCAAGCCGTCGAAAGAGTGGAAAACGCGTTTCAATATATTATTATACAACTGTCGTTATGGCTTGAATTAGTTATAATGCTTGACCACAACACCATTAATAACTTCTTCCTCGATCCTCTCCTCTCCTTCCGCCTTCTTGAGTTCACTTTTCCCATATGCTGCCGTCCTTCCCTTGCGCCATTCTTCCATCGTGGGAGCGTCCGCATCCACGAATCGGCGAACTTTTGGATTAACCAATGGGAGGAGCTTCACATTATCGTCTGGCATGCAAAAATAAAATACGCCAAGACGAGTGTACCCTCGTTGGTCCTTGGGAGGTTGGACAACCCTACTCCGCGAGTTATAAAGGGGTCGACTCAGTACGAATAAAAACATACCGATGAATCGTCGCGCGATATACCCCTCCCGACAAGAATTCTAGAGCATCGCCGGCGTTGATGACCTATTTTCATCAGCAATGGAGAATCACCTTAAAGGAGAGGACGTGCCAATGCGTTCTCGACGTGTCTAACCCACTTCCATTCCCCCGAGGGCGTGAGTATCTGTAACGCCGACACGGGCTGGCTATATAGAATAGTGATCGAACCGAAATCTACAAAAATGTCAGTTGTAATCAGTTGAAGTTCGGCGCCGGGCATACCAGTGTGTCCCTTGAGCCAGACGCTCTTTGTCTTTCCCTCGTCCTCGGCAGAGTGAGGATAACTAAAAAGACAAATCAGTGTAGGGAGAGAGGGCCACGGCAGGGAAGGTCTCTAACTACAGTTATTTACCGGTCATTGCAACACCATGGTTCAATGAAACACTTAGCCTCTTGCTCTCCCTCCCTTCATCCTTCATCATCAACTTGTATTACATTGCTGATGTGTATTGTATCTTCATGTTCTGCAGTGATTCTTCATATGTGACATGAATAATATTCCCGAGAAATTGAGGCTTCTGTTCTAAAAATATCTATTTTCTCATGAACTCAAAATCTGACCTGGAAATGTGTGTCCTCCATCTGAATGTAATCACCCACAAAGGCCTCAATAATGTTAATGACCTTCTGAAGAACCTGTGTGACAGGTTTGAGACCAAGCGGCCATTATCTGAGGAGTCTAGGGCATAAATAAAAGTGCGGTTCTGCCAAGCCATCACCTTTGATGGACAGTCTGACAGTCCAATGCGTCCATTATTGCCCTGCTGCCTCCAAACTTTATTTCTCCTCTTGTTCAATTTTTTACTATGCCTGGACATGCCAAATCAAACTTGAAAAAGTGTCAGATTGCTCACAAATGCCATGACCAGCTAATGGAAAAGGCAGTCATTGCAAATGATTGCATACAAGAATGAGCTTGTCAAACTACCTGGTGCTCCTCGGAAAGGTGCAAGAAAAATCTGCAAAGATTTTGAGGCTGTATATCAGAGAGAGACTGGAAAGGAGATCTCACTTTTCTATAGCACTCGAGCGATTCCGAGTAGCTGACTAATGAGGTTTGGGTATATGGGCCAGACTGTTTCAATGACTCAAAATAGCCTAGAATACCCACGCCACAATAATGCTGTGAAAACGGACTTGTACTCGCACCTTTGAGCATCTTTTTTTTACTGTATCTTATTGTTGTATAGTATTACACATTCTTACATTCAAACCTAGTCAAAATTCCCAACCAATTGGAACCTACAGTAAATATCCAGTTTTGCTGTTTCATTGACCGGTAAATAACTGTATTTCATGAATCGCACTGGTAAATGAACAGATCGTCGGCGAACAGAATGGACGCAGGAGCAAAAGTCGCACCGTAAGTCTCCCCAACAGAGGAATACCCGTGTATATTTACAAGTGCACCTTCCGGAAGGCCGAGGCCTAGTGAAAGGAGACTTGGTTGGCAAGTAAGAAAGGCCCAAAATTAAGAGAGAATAATACGGAACCGTAAAATGGGATGAAGAACGTTCAGATGATTGTGTCGTGCAAATGCTTCGATTTCAGCGAGATGAGGACGTATGGTTTCGGGATGCTGTCGTTTCGAAATATCTCGATTAACTGGCAAAATCAGATAGCCTAAAGGAAATCCATAGGCATGAAAGCTTACTGTTGTAGAGCTCAACTTCATCTTGTACGCCGTTGTCAATGTGCTTCCAGAATTGGAATTTAAACAGCAAGATGTAAGTGCTGATTCACCTACCCAATACTTCCGAAGCTTATACCCTTGATAAGATCCGGTCTGCTGCATTTTCCCCTCATACTGCCGTTTTTCGTCGTTGCTAACGCTGGCGAATGGAATGTCGGCAATGTCAAAGATGCGCTGATTCTTATACAAGTTTCAATAAGTAAGATGATATGTTTGAAATACTAAACACACCTCAATGGGAGAAAGTCCGTGCCCAATGACATAGAAGAATCCATGGGTCTGCATCGCTTCGCGTACGTCATCTGGACGCGGCGACTTAGATAGGTCAATTATCGGGAGGTCAGCGTAGTCCACTGCCAGAGATAAGCGATATTCAATCGGTACAACAAACACATACACGGCTCTTGGGTAGTCGGTGGTGGGGAATAGTGGTTGATTGTCATGGTAGAAGATAAGAACATCGGTGATGTGAGAATGGCGCAATAAGTGTTTACAGCGTCGTGAGAGAAGCTGGGGAGTTAACTAATCCTATATTAGTACAGACTCACTCCTCTTTAATTTCTTCCCACCACGTTATAGGATCTATCCATGCTCGTTCCCTAGTTCGGCAAGAAGGCTCGCAGTACTTGTGACTTGACGCTGACACTCGCAGCTAGACATTCAAAACATACATGCAAAAGAATGAGCAATAGGTAGCTCAACCAAGTATGACATTTGAGTCATGAGATACTGCTGTACGGCACACTCTGCATATGCGAATCAAATTCCACGGCCCGGAAGTACAATGGAAACTGTTACCGCTGCTCAATAGGTTATGCTGTCGAGCTGCGTGCCCTTTGGCAGCAGACAAGAAAGAAATACAGGTGAGATCTGAGTGAAAGTTGACAAGCGGGGAATTAGGAAATGAAACGAAATGGTCAACAATAGGTGAACTTCCGAATCGCGACAGGAAGTGGCCATTCATAACATTTACCCATCCTTCGCTTCTTTCATCCTCACCCACAATCCACCCTGACAAGCAAACAGTCATCTCAAAACGCATCTCGCTTAGGATCTCCCAAAAACATACCTTGACAAACAGCGTAATATGTACCCCAAACATGATCTTCTCTCTGCCCTTGGTCGTCCCCGGAGCGTGCGTCCAGCTTTTCGGGGGAATACCCTCCGGAGGTTGTACATCCAAGGCGAGGTTGAACGAAGAGAAGTTCTGCAAAAGTCGAATGAGGTAGTACGAAGCTTCGTTGTATGCGAACTAGCGAGAGTTATCGAGTCTCATTCCACGCTGGCTCAGAACTTAATCCTCACCTGTTGACCGAGGCAAATTCGAGGGCCCGCGTTGAAGGGGAGGAAGATGTATGGGTTTGGGGTGAGATATTTGTGGACACGACTATCGAGGAACCGATCAGGATCGAATTCAAGCGCTGGGGGGATGGGTCAGATGATATCAAGCAGCAGTGATGTTTTCGTCTTACCGTCTGGTCCCCACAAATCCGTCCGCCGATGCATCAGAAAGAAAGAATACAACATCCTGTTGCGGCGCAGTCAATGATTCTGATCTCAGGGGAGAAAAGAATGAAGTGCTGACGTAGTGTCTTTTGGAACATAATACGGTGCGCGGCCTTTATTTGGAATAGTAGTCGCCACTTTCGATGTCCTAAGATGTGAAGAAATTCTAACAGGCACCGGAACGGAAGAATAATATATCATACCGAGAATTTTCTGGGCTAACGATTGATGTTATTATTTAGCAGTTCCTATCATAAGAAGACCAGTTGACATACACAGGTGTGTACAGCCGCAACGTTTCTAGAAAGAAGGTATCAGCTAGAGGTTAGCTGAAATGAATGATTACACCGCACCATTCAAAAATGCTCGTAGATATTTCATGTCACGAACGTCCTCATATGTAGGTCTCCTGGTGCCCACCTTCTCGAGGATCTCCGATCGTAGGCGATTCGCCATATCCGGATGTTCACATAACATATATACCACTGAGGTCAGTAGAGAAGAAGTCTGCATAATTCTTTTCGTGAGTCGCTTCAAATGAAAGCAGGGGGGAAATTCACCGTGTCTCTACTAGCCACCAATACGTTGATAAGCTCATCTTGAACAACTTTAGGATCTGCAGGCGCCCCGAATCAGCGCTCATCACACCAGGAATGCATAGGGTCGTGCAATTACCATCGATGTCCTCTACAAGACGATCCAGCAAGGACATGTTCTCAAGAGTCTTCTCCGAACCCGCAAATTTGATGCCTTTGGCTTTTCGGTCAAGTGCTTCGGTGATCATTGGCTGGACAAAATTATCCATTACTCGCCGGTGCGGTTTTACCTTATCCGACAAGAGCTCGTAAAGAGGCCAGAAAGGACCCCTCCGCAGTCGAGTCATACTATGTTCACTCGCCCTCGCAATCGCCGTTACAAAAACATTCGACGGGTGATTAACGAAATGGAGATCTCCTGCCAGTGGGGATCCAGTTGGGTAGGGAAGGCCAGAAGATATCGACTCGACATCTTTTCCGAACAAGAACTCTGTAGCAGAGTCCAACGTAAAGCGGGCAACGACGTCCTTCGTTCATTATCAGACAATGTTAATCCATCCACCTGTTAAAACGACTGACCTGAAAGTCGACAGTATGACCCTCCCTCAACCTCGCTTTGATCTGGGTGATCGTACTACTGGCATGTCTCTCGAAGTTGTCGAAGTCAGAAATTCGGTCTTTGTTGAAGAATGGTCTTGTCATTGTTCGATGGAGTCTGATCAGCAGTCAGTATGACAAACTCGCGGCGCAATGAACATGCTATGCTCACTTCCACATGGCGCCTACATTGATTACTATCAGTGAATGTATTTCTACGCCTGTAAGAATACCTCACCGTCCGAGTTGAAAACGCCGGTCCCTACAAAGGATTTGGCAGCGTTGATAACGAAAGGACCTACGGTCGTGTGTCAACAACAGTAAACCAACAGGTGACAAGGACTGGATACCTTTTTCGAAATCTTGAAACTGCGTCGCCAAGAATGCCTGTATATATATGAGCATGAACCATCAAAAGGCCATTTCTAGTGAGAAAAGTACCTTTAGATGATCTGGCTCGCTTGTAAAGACCTTTTCCGCCATTAGTAGAGATCACGATTGGAACACTCGATTACCTGTCTGTCTGAGAAAGCGCCAAATGAAAAGGTATTGCCATATTTTTGGCTCCACTCGTGGAACACTTCACCTAGTGTCTGCTCGTTAATCAAATCATACTCGGAGCCTAAACTCAAACATACTCGGATATCCATTCTTGAAACTATGCACAACCCGCTGCAAGATAGCGATACTGCTCTCTTGAACGCGGGGCAATCTGAGAGCGCCCCGTGAAGTGGCTTCCTTACCAACAGTAAAGTTCGTGGTCAAAGCGCCAAGGAGGTGAATGGCAAACTGCAAGGCCAACGGGACGACCAAGACAACCCAAACAGGAATGTTGAAACTGAACTTGATGAGCACACTTTGAAGGGCCCAGAAAGCGGCGCAAGGAAAGATTATAATAGAGAGACTCGCCCTGCATAGATAGCCAAGTCCTGGAGAGTACGTCATGACCATGATGGACGGTATGGAACGCGCCCAGAAATCACTCGAATATATACTTACCAGAGGCGTAATTGAGGTGACAGTATCTCTGCGATTTCGGAGGTTTGATTCCGACGCCGTGGGTGTCCAACAGGGTTTCCAGCCTCTTTTTGTACCCTTTTCAGAAACAATCGTAGCCGGCGCATAAAGTTGCACGTCCTGTCGGACAAGTAATACCATATTTAAACAATGCCGACTAGAAAGTGCATCAGCCCTCCAGTATTCCGCGTTTGAGAAGCGATGGTTACGCACCCTCCATGACCCTAGGATAAGCTATAAAACAATCGTTCCTGCACTCTGAGAAACTGCCGAATTTCTTGAGCTGCTTCAATTCCTTCGGTTAGATCTTGATGAATGATGCATTGATGGACCGTGTCAAGGTATAAGCGATAAGATTAGGCGCGTCACGAGCCTGCACAACGCGTGGAACTCTCTGGAGCGGGGGCCCGTGGGCACTAGTAGTGTCATTGACATGACTGTCACAATTTAAGACGCATTCTGACTCCGTATTGGCTCGGTACATCGGTCCGATATACCGAGTGACAGCACGTGACCACCACGCGAACGCTAGGGCTGAGCAAAAAAGTACCTCTTTTTTACAAAAATAGTTTCTTACTGTAATTTACACGTTATTTACATGTTTTTACATGTGAGCTCTCGGGACCAGATTTTCCTTGGTTAATTACAAAGTCACGTGTATAGCTAGAACACTAGGAGTAGCACCTATAGCAACTCACAGGAGTCTATCTTGTGCCCATGAGCAAGATGTGAGCGTCAGAGAACTCTGGAACGAGAAATATATACCTGGCTGCCACTTTCCGGCATGTCGCGCCTCACTCGCGGCAGCGGGGGAAATTTTGTCTGTGACCTGCCTAAAAAGTCACGTGATAAGTTATTTACATGTAAATTACCTGCAAAAAACTCCTCGCCGGAGTGTCGACGTAATTTACCTGCAGGAAAGTCCGGATGGAGTTTTTTGCGCAGCCCTAGCGAACGCCGAACATTTTTCTGCTGGCCATCAACGTTCAGAACGTTCAACAACCATGTCCTTATCTTTGCGTTTTGATTCTACTGTCTCCAAGCACTGAAATGGCCACAACGATATCGCTGACGAATACTGGGGAAGGGTGTACTAGGCGCCCGGTGCATACTTGTCGAGGTTCAAGCGTTTGAGCTAGAGTCGACATTTCAAAGTGAGACCAACGATGAATATTTCTGCCAATCTCATCGTACGTCAAGTTCTTCTGACCATAGGTGATGCTCAATGGCCTCACCTGATTTACTCTGTCAGGTCATGGGTTCGCGTTCCCGACATTGATGCATTGATGGGTCTAGCCCAGGGAACCGTAACTCAGTGTAACGATACATCCATTGCAGAGTCGGTAGCCATAGGACACTCGTGCTTCCGCGCTTGTACGGAGAGCTGAGGCTTTACAAAGTTCACCGTGGCCATTGTCTTCTTAGGTGTGCATACTCCATTTTTCATTATATGCGTCGTATTTATATGCTCTTTTCTAGGTTGACATGTTTACTGCTGGGCGTGTAGGACCTTACGTATGCCGCTAACGCGGACGGATATATACATTCTCCCTTCAGTACTCTCAGCCCCTTGAAAAGAATGATAGGAACGTTTCCGACGTGTCATCCGGCGCCGAAATTCAATGATCAAAAATTTCTCAACTTCAGAAATCACTCCCGTCATTCAAGGTAACTCGCGTTGAAGAAATTTTCATCAACGCCTAAAGCCTGCTCGTAAGCCATTTAGCAGACTTTAGCACTATCATAGTCACCACCCATACTATTATTCCAGAATCCATCTCCTCCTCATGACCAGGACACGGTAAAAACCGGCGATGTGTGTGTTCCTTGTCAAGTTGCGGAGGAAGATTGGACCTGCACGGACCCATAAACTGATCGTTGAGGGTTATTACCATTGTCTTTGCCGGGCCGAAGGTTCCAAGGTATCGACAACAAAACAGGTTCTTCATGTTGCGGTGTCGAGAAACGGTGGTGATTCTACTCTACCTGTCTGCTCACATCGAAAAACCGGCAGCGGATAACGGCTGCGATAACCAAATTTCCGGTGCGGAGGTCGTCTTAGTGTGACTGGTGGCGCAGAAAGCAACAATCCCCGGGTTAAGTCGCGGTCCGTGGAAAGGCTATCGAGTGTCTGCCTTGGTGCAGACATTTCGGCTGGGAATGATACTTCTGTTTGCAGCTCGTACTCGTTCAGCTCGTATGTCCTGTTTTTGCAATGTCCTGTTGCTGATGGCTCGCAGGGACTGTGCTAGATATATGGACCGTCCTTTGTCTTTCGTGCGAACACTCAAGTGTGGGTGTTGTGTGTACTGAGGCAAGTTACTGCACACCTAATGTATGCCTTCAGGAAGTGTTCTCGTTTGAACGCGAGGCATCGTTCAGGGTCTAGCAGACATGGAGCACGGATGGACGGAAGAATTCATTAGGCATGAATTCCTACTGCAGATCTATCAACGTATAACCATGCTTGTTGTAAAGAGAGGGCTGCTTTACATCTTCAGGAACGATAAAATCAGACTTTTACAATTGCTACATGGGCGAGACCAATACAAATATTTCAAAGCAGTAAGAAAGATGACTCAGAATGACGCTTCTTCTTTCGCTTCTTCCATCCTGACCCACAATCCACCCTGGCGGGGAAGTTCAATCTAAGAGATTAAACGACGAGTCTGAGAAGACGAACCTTGGCGAACAGCGTTATAAACACTCCAATCATAATCTTTTCCCTGCCTTTGGTTGTCCCTGGGGTCTTGGTCCAGCCTTTCGGGGGAATACCTTCAGGCGACTGAGCATCCATATCAATGCTGAAAGAAGAGAAGCTCTGCAGGAGTCGAACAAGGTAATAGGAAGCCTCGTTATAAGCGAACTAGCAAGCAACATCAAGTATCCATTGAACGGTAGATGGTGGCGCACTGACCTGTTGGCCAAGGCAAATTCTAGGACCCGCGCTGAAAGGCACAAAGATGAAGGGGTTGGGAGTGAGATACTTGTGCACCCGACTATCGAGGAATCGATCCGGGTCGAATTCAAGAGCTGGAGGTTATAAATCAGACTTTACGAAAAAGTAGAAGGGCGTTCTTTCTACCGTCTGGTCCCCAAAGATCCATCCGTCGATGCATCATAAATGGGGAAAAGTTTATTCTGTTGTAGTATAAGGTAAGCTCGGCGAGGTCTCAAGAAAAACGCAATAAGCTGACGTTGTATTGCTTGGAACATAATATGGCGCACGTCCCTTGTTTGGAAGGGTAGTCGCCACTCTCGATATGCTAGTGAATGAACACGTTTTAATAGTGAAGAGTTTAGAGGATGATATATCTCACTAGAATTTGTGTTGGAATTATTGCAGTGGGAGGCTTGCAGTAGGTATAATACTTAATTGTTAGCTACTAGAGCTCCTAATGAGCTCCTTATATACTACGAAATGTATCTAGAATATTCTACCAAAAGTACTAAATATATCTAAGTATTGTGACAAATGAATAAGCCGAAGCTTCGGGAATCTTCTAGCATGAGCTTGAAGTTGCAAATCCCAACACTCCCCCTCAACTTCAAGTTACTAAAATGCATAATCTTCTTCATCATCTTCATCAGCTACATTTGCTCTTGTTGTATCTTCTCCCCCTTGAGCAATATTTGGGCACTTGTTTCTGTAGTGGCCTTTCTGCCCACAGCCGTAGCAAATGATATTGGCCGGATCGGGAGGTCGGCCCTTGATTGATCGCGCGGCTAACGCCATTTCAAATTCTGGTGAATTTAGTTTCCGGCGGCGCTCTTCATTTAGCAATCGACGAGTGACATAATCGAAGTCTGGACCTCGCGTCGGATCGCTGGGATCAGTATTGGCCTCGATGTAAGATTCGATGGCGGTAACGATGTTCTCGTAGGTAGGAGGTAAGGATGCCAATAGAATAGTCATCCTAAGTATGTCTACCAATGTAATTCCAATATCCTTGAGGGACTGGTCAAGTTCATTGAAATTATTGATGTGCTCCTGCATAGGTGCTCCCTCTTCCATTCTGAGAGAAACAAAACTACGAAGAACAGTCATACGATTGGCCCATCCTGAGGATTCATAATATTCCTTCAGAATTTGCCACATTCGGGCAGGGTCCATGGTCTTCCGAGTTAGTGGTAACACGGAATCAGACACATGCAGAATGATCTCGGCAGCGGCAAGCCTCGCGCGCTTGTCCCAGACGGTCTGTGTCCTTGTTCCACTTGCGGGACGGGGTTCTGTACCTGAAACTATTCCCCACAAATCCTTCCGAATTAAGTGCATTTCCATGTGGTACTTCCATGTGAAGTAATTCTCCTCACTAAGGAGATCAAATCGGGTGCTACTCCGGTCTTCCATAACTGGAGGTATCAAAGCGGTATGTAATGAGAGTATGTAATGTGCCTGAAAAGGTGAGTATACGGTGCCTAAAAAGGACTTCGGGAACGGGGTGCTAACCTAGAAAGGGTTTACAGTGACTAATACAATGATTTCACCTACGTAGAAACGATTTACGGCGGCGTAGAAACGACTTTTAACAACTTCGTCTACCTAGAGAGGACTTACGACAGCCTAGAAAGGACTTCGAGCACCAACCTAGAGAGGAATTACAGTGGCCTAGAGAGGACTTTTAATTACCACTGCAAAAGAGGACTGAGGGTGATTGACGGGTGCTAGAAAGCACGGCTCGGGTGGTCGAAAGAGAATGCGTGTGGAAGATGAGCTTCTAATGGAGCCCGGGCCCATAACCTGTTGGAATTATTGCAGTGGGAGGCTTGCAGTAGGTATAATACTTAATTGTTAGCTACTAGAGCTCCTAATGAGCTCCTTATATACTACGAATGTATCTAGAATATTCTACCAAAGTACTAAATATATCTAAGTATCGTGACAAATGAATAAGCCGAAGCTTCGGGAATCTTCTAGCATGAGCTTGAAGTTGCAAATCCCAACAATTTGAGGGCCACCACATATGTGTGGCAGATCCGAGTCCTATAGTACTCTGTTTTTGTGTCCATCCAAGCTCACAAACTTCTATTGGCAAAAGAAATCAGGACAAATTTCCAAAGCCCGATTATGGTCTACAGCAAAAAGCTAGTGTTCTCTCTCTTCGACCTGCCAAGTCAGTCCCATCATTCTGTTCATCCAGAATGATGAGGCTGATCTGGATGCACAAGAACGTCACAGCGAGTGAATGGTATAGAAATAGTGGCATTTCCTGCATGGACATTGAAGTCGACACAATCCTGATAACAGTAGCTAACATGGAAGTGGGAACAACCCATTCACCCATTCATTCAACTTCCCTTCTCCATCGACATGTACTAGCGGGTGTGGGCCAGCTCATCCGGTGGCAAAACCGAGTCCTATTTTCTATCACACTTGTTCTGGAAATTGTTGGTACATGAAGTAAAGAAGCGAAGCGTTGATCAAGTTCCTATATAAGAGTAAATCTGAAGATGCATTAGACCTCTCTCGAAGGAGATAAGGTTGCATACCAGCCATCCTCGGGAAATTCTCTGGCAGTCAAGGAAGACGACGACAAAATGACACAAGAGTAGGAAGCAGGCTGGGAGGGATTTTGAAATTCAGTATTTCCTTTTCTGCTTCATACCCTCATGGCATTCGGCCCATTCTTCTACCACCACCTCCAGCTCTCGAGAAGTCCCTTGCACATATATTCAGGTTCTGGGATCGGGCTGGACAAAGATCCATCTGCACGCCCGAATTTTGAATGGCCAATCCACCTGACAAACTTCTGTGAGACCAGGAATGATGGCAGCTGGCCACACACCCCACCAATGGACATGTCGACAGTCTGAGCCTGCAAGGCGCCCTCAAGACTACCATGCCCCTCACTGGGGTAACTTGAATCCCAACTGGATGAGATACCATTCAAATTCGTTCGTGGCACCAATCTCCAACACTGCTTCATCTGACATGATACATGGCTGCATGACGAGAGATCTCAGGCATTCGAATTCATTAGCACGAAGGCAGTGATTCAGGATCGACAGTGGAGGCAAAGACAAGGAGACAGTATCAGAGGAGAGGCCAGTGGAAGGACTGTCATAGGAGGTGGCACAGATGAGAGCATGTTTGACAGGCAGGGAGCTGAGTTGATGGAGTGAAGGGAAGGGAGGATGAACAAATGTGGATACCATGTGCAGTTGGGGTAATGTGCACGTGCATGGCTAAGCACAAACTTTAAACCCCTCACCACTGTGCACGTATTGGACTCAGGTCCAATCAACATTGTCGTTGAGTTTGTCTGGAGGAACTGAGGAAATGAGTCGCAAAACTATAAATGATTCAACCAAATTTGACCTTGATAAAGAGCAATGGAAAAGTCTTGCTGCAGCACGTCTGGCTTCGGATTGTTCAATACAGGAGAGATACGCGAGTCATTGTAAAATGAAAAAAGCTGCTGTTGAGTCCGACATTGTCATGGATAAGGTAGATTAGCTGGCTACGTATTTAGTATGACAATGAGAAGGCAACCCAAATACTGACATGTATTTGGGTGGTTGTCCAAAGACAAGGGCCTGGAAAAGGCCATGAGTTTCCTTCAGTTGATGTCGGAGAAGGAGAGACCGACTCGAAGTGTGAGTCAGCTGGTAAGGATGCAGTCCAACGAGACAGACACCCAAATACGACATGGCAGGCCCAAGTCTTGAGTGCCCAGGAACCAGAAGGGCAAGAGGAAGCCAAATCTTGTGTACCAAACACTGTAGGGAGTAGGTGGGTGGGATGAAAGAAAGAAGGAAAGTAGCCTAATACTGGCCAGAGGGAGTCAGACGGCAGGAAGAAGCAAGAGGTGCAATGATTATGTGAGCCAAAAATCTTTCCAATCAACATCCACCCTGGCCTAACCCTGCATCCACCCTCCCTCGACACCTTGAATTCCCTGCGCCTTCAAACGAATGGGGCTGGAGAAGACGTTACGACGTGTTTTGTTTACTTTCGTACTGGGCATATCTTTTGCTCCCATCCCTCATTTTTTTTTTTGGTGCGTTCATGCATTTCAAATCTCTGTGGTAATCAATGAGGATTTGAATCGAGATTGCAATGCCAATCTCATTATAATACTGCATACGATCAGTAGAGGTAAAATATTAAACTGTGATTCCTTCTTTGATGACCCAGACACTGATGCCAGTGTTAGGTTATGCTACTAACTAATTGATCTCATGGTAGCAATTATGGTCGATGCGTTGCTTGAGCCTCGAACTTTTTGGGAAGCTTGAGAAGCTTGACCCATAAATTATTCTGTCATATTCAGTCAAATTCACGCTAATTATGACAGTACACACACTCGAAAACTTTACTTTGTGTCCCAAAAGGAGCATCTCCAGTGCATGTGCTAATTTGGGTTAGGTTAACGATATTTTCGGTTCTTTTGTGGCTGTTTGTGCTCAGCATGTATGATAGGTAGCTCGATAGACCCCTTAATCCAAGTTATGTCGCCCGCTCGAAAAACGGGAGATAAACACACTCCGTTCTGAGGAGGCTGTACAGAAACAATGGCCCATCAATATCCCCATTCTCTTTCCAGTTCTCTTTCGGTTTCGTGGACATGGAACATGCGATCCAGTTGCTTGAGTATATGGTACTACCGGTTCTAGTGGAACTGGCCCTAGAGGATGTGTCAAGGAGCTTGAGCTTCTACGATGCTGAGAGTCTGCATGTCAAGGCTCTCCTGGAATGGTTTATGGGAGACCATGGTTCTATTCCATGTAGCAGGCTCTCAATGCTGGAACTACATGGAATCCATTGCTACAACATTGATGCATTGCGAAGATTTTTCTGCAAGTTTCCGGTGGTGGGGATGATGTCTCTGTCAGAGGTAGATGCATTGTTGTTAGAAGTGCTCAAGCCCAATGCATTGACACCTTGTCCTGCGCTTGCAGAGATATGTTGCCAAGGTATTGATTTTCTCAAGCTCTCCGAATTAGTAGGCGTGCGAGCTTCAAGTTTGTACGTCTCGTCGGTAAAAAAAGTCCATGTTGACCTATTTGAGGATGAGGTTATTGGAGAAGAGGAAAGCTTAACTTTTCAAAGGGCCAGTGTCAATCTTTCTGTTAATACTATTATTGGTTCTGATTAACTACCTTTACTCCCTTTTATTTTTTTCTGGTCCTCTACTTCGAATTCATGATTTCCTACTACTCTATACATATATTCATGTTTAATCTATGTTCTGTATACTGCACCAGGCATCTGGGATATCGCTAGAATTATTGAATGTCAGTCCCCTTTTTGTAACCGTCCCCTTTACCCTTCAACGAGCCCAAAATCTCCACCAATTGAAAGTGATACAAATGTTATCAAGCTAGCTGTTCACAGAAATGACTTAAACTTCGCATGTGTCATCTAGCTTGTTGAATCGATATGATTTCACAATTCATTATCATGCAATGCTTTATTATAGTCTGGTTGCAATAAGGCATGCAGAGACATAACTGTTAAGTTAAAGTCAAATACAAAACCGAGAAGACCGAGAGCAGGTATGTGTCGCCTTGTGGAAAATGCGATATCCAGAAGGTGCAACTTTGAATATAGTAATCCCAGAGAAATTCTCCTGTCGGTGTCATACTGTGACTCCCAGCAGTGGCAAGTTTGAATATTTTTGTTGCAATTGTTACATAGCTGTATAAAGTGTTAAAAGAATCCGATTCAAGATTATTATTAACTTAATATGTCAGTGTTCCTGTCCCTTGATGAACATCATCCAACCTAGGAATCACCATGCATCTTACCTCAAATCTTGACATGAAAGCAAAATGAATAACAATAAAAAAGGTAGGGGAGGATGTCAAAGCAGAATGAGGTCCGAAAGAAGAAGGAAGAGCGGTTCATATCACAGAATATGAAAGGAATTAAAAAAATAGAAACAAGAAAGCAAGAAAAGAAAAAAAAAAGACAGAAACAAGATGGCAGGTGTGGGAGGAGATGGGCACTAGAGAAGAAATAGGTATGACCCAGCAAAGACAGTGCACAAATAGAAAAAATCCCACAGGACAAACCCAGACCATGCTCGGCAAACACCGTGCACAAATAGAAAACTCCCATGGGGTAAACCCAAGACCCACAGAGCGAGATAGCCGGCAATCACCGAGACCAATTGATTTCACGAATAGATTTTCCCATGGGCCTTTCCCAACTGCATAATGACCGATTACCTATATTCATAGGACTTGGAACTTTCTCACCAGATAGCCATGAAATAGCCTGATCAATGGCTCTGTATATGTTGGACCAGAGGGTCAGAGACATGGTCTTCTTGTCTCCAATGGTGTTTCCTATGGCCGCAGTGGCGAGTTAGCTGGAAAAATTGTGAAACGTACTGAGAGCAGGAGATACAGCAGCTGTGTGATTGATGTAGATGTTAGGGGAAGTTCCATGGCCATCATGCTTCATTGACCCTTGATAGTGATTATAAGCTTTATGCTCATGTTGACCTCAAGCAGCCTGAGAGCCGCATTTAGCCTAATCAACATACGTGTACATGACAAGAAGCAGAACAATTGATTAAACTGTAGTCAAAGGATGTGAATCAGACTGGATGGACACCCATTGGCCCGAGACCTGGCGATAGACTGTCAGGAAAGTACTTCTGAGCCACAGATTGTTCTAGGTTAAGTGATGAACTTCTTAGTCAATAACACGAGGAGGAAGTGTTGGTCTTAGTACCTGCAGGTTGGCACCAACAAATTGGGCTGTGACACTATCCCCAACTGCATATGAAGCCTTAATGTCAGTTAGGATATCACCGAAATGCTTCCCAATTGGCGCAGCATTCTGACCTATCCCATTTCTCCGGTGCAGATTGACACTGCACAGAAGTTTCATCAATGCTAGAGGAAGAGCGACTGTTCTGGCCCCAGGAAATACTGTAACCAGGAATATATAGGATCATGGGGAGCACAGTTTGGGCCTTTGATCCTCACCTTGTTTACATGCATTTAGATGCAATTAGGGCATTGCAGTGCATGTCACTGTTTGAGAGGAAGACGATAACATTGACTAAAAATTCATATTGAATTGGCTGCGGTGAGGTCATCAGTAGTCATGGTGATGGCCAATGACCAAGCTAGCATCATTGGTTCTGCGATTGTTGGAAATCAGAGACCCAATCTCCATCCCAGCTTCCCACTCATACCCCTCTACTCCAACCTCATTCCAGCCTTCTCCTCCCCACACTACAGCCCTTCCATCTCCCAGCTATATCGTCTCTTCACTCTGAAAGTCCCCACCCCTCCTATTGCTGTTCTCCTTGTTCTGCATGTCATTGTCGGGTTGGTGCTCCATGTGCCCTCTCGCTACGAGATGGAGGCCGATATCAAATCCCGGAGTAAATCCAGGGTTGTCCACATGCTCCGAAGCTGTTTTCAATAGCAATTCACCCCAATAGTGATGTCGGGGGTGATAGTGGCAGCGGATAGTACAAGAAAGAGGATGAAGACCAATAACAGGCCGGCTGAGTACCACAAATCTGAAAAAGGAAAGGAATTCACAGGACAATGATGAAGGTTGAAGAAAAGTTCCCACGACCTGGCCAGGGAGAATCCGACGGCAAATGCCGTGTTGGACGATCAAAAATTTCTTTTCAGGTTGGCATAATGACCGATATCTATATATACATATAGGACTCGGAACCGGAAATTGTTTGCACTAAAGGTCAACATCATTAGCTGCTCTCGGCACACAGGCTTAGCTCACATACACAGCTGGGTACAGTCGCAAGGTTTCTAGACAGAAATGGTCAGCTAGATATTAGGAATCGATGATTGATCGATATCGTACCATTGAGGAATGCCCGCAGATATTTCATATCACGAATGTCCTCATATGTGGGTCTCCAGGTGCCGACTTTTTCAAGAATCTCTGCTCGTATGCGGGAGGCCATACTCGGATGTTCACACAACATATACATCACAAATGTCAGCAGAGAAGCCGTCTACAGTCATCTTCATAAGGGAATTTTCGAGCGAGAGTCACGTAGAAGAACATACCGTATCTCGACTAGCAGCCAACACGTTGATAATCTCATCTTGAATAACTTTGGGATCTGCAGAAACTTCTATGAGCCAAATCATCTCGGCTTATAATAAGCGTTTACCGTCAATGTCCTCAACGAGACGATCCAACAAGGACATGTTCTCAACACTCTTCTCGGCGTCCCCAGACTTGATTCCTTTAGCCTTTCGGTCGAGTGCTTCGTCAAGCATTGGTCGGCTAAAGTCATCCAATGCTCGCCGGTGCGGTTTTACCTTATCCGAGAAGATTTCGTAAAGAGGCCAGAAATGTCCCCTCTCCCCTCGGGCAACAGTATACTCGTTTGCTCTCGCAAGCGCTGTTCCAAAGATATTAGATGGGTGATTGACGAAATGGAGATCTCCCGCCAGCGGGGATCCGGCTGGGTAAGGAAGCCCGGCAGATATCGAATTGACATCTCTTCCAAATAGGAACTCCGTAGCCGAGTCAAGAGTGAAGCGTGCGACAACATCCTAGGTGCATTATCAGCAAACGACTATTTAAGTGTTATGAGAACTGACCTGAAAATCGACGGGATAGCCTTCTCTCAGTCTGGCTTTGATTTGGGCTATCGTGCTAACGGCGTGTCTTTCGAAATTGTCAAAATCAGAAATTCGATCTTTGTTGAAGAACGGCCTTGTCATCGTCCGGTGAAACCTGATCGTATATCAGCATTACGAACTCTCCATAAAATTGGAATGCTGAGCTCACTTCCACATTTCATCTATCAGTGATCAGTGAATACCCCCATCCGATGGTTAAATTCAAGTAAATATCATACTGTCCGAATTAAAAACGCCAACTCCAATAAAAGCTTTGGCAGCCGAGACAGACAAGGAGCCTAGAGCTACCGTTAATAACTTCTTGATGAATAGAAAGCGGCTAAGAACCTCTCCAGAAGTCTTGGAACTGAGTGGCCAAGAGAGCCTAAATATGTGGCTGAGTGAGAAATATTCAAGGGCTGTTACGAACAGAAGCTTACCTTGATGTGTTCTGGTCCGCTTGTAAAGACCTTGTTGCAGTTATTAGAGTGGAAACTACGAACAAGTGGGTCACCTACCTGTCTGTTCGAAAAGATGTTGAATGAAAATGCGTTTCCGTATTCTTTGCTCCATTCCTGGAACACTTCGCCTGATGTCTATTCATTATTCGAACTTTGCTCAGTACAAAAACTCGAACGTACTTGGATATCCACTCTTGAAGCGATTCGAAGTACGCTGTAAGTTAGAAATGCTGTTTCCCTGAACGCTAGGCAATATGAGGGCGCCCTGTGCAGCTGCTTCCCGATGTATGGTAAAGTCCGTGATCAAGCCGCGAAGTAAATGAACGGTAATCCTTAAGACCAATAAGGCGACCAAGACAAGCCCAGTAGGAACGCTGAAATTGGATGGTATCAACACAGTTTGGAGGGTCCAAAGGATGACGCAAGGAAGAATTATGACAGAGAATAAGAATCGAGATAGATAGGTCAGTCCTGGAGATATGTACTCCATAGCGACCGTCGATTGTATGAAAGCTGCCCAGTATTCACTGGATTTATACTTTCTGGAAGCGTAATTGAGATGACTATATCCATCAGAGTTCGGATATTTTGATTCCGTTGCCATACTCACGACTAGTTGAATCGCATTCTGAAGAGGATTGGGCGGCAGGCATTTGCTTCGAATGAAAAGAACCCAATCTCGCTCATTACTATTAGCCGTCTCCCGCGAGAGGAAAGGTAGGAGGAAAAAGAACGCGTTCACTGAGATTAAAATCTGAAAGACTGTTATGTCGCCTCTTCGTCGGTCTTTGTTCGTGCTTGGATATAGCTTGCTTACGTACGTCTTACCATCCATACAGAATTTGAATGATAGTCAACCCCTCTTGTGACTGGCTCACTTGACCTCCAGTCTAAACGTCTGTGCTTCTCCTGTGAAAGTTCATGGCCCCGAACTCCCGAGTGACAAACAATGAATACATACTCTCTCATGGATTTCCTTCGCTTTGACACGGCTCCGATGACTAAGTAGTAGAGTAAATGTTAGCTCAGTTATGATTATAAACTATGGACAAAAGAAAACGGACAGTATGCATGCTCACCCGTCGATTTTCGAACACGGGGCGATCAGAGAGCACCACTTCCCTACTGGCAGTAAATCTCGCAACTAGGGGACTAATAGCATGCTACAAGGTCAGTGGGGCAAACAACGAAGACCAGGAAGGCATGTTGAAACCAAAGTTTCTATCTTGAGCTAATTTTGCATAATCAAGTCCTCACTATAGGCGTTCAGTTCGAATCGTCGGAATCGCGTCCGAGTTAGCCTCTGATGAATAATGCAATGGACCATGTATCGACATCGCGTCAAGGTACTGGTAATAAGGCCTCTCGACGCGTCAGAAGTGCACAAGGCATAGAACTGAAAAGAATCAAGAAGCAATCGTCTCTGAGCGCTTAGTGTCAAGAGTCCGTGGCGGGACATCGGGCCGTAGAGCGTGTGACTACGACCACGTTTTCCTCGGCATTTCTTCGAGACTCATTCATTCTCTTTCCTGCTCATTAACCACCATATCGACATCCTCATCTTCGCGATTTGATTCTCTACATGTACCGGCCGTAATCGATCAGTGGAATTACCACAGCGAACTTGCCGATAAATACAGATATGATATGCTTGAAAATGGCATCTTAAGCATCTGCCATATCTGCCGGGGTCCAAACGTTCAAAGGTCTGGTTCCGCAATAGCTGGGACGACCAATCTCATGTACGTCGTGTTTCTTCTCGACTATTGATGATGCTCAGTCGCAGCCTTAGTTTCTACCGATAGCCAAGAACTGCGGTCACCCAATGATGCCCCGGGGGTTCGCGTTCCAGACGGACGAAATTCCAACCCTGGGAATCTGAAGTTCAGCCTAACGAGACACTCACTGCAGAGTCGGTTGCGAGGAGACACCCGTGTTGGAAGGGAGGGGTTTCGTGGGTTGCTGTCCACGGGAGATCGATTACCTCGTAGACGAGTCTACTCCAATTTCGTTTCATACGTCGTATTCACGTACTCTCTTCAGGTTGATACGTCTCTTTCTGGCTCGAGTAAACGTTGGAAATGTCCACCTATTCCTCTGCCTTCAATAGCCGCCTAGGAATAACAACTAACAAGTAGCCACTGCGCCAATTTGCAATTGCCCATTTTCATAATCCTTGACTACCCTCTATGAAGCTTATAGAGGTTTCGAATCCATCTGGGCCTGCTGGTGTCAAGAACCATGACCAGCTGACTTGTGCATAACGCTCAGCTCATTCCTCGCGTCGATAGTCTAGTTGAGCGGCGGTTTTCCAGAGGGTAGTTCTAGCCCCGTTAAAGACAGGAGGTTTTGTCTTTGCTAGCACGACTCGGAGCCACTGGACAATGGTAAACCAAGCCATTAATGACAAGTTCGTGGCTTTTCGCTGACTCTAACCATTGTCTTGTACTTCGTGTTATTTGGTCGTACATTTGAAAATCCACTACATCTATCATTAGCGGATGCTATTGCAGTATAAAAAGCTCAGGCTCAAGGCAGTCGCATCACACAATTACTCTTCTTCCCTCATGGGCAAACATCGTCGTAGTCTAACTCCATCGACGCTGGCACGGATTCTCCATTATATGCCTCAGACACCGCCCAATGCTCGGAGACCTGGACGAAAATCACGGAGGCCCCCTCCTCCTTCTACACCGCCCCCAGAGGCATCCACCGTCGAAGAGTCAGAAACCGTGCCGCCGCCCATCGATCCCTTTACGTATGAACACGGTCCCACGGTCCTCATCGCTCCCTCCCGAGATGTTCACATACGCGCCTAGCTGTGCGCCTTCTGACACTGGTACGCGAAAGAACACGCCGTTTCCAAGGTCCCTTTCGAGGGAGTCCACACCCTACGATCAGGAACCTGCACCGGTCGTGGTCAAGAGGGAGAGTACCCCTACCCCTACTCGAGAGCTCTCGCCCGAGCGGGAGGATACTCAGGCTGAAGAGCCGCCCGCCAGAAAGAGCAGGGAGAGCACCCTAGCCTTACCCTCGAGTCAGGAGACGCCCGAGCTAAAGGTCTTTGAAGAGAAATTCTTTGGGGTTTAATTGATGGGACATCGATTACTGGTTTCTGTTCAGGTATTTTTTCTTCCCGTTTGTGTTCTTCCCATCTCGCTCACAACATAATTTCCAGATTGTTACGTCTAGCCTTGCTTGTCGAATGTGTCTATGCTATGCTACTACGATTGTGAAACTCAGTCGGATACGTTTGTCGTGGAAGAATCATAAGCCCATCACCACGTTGAACGTGTAGAAACGTGGAACTGGAACCAGTCTGAACGTGTGGCAATCATCACTTCACTTCCGTGTAGATGCAGTACCAACCCCACCGTGTTCAATATTTTTTTTTCCATTGCTCTTTACAGTAAACGCATATCTGCTGGGCTTTTGTTTTCACCTTTGCTATTCACTACGTGTATTAGGATCCTGACCCTTTTTGTTGTCCTGTTGCCCACCAAGCACGACACCATCCAACCTTATTGTCGCCCCATTCTTTTGCCGTCGTTCTTGACGTGGACACTGGGATAGGTAGTATTCATGCCCGTCAATGACCTCATTTATACACAACAAATCATTCGCTCATCTCTCCAACTTTGTCTCTGATTGAAATTTCCATGCCTTCCTTCTTTAATTGTTTCAATCGCCGAAAGTCTCCCAGTGTGAATAGAGATAGCAGATCTGTCTTCATGGTGGCATATAATTTGAATGAGCGAAGGCTCTTGCGCGCTTTCCACCGTGATTCGATCATCTCTAGAAAGACCTGTCCAGGAACTGTATCGTAAAGTTATCCTTTGTTGAAATGAGCGGTAATTCTCCAGCCGCTCACTCGGATTTTAGCAGAGAACCCTCGCAAACAGGCGAGGGTCATCGTTGTTCGTCTACCTATTTATCTACATGCCGTGTACGCTAATAGAAGCAATGTGATGTAATAAGGAAAGCTGAGGAGGAGAACAGATGAACAGTGCTTCCTGCTGAAGATCCCGACGTCGACTGCACCATGATGCGCGACACTTGATACTCCAACATCCTTGTCGTCAATCGTAATGCTAAGGGATTCCAATCCTCCGGGAAGGCGGTAAGGTCTACGTAGAGACTAACGTCGTTCGTTTGGACGGCTGAATAGTTCTTTGAACTCGGCGTCAACATCCTTTTGCCATTCTCCAGGGCCATAGCCAAAAGGAAGCTCTCTGAGGTGGAAGCATTGCTCGAGAAGGGTGATGAAGGGATTGATACTGAAGCCACTGAAGCACAGCTTTCTGAGAGAGCAGCCCGATCGACCTATAAGGTCGCAAGCATCAGGAATTGCCTCAGAACCCATGTAAGTGCTATGATGCAAGGACAGTACTCGTAGTGAAGGGAGTGTAATGCACGGCAGTAGCAATCGATTTCTCGTAACCAGATGACGCAGGGAGTCCTGTCGATTGGCGTTGTCAAAATTGTGGATGCCTTTGAAAGTAGGGGTCGTGAATTCTTGTAAGCGCCCACATTTCTGCAGATTTTCGAGCACAGAAGAAGGGAAATCCCTGTCAGGCCTGTTTTCATCTCGTTCTTCGTAATACGAAAGCAACTGATGCTAAGGGAAGACAAACTTGTCTTGCTTCGAGCCGTCGATGAGTTTGACATGAGTTAGGCGCGAAGCGAACTCGAAGGCATCAATCTTTCTGGTTTTTGGTTGAATCATCCACGCTTGCACTCCTCGCATCCCTATCTCCAATGATTGCAGTGACCCCAAAGATCCTCGAACATCCCGGAGCTCTGCAAACGTTGTCCGAAAGGATCAGCGAGAGTTTAGTCCAGCGACCTGAATGGACCATCAACGCGTCGAGGAGACCAAAAGCGTCGGAATTGATGTGGTGGAGAAAGTAGTCAAATGAGAAGTTGAGTCGATGGGTGCCCGAGCGTGATAACACCGTGTTCAGCATTATTAGCTTGCGGCGAGACCAAAAAGTTTCTTCCCGGTCATCGACTTGAACGCGGAAGTACAAACACAACTCTGAGAATCCAAGCGCGACTGGATGCCGTAAGCTGCTAATATGAATGATAACCCAAGGTCCAGATTTCACGTCGGTAACGCTGAAACCTCGTTCGGGAAATTTTTGGATTATGCAGCGAAATATCTCCATCAATCTCTGGAGTAAGACATGCCTCCGACACCCAGTGAAATGGGCAGAAACCCCTACAATGGGTGTTTGGCATGACTTTTCTGAGAATAGTGTTAAATTTCAGATACTAGCCTTTTCCACATAAAATTTGTCAAATATTGATGCAAACCCCAGATTTGGCGCTTACATAAGGGTGCTAGATCCACACGACGCCTGTTCTGACGGACTTACTGTTGGTGTAGAGGGCGTAAGCGTTATTACCGTATGCGGTCCTCATTAGTATCGTGGACATGGTGTCCAAAAACATCTATCGGCATACTTATGTCGTCAACACCACTTGGGCACAGACGGCACACTTCTCGTAGGGCGAAAGAATTGTCTAAGTTCCTCAAAGCTTTGTTCTGAATTGGACATTTCTTGCAGCTTCATTCTTATTAGTATGCGGGTGGGAGAGGGATTATTCCCGATGGTGTCATCCCAGGCGGAATCGTTTAAGCCGTCTGTAGCAGGTGTTCGCAGTATCTTCCAAGACGCATCTTTGACAAACATCTCGCTGGTGCCGTCCAGGTAGTCGACGAAAATCGTAGTAAGGAGTCTAGTGGGACTACTGCGTTGATGACGATAACATCGTCGATTTCACGACAATGTTCCTTGAATTCATGTACACATCGTAATGTAGGATCTCTGAATACAAGATATATTTACTTTTGAATCTTCGTGAATATTTATCGTACTTGCCGTGCTCACAGCGATCCGTTTCACTAAGTATATATTGGGTCCATATGATGCAGGACCTGCCCAGTCCCACGTGCAAGATGTCGGAGTGAGCTGTATTCTGGGTTAACTTGTATCGAAGTCGAAGCTGTGTCCAGAACGAATGCGGTTACAGCCGAGTTCGGTGCAGTGAATACCCGGGATACGGGTTCAGTGGGACGACTAAACACAAGAAGTCGCATGAAAGGCAGTCTCCAACCGAATCCTCTGGATAAAACAGCGAGCATCTCTTTGGATGGATCAGATTCATCTAGACCATCGATGATAACGACCAAAGGACCCTCGTTAGCCAAATCCCGGAGATTCTCCAAGGGCCTTTGAAGAAGTAAGCGAAATTGCTCACTCGCTGCCATTGACAAAACGGCTCTGTTTCTGCGAATCACTTCCGAAATAGCAGTCCCGATCCGATTATCAAACAACCCTAACGAGTATGCAATACTCGTGATCAAGTGTGATGCATCGGAGTATTCAACACGATCATAGCGAATGAAAGCGCCGAGACGCTTGCGTGTCTTGAGGTGGACAGTGAGAAGTTCATGGAGCGTACCCACGAGCGAGCTCTTCCCCGTCCCGGCTAAGCCGCTGCACCACAGCATACCTCCGCTGCACTCTGCGATCCAAGCCATGAGATAATTGATGGCTTCGACGCGTGTACCCTTCATGCACGTAGATTTGGGTCTGAGCTCGGTGGATGGACGAAGATCCCGGACTGAATCCTTCATGGCTAGATGCGATTTTGAATGCCGGTGTGTATGCGTAGGTTCAAATACGTACTCAGCTCGTTGACCTGCTCTTGGATCCCCAGCGTCACTACGAGGCCGTCTTTTGCGACATCATCATGTAACTGATTACGCAAGTGTTTAAAACCTTCACAAAACTCCTTGGCCTTGTCCGACAGGTTCAGGGTGAACATGCCCCCTATAGAAGGCAAAGTTGAGGCTTGAGATTTTCGAATACAAACTCATTCCACTATACCTATCCGTTTCTTCACATAACCTTCAATGAAATAGGAGCATTCGATAGTTTGCTCAAACAGGCACTCATAGACACGATGAAGCCAGTCTCTCCTTTGGAGTATTTCATCCTCACTGGCATTCAGATAAACATTCAGCATGGTGTCATAGAGGTTCAAGACGAGCTGGTTTTCTTCTTTGTGCTTCTTCAAAACCTATTGATTGAGTGACGAGTCAAAACAGACTGCTATTTGAAGAGCATGAATAATTAACCTACATTGAATTCGGTGGACACAATATTGAACGCAATTTTGGCGGCAGGATGGACCTAGATGTGTGTCAACTGAGCTGATGGATCATTATACTGCGAGCACACCTCGGCTAGCATATCGATCATTTTCTTCAAGGGTTCCAGTGAATCCAGTGCAGTTACAATTGTACCGGGACGCTGATTGGGCTTGGTGATCGCCTTGACCGGCTCTCGTGCGATCCTCGCTTCCAGATAAAGCATATGAGACTCATCGTAGTGCTCGACCTCTGAATTTGTCACGAACCTCGGATATACCTGACAATCTGGACGTCAGTAAAAATATTCTGGGACTTTCTTTATGGTGTCTGACCGTTCCTTGTCTACGGCTTGGGCAACAAGCTTCCGGTATACGACTTGAGTAGCAGGTTTCCTGTCTACGACTTGAACAACAGGTCTCATCTTTTGGCGGCGCACATCAACAGGATGTAGAAGATTGATTACGCTGAATGCGTACCTCCCTTAGCGTAACATGTATCGGCATCGTGAGCTCCAACCAATGTTCCGGAACAACGGGCCGGAAGCCCCTTGGTTCCTGCAGATTTCGTAGTCGCCATAGCGTTTCACGACCTCGTTTAGTCGGAAAGACTTCCTTTCGCAGTTGGCCATTGTTGAATGCAACTTCAGCTGATCCACCAGTTTTTTGCTTCGAATCCCATGCATTGCGAATGGCGTTGTGCGGTGGCAGATGGCCAAGGGAAGAATAGATATTTGCCGGACGCAGACCGTACGACATGATGGACCCACGCTGGAGCAGATCCGAAACAATCATCTCAGCAGCTTCAGCGCCATCATAGACGCTGCAATATATATCCCTGTTTGCTCCTGACGACTGTACGAATGTGAAGTCCATCAGACAGAATCAGAATCACCGATTTGTAAGTACACACCTCTTGCACCCGTGTCATTGCGCCGAACATCGAACTCAGAAACAATTCTAGATACCAGCTGCCAAGCTTGATGATTACCTCCATCCATGATAGAAAGTGTTTATTAAAGAGTGTTCGGATATGACCGGAGTCAGCAGCACCGAAACAATGGACATGCCACAGGGGTCCTAATATCGCATAATCGCGGATATAAGCAGGTACACGATTGCGGGATTTGTTGGTTGAGGGACCCCAGGAACTGAAGAACGTGTTCAAGAGGGAGAGACACCGTCGGGCAAGGTTCCTCTCATGGAGTCGAATATCTATAAACCAGTCGTCTCTGTGTCTCTGCGGGTCCAGTAGAAATTCTTTGAAGGACGTATGCATGAGCTGAATACGCCCCTTCTCGGATGTCAACTCTACAACACTAGCCGCATTTGAGAGGGCACAATGACCTAGGGTGTCGTCTCCATCAAAAATGAGAGCATGAAAACTCTCCGGAGTCAAACCCGGAGGTGTTTCTGCAACAATGATGGCTCCCAATAGAGCACGAACGCAGTACTTGATTCGAATGCTCTCGCTATTTGGATGCCTATCAGACGTTATGGCATCAAGAGCTGTCTGATAGAGATCCGTCATAGGTTGCGTGACTTCATGGGGGATATGATCTCCCAGCAGCGCGTTAAGCCTGGGTTTGCTCGGAAAATCGGCAATGAATCGGCAAACGGCTTCGGCCCAAATAAACAAGCCATTCGCCCGTCGAGTTAACTTCTCGACGGCATCAAGGCCTGCACACAACTCCTGAAACCTTCTTGCTTCATAGCCCTTCAGGTCCCTAGTGTAGATATTGGTAAATTGGCGTCCAATGTAAGTTCGGATGTCGCTATAGACCTGCTTTGATGAAGTGTCCAAAGTGAGCGGCACGATACTGCTGGTATGGGCAAATATAGCAGAGACGCGCTCGAGAGACCTACTAGACACAATTAGTCGCATGAAAGGTAATGCTGACCCAAATCCTTCGGCGAGAACTCTGAGGATATCATCCGATGCATCACTTTCATCCAGACCATCGATGATGACAACCACAGGGCCTTCACCAAGCAATTCTGGGATACTCCGTAGCGGTTCGCGAAGCAGCCGGTCAAACTGGACCCGTGGAGACGGCGGCAAAACAGGACCGATCTTGTGAACGGCCTGGGAAATGGCACGTCCAATCCTCCCATCGAAAAGGGCAAGTGAATATGCGATACTGGTGATGAGTTTCGATGAATCAGTGTATTCAAGGCGATCGTAGCGGATGAAGCTGCCCAGACGATCACGTCCGAATGCAGACGAATTGAAGAGTTGACGGAGCGTCTCCATAATCGCGCTCTTTCCAGTCCCAGCCACTCCTGTGCACCATAACGTACTGCTGCTGCAATCAGTGATCCAATCCATAACATCGCTGATTATTTGAACGCGTGTGCCATGCAAGCAGGCCGATTTAGGATGCAATTGGGTTGGCGGTCGCAGACTTAGGAGCGACTGTCGCATGGCTGAAAGTGTCATTAAGTTTTGGGGAGATGATGATCAGTTATATAATATACCGGGCACATTCACCGCCTCTGCCGCCCCCCAAGCCAAGACGAGGGCATCACTTGATGAGGAACGCAACTGCTTAGTTAGGTACTGAAATTTGGCTCCAAATTCGGCGACCTTTTTTGATAATTGTCCGCCCAAGAGATGTCGTGGTGCAGCACGTGGATCAAGTACTCTATGCCCTAGTGCAGCATGCGAATCAAGCACCCTGAACTATTGGGTGTATACGTACCACCGACATGCCCCTTCGTGTACTCCATTATGAAGAAAGTGCATTCATTAGTCTGCTTGAAAAGTGCCTCGTAAACATGCTGGAGGTTCCGGTGATTCTGCAAGACTTCATAGCGGCTAGCATGCTCATAAGTCGATAGCATAGTCTCATACAATTTGATGACAAGCGGATCTGCACCCCGTTCCCTCCGTAATAGCTATGCGAAGATTTAAGAGTGATCGGTACTAGAGATTGGGTGACGCACATTAATTCTGACTGATAGGAAATTCCACGCAATGTTGGCGGCGGGAAGGAACTGATAACAAGTGATGTCAGTCGGGCGTTCTTTGTGTATTAGAGTACCTGTACCCACCTCTGCAAGTGTATCTATCATCTTCTTCACCTCAGACATCCTATTTCTCCTGAATGACGGTATCGCAACCTTAGAAGTAACCTGGAAAAGTTCCGTTGGGTACTTGGTTAAGCCGGTGTTCTCCGAGTGCCATATCTTGAGTTTCGCCACTACAGATGGTGGTGAAGCATTTTTTATGAGCGAAACTACCTTATCTAGAATGGGTGAGCCAGTTGAGACACCTTGTAGTGAAGACGGGCGCACAATCCTCCACTCCGCCAAACATATCACTCGTCGATATCTGTGTAGTACCAAGAGGTACATCGAGGAAATATTTGTGATGATACAGCGTAAAATGTACAGCAGTAGATGCATCGAAGGAACTTGGGCAGTAAAATATAACTCAGACGACACCCTCATGATGAGCTCGCTCACATTTTCAAATTAAGATGCCATTTTGCCACTGAACTGTCGGGTTCCACTTTGAAAGAATCGGTTTTGTAATGAACCTTTCCATCGATAGAAATTTGGATAAACACTATGGCCGCTGCCCTGGGAGGCTGCAGCTCTTGGACTTCAATGTCTAATGCATGTTAACAGCGAATAGCTCTCGCAAGATCGAAAACACGAACCCTGAATAAAGCTATGCCTGTAGTCGTAATGAGATGCATGTTGGTTAAGGGCATTGTATCAGATAATTACTTTGGACCTTCTGACATCCTTGCGGGGCATTCGCTGGCGTGGTGGCGGTAGTCAAGTACACGCTCGGTCCACTCACGTGCACTGACTCAGTGAGACACAGCATTCCCGTGACTTTCCTCCTCCTTCCTATTCACACGGAAAAGAGTCAAGACAACGGAAAAATGTGATACGGCTACTACGTATAGTACTTAAATGGTACATATTGTACATATGGCACACACGTTCGTAATGGGCATCTTTCCGTGATTTCCTTGTCTGTGCTGAAGATTAAAGGTTAGAAAATTCAAGGTGGAGAGCATTCATCACACGTCGAATCACCCAGGGAAATCAGATGAATGAGCGGAGGGACTGGAACAAGAGGGAAGGAGAGTGGCTGAGGACCTGTACCTCCACCGCGTCTTAGTAGTTAGCGTACTTGTGGCAGTTAAGGAATTGCAAAAAAAAAAAATTAATTTTAAAAATAGAATTCGGAAGGATTCGGAAAGAGATTTTTTCAGCCACAGTGGCAACCCGGCAAACGAGCCACTCCGTGCCGCATGCTCGCCTCGCCGATCATCAAAAATCACTGGTTAAGCCGAGCCAGAGTATAGCCCTGTCCAGACAGTTTGGCGCTACTCACGACCAGTTAGCTCCTGCTATAACCCTCTGTCGTTTCTTCATTCTTCGGAAAGATTCGGGAAAAGGGGAATCCTTGTCCAAATGGCACAGCCACCCCTGCCAGTTGGGACCTTGCACGGTACCGACACCGACACAGGACTCGGAATCGGTTCTGTGAACTTGCCTGGTGAAGATACAGTGGCGGCAAGCATGCTTTCTTAAAGGAATGCAACGGTGATAGGATTTATCACGATGGACCCTGTCTTCTTCTCACACGGCTGAGCTCAAGGTTTGTCACATGTGGTAAGTGCTTGCCCTTGTCTTCCATTACTGTCAGTAGCATCGGAGTTCCCCCCTCCCCTCCTCAGGGGCCAGTTTCCCCGAGATGTTCGAATGTCAGAGGCAAGTCTTTGTGTAGTATATTTCGGTTCTAGTCTCATTTTAACTTTAGCTGTTATATCATTAAGGGTCCGTCTCCACCTCCCACTCCCACGATATCATCCGTCTCTAACATGCACCAGACGTGGAAGTTCTCGAGCTCTTGCCTTGCAATGAGGCGATCCAAGTCTATATGCGGATTGCTATTGCTGGAAAGGTCGCCCACAAAACTGGTCTATTTGAGCTGGACACTACATTGGTACCCAAATGGACTCTTAATTTAAAACCGTAAGTGAGTATATCAGAAGGAAGAGGGTAGTCTGACCATACGCACAAAGAATTTTTGACGCATCGACGGTTGTAGATTTTACACTCTGTCGTCCCCGTAAATATTGGCGCGATGAACGTCTTGGTACCGCGCGGATATCGGTTGCTGATATGTTTGGCGAAGAAGAGGGTTGTGCGTCCACCCTCACTATGCAGTGTCCCCCGTCGCTCATTTAACTTCAGATACGACGCTGTTAAGCCATGCTTCGTCTTTGTCTACAGGGACGAAGCTTAAGATATCATACTCGGAGACTACCGACTTCGATGAAGAGTTCGCGACCGAGTTTGTCAACACCACTGCTAGGCCCACAGAGATGTCGGGGAAAATTAGTCGGATGCTTGAGCGTCTAGAACCCATAAAACAGTCAATAGATGCACTTGCAGAGGTAAATGAAGGATCACAAGATCCGTCCCACCATCCAGCTGATGTGGCATGTTACTTAGCTCCATCCCGCTGCAAGGATTGCATGGAGTTTCCTGTCACTCGGGATTGATGTGTGTAGCCCACTCTTCAGTACTATTCACTTTTTAATCCTTCGTGCAGCAATTGCAGAAGCGATCGGATACAGATGCACTTGTCATCGATCTATACGAGACTATGCTATCGACAAACGAACAGGCAATTCGTGATGAGGTGTTTCGGAACCGCGAGAGGCTCCGTCCTGTTTACGGAGCACTCTTCAAACAAATTGTCGAATGCACGTTCTTCATCTCAGGATACACAAACAGAACTTATCTTGGTAAGTTGGTATATAGCATTATGCAACGAAAAAGACGCTGACTATTCTATCTCAAAGGTGCACTAGTGGGACACAGCCCGAAGAAAACAGCCAACAAGGCCGCAAAGTTCCAGAATGGATTCAAGAGATTGACCGAGCAATTCAATTCCACTATTGTGAAAGAAACTCTAGTCGTGACCTTGCGGACTGAAGAGAAATTTGACAGCCTCAAAAGAATTGTGACCGAGACTCTGTCGGTCACTGTGGGGATTAAAGAGAAGGTTGACGAGCTCAGTACGCCTAATATTTTATCATTGCCTTCCTAAAATTTAATACGACGCAGTACTGCGCGATGATGTATTACCGGCTCACCAGCGGAAGCCCAAGCTGATGTGTTTAGAAGGCACCCGTGTTGAAGTGATCAATGATGTCATGCATTGGATCTCAGAGTGTCGTGGTAGCATGTTATGGTGTACTGGGGTAGCTGGCACTGGAAAGAGCTCGCTTATGGGGACACTATGTCAGGCGCTCAGTACTGAATATGCGTGCGGACGCAACCGTCTGGGTAGCTTCATCCGCTACGATCGCCTTGAATACACGGATTCATCGAAACTCATCACCAGTATCGCATATTCACTTGCCCTTTTCGATGGGAGGATTGGACGTGCCATTTCCCAGGCCGTTCACAAGATCGGTCCTGTTTTGCCGCCGTCTCCACGGGTCCAGTTTGACCGGCTGCTTCGCGAACCGCTACGGAGTATCCCAGAATTGCTTGATGAAGGCCCTGTGGTTGTCATCATCGATGGCCTGGATGAATGTGACACATCAACCGACGTCCTCGATGTCCTTGTTGAAGGATTCGGGCCAGAATTACCCTTCATGCGGCTCATCGTGTCTTGCAGGTCTGCGGAACGGATCTCTCGTGCATTCACGCCAAAACTCCATCATGCAGGCATCACCCGAGTCCTTTTGGACACGTCGTCAAAGGATGTCAATAGTGACATCCGAAAATATATTGCTTTCCGTTTTAGCAGTATATATGTCTCTCTGGTAGAACGTGCTCAGGAGGTGAACAGATCCCATCAGCTGCGCTCAGAGGATGATGCAGTCAAGGAGTTGGCTCAACGGGCGAATGGCTTGTTTATTTGGGCTGTTGCTGCCTGCACATTCCTCGAACAACTACCCAGCGAAACCAGACTGGAAGAGCTTCTGGGAAGTCGGATCCCCGATGACGCTATTCAATCATTAACAATGCTCTATCGCACAGCTCTAGATCTCATAGTGACCGAAGGTCAAGAGAAATTAAAGAATGCGGATATCAGGCGCTGTATTCGTGATCTGCTGGGTGCTATTGTTGTAGCAGAAGTGCCTCCTGGTTTGACTCTGGAAGCAATTGGTACTTTGGTTCTCAAACCGATGGATCCTGCAGGGAGGATCATTTACTCGAAGTTAACCAGTGTCATAGAAATGAGCCCGGAGCAAAAGGTTCTTCGGTTGATGCACAAATCGTTTGATGATTTTCTTCAAGACAGGGATAGGAGCGGAGAAGAATGGTATATTGACGCCGACGAACACAAGAGGAGCCTCGCCAGGCAGTCGTTATCGTCACTGAACAAGTTTTTGGGTTCCTGGAAGCTGAATGCCACTAAAGATGTTTCAGCGAAGCAGGGTCGTGATCAAATTCCTCCTCATATCCGCCATTACGCTGTGCTGGGACCAGCGTGGCACATTACCTCTTTCGACACCCATGACTTTGGTTCAATCGAGGTCCTTTTTGGCCAGCACTTCCTATCATGGTTGGAGGTGATTGTCACGCTCGGCACCTGGTACCTGAACCGATTTCTTAGCTGCATCTATGATGCGAAGGATTGGATACAAGGAGTAGGTGACGAGCCGTGACCATTTCATTTCATGTGCTGACCTTGCTCGAAGATCCCGCAAGCAGGTAGCAAGCTTCGTTTTGGCATCAATGATGCCGTTGAAGCCGCTGACAAAATCATTCCGTCTTTGCTTGATTCCAATGCTAAATGTGATTTGTGCAATCTCCATCCGGCAGATATCTATCCTGTTCTCAGGTTACTTCCCCCTGCTAACGCCATTCGAGGGCATTGGGAGCAATACCAAAACCTTAATATATCAGCAGCGTAGAGCTACTTCCTTCACTGCGAGCTCGCAGGTTCTGCGGCTACTGGATAATAGATAACGGTTGGTATAACAGCGTCTTTGGGGGGCCGTGATATGAACACTTGATTTATACCACAGAACGACGATGTCTCAGATTCTGATCGGACCTGGGGTACTGAGCATCGCAAATTGTATTCAAGTATCAGCAGCATGTATCCCAAAAACGTTTTTATGTGCTGATCACTGAGCGCTATGCTACACCCTGCCTCCTCCAATGGACCGTGTCGTGCAATGCTACATCAGATACCCCAGGATCTCGGCTTGCATGCAATATCGGTGGCACTAAACGTAAAGCGATGCTGGCCCCTGGGACGTCGTTCAACTGTTCATCTGCTTTCCAGATCTTCCGATTTCCAAGCGTCTCAGAATTCAATGTCCGATATTTGCCTGCGTCGTAATAAACTAGGATCAGCATTTTAACATCCTCCCTGAGCTCCAGGCCTACATGAAAATTTAAATGCACGTATACGGGGTACATTCACTCCCTTCTCTCATTATCTCACTTTTCCCCTTCCTCTGGCCTCTCTTCTCTCCCTCCTATTCTTCCTCGCCTCTTTGCATTTGTCGTTGAAGACATGTACGACTGCTCCTCGCTGCTGTACGCGTCATCGAGGCAGTCGGTGGACTCGAAAGTTTTCGTCTCGTGACCACCATCACCGGACCGGAATTCGTTCGTTGATATCACATTGACAGTGCCTACGACGATACCATTCAATCACGGTGAGCGCTTTACTTGATGGCTTCATTTGTTCTAACCTTATAGGTGCCCTATGATTCGAAGTCGAATCTAGACTGAATGGTACTCGCCGCCCTAGCAACGTTAGACTCGACTTGTTAACATTTCTACTCTCCTCTCAATACATCGTTTCCCGCAGCATTTCTTACGCTCCAGCTCTACAGTGAGCTACTTCTTTATTTCAATCAGCCATTGACGTCACACTCAAAATTTTCTTCATAATCATTGTTCCTAACAGTAAAGCCCTATCTGATTATTGGCCATCTGTTATTAGATGCTCGGTTCGGTCGTCAGCCAGCTGTGAACTCTTCCGGGCTACACTTGCAGACAACATCCTCAAAAGCGGTACGTAGGAATGGATGCCGTCAAGATACTTTGCTAAACGCTAAACACACTATCAACTGTCGACATACGTTCCAAGACACCGTTTTTCCCTGTACTGACATCTCCCAATTCATGGCCTCGTTTCTAGCCATTCACGGCTATTGTACCTATCACTATGCCTTAGTCATCGAACATCACTCTGCAACCATCGATCATTGGAAACCCACAGTCATACGTATATTTTCGAAGCCCTCCCGTTATCAGCCAAGTTTTTCGCTATGATCGAAATGTCCATGCCCTCCCCTTTCAGCTGTTTCAACTTTTCCATCCCCGTTCCTAATCGTCAATTGTGATGCTCAAGGATTGCAATCCAGGTATGGCGTCATGTCCGCTTAGAAATCCCGGGCGGCGCATAGTTCGAGATCCAACTAGCTCCGCGAATTCATTATCAACGTCCCATCGCCATTCGCCAGGACTATAGGAAAAAGAGAGCTGTTTCAAGTTGGGACATTGATCGAGAAGTTTAGTGACAGAGTCGGGGCTGAAGCCATTGAAATACAGCTCTGTGAGAGAACAGCCGGATCGGCCAATGAGGTGGCAAACACGGGAGATTGTTCGGGGGCCTGTTCCGAGTCCTATGAATATAGGTATCGGTTATTATGCCAGTTTGAATTATCGTGGGAAAATCTATTCGAGGTATCAAACCTTATCGGGTTTTGCCGACTCGCCTACCTGGCCTTACCGTGGGAATATTTCTATTCAATGCCGTCTTTATCCGCTTGCCTGACCCGTTACTTTCCGTTTTGCTTCCACTGTTTCACATACTCGCTTTCTTCCTCTTCCGCCCGGTTTCTTTCTTTCTTTTTTCTCATTCGACTTTCATTTTTTGCTTTCTTTTTCCGTTTTTCTCTCTTATATTCTCGTCGTTTCTTTCTATTCTTCCTCATCGCCCCATAAGTCAGCTCGTTCGTCATCTCTACTTCATCTATTTCCACGTAGCTTACTCTGTCATTCCAATGTCTCTTTCTTTCTCTCCTTTGAAATGTGCCTCCGCCTCCGCCTCTTCCCCTTCTGCTTTGTACCTTACCGTCTCTCTCCTGTGCTTGCCTCCCATCTCTATCTCTTCCTCTTCGTACTCGAACCCGATTCGTCGTTTCATCTTCGGCGTGCGTTGTGGGTCCTTGTCGCTCGCAACACTCTTGTTCTTCGCAGTGTTCTGAAATAATGTTAATCTGTGTGTTTATTCGTTCATTGGTCGTGGCTTACCGTAGTGTGGTCACAATATCATTTTCATCCTTATGTGGTCTCCTCAACACTTCACAAATACGATGGAGCATCGCGCTTCCACTATGTCGCCTATCCTGAACATATGTGGCCTCGGTTGGCTGGTATTGTTTATTATGGAGCGCGACACTTCACCGCGCGATTTGTAGATGCAGAGAACCAAGTATGGTTTAACGACGGCATTGCATTAGGTAGACATTCGCTACATGAAGGTCATATTGACGACGTCAACATGATGCGAGACAAGACGGGCAAAGACCGTGACATGTTCATATACAGGCAGGCCAATATATGAAAACTGGTGTGCCCGACGGAAAGAAATTTCATAGGACTCGGACATGCCACGCAGATGCGTTGGCCCTCACCCCACTAGTGTGGTCATTATGATCCAAAGATAGTCCTTGTAACGATGGAAGGGTAAGGCACCGCAGCAGCGACCGATTTTTAACAGTGAGACGACGCAGTGAATTGTGCACAACGTGACGAAGATTGGTGACACCAAAATTGCCAATGCCTCTGAAAGTGGGAATCGTGAATTCTCGTAAACGCTTGCATTGAAGACTTTTGAGTACAGAAGAAGGGAACTTCCTGCCAGGAATCTCTTCGTGCCGTTCCTCGTGATACGAAATCAATTAGTGCCATGGGAGTATGAAGTCCTCCTGGTCCGAGCCTCCGATGAGTTCAATGTGAGTTAGACGAGGAGCGAACTCGAAGGCATCGATCGTTGCGTATTTTGATTTAATAATCCACGCTCGCACTTCTTGCATCTCTATCTTCAATGATTGCAGCGATCCCAAAGATCCTCGGATATCCTGGAGCTCTGCAAACATATCGTCGGAGAGGATCAATGAAACATTTGTCATCGATCCGAATGTACAATCAATGCATCGAGAAGACCAAACCCTTTAGAATTGATGTTGTAAAGAAGGTAGTCGAATGAGAAGCTGAACTGACGTGTGCCCGAACGTGATAGCACCGTGTTTAGCATTATTGGCTTACGAGACCAAAAAATTTCCTTCCGGTCGTCGACTTGAACGTTGAAGCACGACCACAACTCCGAGCAGCCAAGTGCGACTGCACACCGCAGACTGCTGACACGGCTGAGAACCCATGGTCCGGATTTCGTATTGATAGCACTGAAACCTCCGGGAAGGTTTTTGATTGTCCACCGAAAGATCCCCATTCCGAGTCCTATGAATATAGGTTTCTTCGGTCTTTATACCATCCTGGGATCCGATTTTTGATCGTCCAACACGGCGTTTGCCGCCGCATTCTACCTGACCTCTTCGTGGGAATTTTTCATATCGTCCATCATTTTCCTGTGACTTTGCTTCCTTTTTGGAATCCAGTCTTTTACATTCTCTCCGACTTATGATACTATGGGTTCGCGATGGGCGATTTTGTGTTTTTTGGCACTTTCTATGGAGCAGTTCTAATGGTTCGCAGAATAAAAACCCTATTGCTTGAGTGATGCACGTAAATTAAGAGATACGTTGAATTTGTCTTTACATATTGTGTCATTTTCAACGTCCTCTCTGTGTAACCAGGGACTCCGGTTACTCACCGGCTACTTCCGGGATACTCAGATAGGCAGTAGCATATGATTCTCTCTCTCTAGCTTACCATCACCTGTCTCGTCTCGACATCCTTACAGAGCTCGTTCCTCGCACTTCGTGTGATTGAGTTCTCTAGTGTTGCTCTGTGGCTATGAGCCTACACTTTTTTTTTGCGACCTTCGCGCTCTGCTGTCTTTTGCTTTCCTTCTTTCACTCTGGACAACACCACGTCATTGCCTCGTTTCACACGTCGGACCGCGCAGCGCTTCAATCTCCCGATTCTTGAACCTCTTGAGAGGCCAGATTCACGGTACCAGCCCACTGCACCAATGCCTGTTGCACCCAGTCATGCGCTGACTCCTATTGATGACAACCTTGACCGCCAACCCTCGCCTAGCTCCTACTCTTCACCTATCCCTGCCCGCCCTGTACCGATGTCATCGAAACTCGACCTGCCGACTCTCACATCCATCACCTCCACAGATGTCCTTATATGGCTCACGCGCTGCGCAGATTCCTTCGAGGCCTGGTCAGCACTGAACAACGACAAGAAACTCAAACCTGAAACTCAGATTCTGGTTGCTGGACTCAAGATGGAGCATGCTGAGGCAACGGCTTGGTGGAATGAGAATCGTGAGGCGCTAAAGAAAATTATGTCATGGGACGATTTTTCTGCAAAGGTGAAGGATCGTTTTGTGCCATCGAATTGGCACTTGGATGCTCTTGCTGCCTTCTACGCAGTGAAACATGCTGCAGGTGCTGACTTCCAAACGTATGCGTCAGACCTTCAGACGGCCCGCAATGCACTCGCTTCAGCTGGAGCTGGCTATACCATCTCGGATTCCATCGTCAAGAACCATCTCCTCTTTGGTGCCCACCCTATCCTCTCCCTTTGTGTTCGCGGCACATCATCCTTTTCTACATTCTATGGCACTATGAAGCTCGATGCACTGATCAACCTGATGTCGACGACTTGGGCAAGTCTTGTTGCAGAAGGTGTCGTTCGCCTCAGGCCAGCTGTACCCGCAACTCAGTTGCCACCCAGCTCTGTTACTAGCCATTCTACACCACCATTTAATAGTACAACACCTACGTCAATGCACCGCTATCCCCTTCCGGATCTGATGTATGCTGAAAGAGAAGCCCTTCGTGCGGCAGATGGTTGTTTCCATTGCCGAAAGACCCCCAAATCACCCGATTGGAACCACCATACAGCTCGCAATTGTCCTGGTGATCCAGCAGCAGGTATTGCTCCCTGAGCCCTTCATCCTGCTCCAACGCACCAGATCGCTGGTATCATGGTTGATGGTGTGGAGATTGAAGAAACGCCTGGTTCCTTTGTGATTGATGGCCCAGACTCCTCTGACTCTGACTACGAATCAGATCATGACTTTGATTGATTGGACTACTATTCCTTGTTATGCCTGTTATTGCTCTCTTCACTTTTCTTTGACGGCTATCAACTTCAGCCAAGTTGCAATATTCTGGTCTTGTGTATCCTTATGTTCGCACCCATGAGGGATTGTATCTTTCCTTGTTCGTTTCATCCATGGTATTGGTCTTTATCTTCAACAACCCCCTTTTTTGTCGCAATGTTTTTGGTGGTTATATGGACCCATATGTTATGTTTTTAAAGTGGGGAGGGGTGTAACCAGGGACTCCAGTTACTCATCGGCTACTTCCAGGATACTCAGATAGGCAGTAGCATACGATTCTCTCTCTCTAGCTTACCATCACCTGTCTCGTCTCGATGTCCTTATAGAGCTCGTTCCTCGCACTTCGTGTGATTGAGTTCTCTAGTGTTGCTCTGTGGCTATGAGCCTACACTCCATCCTTCAGCTAATTGCAGCGGGAGCTCGTTTTCTTGTCGGCAAGTGGTGGCCGGCAATGTCGGACTTACAATTTGACTTTGACATATGCTATGATGCAATGTGGCATATAGCGATTTTTTTGACACTTGCACCTCAGCCACCTTCCGACACTTGGCCTACTCAATGGAATCCCCAAGGATATTTCTCTTAGCATTGGAAGATTTTTTTGGACATACATTTGATTTTTTTTTACGAAACGGAGCACAGGCTAAAGCTACGGAAAATCTTTATCAAAAATAAGGAATCAAACTCCGTACACTGATCGACCAGTATTTGACATCGACCCAGCAATATCCTTCTAGGATAATATGCAGAGAATGCAAAGGTCCCACCCATAAAACAGAGCAGTACAACTCGTGTTCCGAACTTCTTTCAGTTTACATTGAAGGTATAGATACCGAGCCAGACCAGACATTCTCGATGCAAGTAGCAGGCAAATCTGCTGGGTACTGCTTGACAGGGGTGATATACTATGGTACAGCACACTTTACAGCTAGATATGTGGATGGAACAGGGACCGTGTGGTTCAACGATGGATACATCAATGGTGGAACTTCTAATAAAGAAGGCGATATCACAGACTTGGATATGAAAATGTCTACCGATGGGAGAAAACCTGTACTGGCTATATACAGGAGGACTTGAGCACAGGGTATTACATGTCTGATAAGTTATGATAGGATCAAGAAGGGCGCAGGTAAGGAAAATATTCTAACTATGGACCTTGTCTCTCTTCTGATATCATGTAACATATTACGGATAAATAGAGCGGACGGAGAGCATAGGACTCGGATCCTGCCACTCGGATGTGATGGCCATCAAATGCTAGTCTAAATTTCCAGCACGAGACGACTGAGCGGGGGACAGCACCATCTTGTATTTGCGGATGACTTCTATGATGAGCCTTCCTTTCACTCTAAATATGAGCGGTTAGATATACACTCTTTACTGGCCACAGATTGGTACATACCTTCAGTGATGATAAAGTGGTTTGTACGTGTTCAATTTCTTGGTCCAGTTCTTCCAATGCATCGTATGCGTCTGAAAGTTCGGTCTCTCGAAGATTAGCTTCGTATTCGGATGGAGGCAAGTTAGTGCGAAGGAGGTTGCTTAGCGAAACGGACCATCGAGCCAAAACTGCTGAAGCCCTATTGACTTCTAGGTCTGGCTCCCGGAAGGTAGACATTTTTTCTTCAATGATCTATAATAGCATGAGGGTCTGTTGGAAAATGCGAGATGATTCTGGCAATCCGGCATTCCAGCATGCTGAGTAAGAGATTGGTAAGAGAATGATTGTATAGAAATTACTAGAATAGGCATAGTTAGTGTTGCCGTGACTCGGCTAGACTCGACTCGGCTAGGCTTATACCGACTTTGGTAATTCTAATTAGTCGAGTCGGCTCAAGCTGCCAGTGAGTCGGCTTGAGTCCTGACTCAAACCAAATAAGGAAATCAGAAGTGCGAAAGATGCTATTGCTCGATGACGGCCAACATTCTTTCTGAAATCAATACCTAACTTGGTTGGTGAGTGAATACAACCTTTGTGAGGGTCAAGTTTGCCTTATATTTGATGCATTAATCTAATTGAGCAATATTAATAAATTCTACAGAATCTTCACATGAGAGGACTGGGGAAAGAGCCAGAGCAGCCAATTGAGATGACTTTGTTGTAGTTGTAGCAAAGACTTGGAAACTGCAACAAAGGATGTCTTAGAAGCCTTGAATGGACCTAAATTACTCAGATATTGGTATAGCTGAATCATTGAAACATGACTTGGTTAGACAAGCCTCCGAGCATCAGAGAGTCTCAAGACTAGTCAATAAGTGTAAAAAAGCACTTACCTGGCAATATTTGCTGCACTATTTAAGGTTTTCTACTTGGTAACTACTTCGAAGCCTGTTTGAAATTTTTAGCTTAGAGTTGAGGACAGGTAAACAGTCGGCAATAACAATTAGCCTTGGAGGTCACCAAATACATTCAAAAGCATCAGATTATGATTTCAATTAAATACTACGCTGAAAGACGCGAAAATATGAACAGAGAAAGGACAGTAGCGAAGTGCATGAGGATGCATGCCCATATTTGGAAACACTCAGGCTAAGCCGACTTGAGCCGAGCTTGAGCCGACTCCGTTAAGGTGGGCTCAAACTCGGCTTAAATGGACTCGGCTTATCGGCTAAGTCACTTTGAGCCGAGTCGCGGCAACACTAGGCGTAGTTTAGTATAAATATGCGAAGTAAATGGGCAAACTCCTCACGAGTTTGTAATCCAGAGACTAGAGGTCTTACAAGCATTGTACTAGGATACAGTCCAAAATACAACAGGGTCTGAACTCGGGCTATGGGGAAAAGGCGACGTACATATGGATCAACTGCGCGGGTGGTGGTGATGGTCCTGAGAAGATCTGATGTTATCTGATTCAAATACAAATACCAATTTGACGAATTTGAAAACAAAAGAGTACAGAAATGGCAATCACCGCTTTGGAATTTGACACGTACCACCTTGCATGGTGTCCGAGGATATCTTAGCAGACTGGAATACTGCCTACGCGGGCTTCGACGAGCACGCTGCCCTTCCGTGCTAAAATGTTTTTCTCGGGTCTATAACCTCTTGAAGCGCGTCCGTATGAGAATCGATATATCGATATCGGTACGAAATTCTGGAAGTTGGAACAAATGTGTCTTACTGATTTTAGCCTAGGAGACATCGAGATATAAATTGGCAATAACAATGGGTCAGGCGATTCTGGACCTACTGTAGCCAGGCATTGGAACGACCCCGTGCAATGATTCCCGTCTCTAGGTTGACCGTTGCATATTCCTTTATAAAGTACAGCTCGCCAGCACAAACTCCTCAAGAGAATTCTTGCGCGGGGAATTCGTTATCCTTAGCCTGGTTCGATATTCCGTAAGCACGATCGGAAAACAGGTCAAACAGGTCAAAATCGGATTCACGCTGGTATACCTCATTCCAATACGTCGTCTATTCTCGTTCGCATCTATGGCATCCTCCACCTCTCCAACATTTGAAGAAGTAGTCGCTGCAACTGCCTACTTCGTCTTCCACCCTGGCCCGACACTTGATGAGGCCAAAGAAATTATCGCCATGCTAGACGAATTTCGTCAACGCAGCGTAGACAATATGGAACGGCCTTGCGCAAAAAACAAAAGGCGTTGCCTGAGGTGCAGCGGAGGCGAGAGAAATTAGAGGCCGAGATTGCTTTGATCAAGCAAAATCTGGCGACCCTTGCTGGGCAAAGTTATAAAGGCTCATTGGCAAGTCGGGTACGTACCGCCATTACCAGATTGCTTTGCTGGACTGATAGTATATTACAGACGACTCGGAGCTCCAAGAAGAGCCGAATATCGCCTTTTTGATACAAGAATTATAGCAAGAAGGCGAAACACGTACTAAGTGGATCGTCTACTATCCTCTCGATTGAGTCCCTTACCGAGGCACTTTCGCAGCAAGAGTGATAGTGTGGTTATATAGTTCTGTTATTGTTAGTAGTGCTCGGGACGCGTCGTACTGCCATAATGTCTTTTCAACGATTATTCTCCCAAATGTACGCGCAATCGCATATATGAATGTGATTGTGATTGTATTATGATTAGATACAACGGAAGCTACCGGATCGACGTCTTAGTTGAGAATGAGATTGCCTTAAGAAGAGGTTTACAACGTAAAAAGCCGATTTCACAGATGTAACGGCCAGAATGAAAAATAAATTCAGCACGCGTCTGCAACGCTGCCATGGCTGGTCCTTAAACTTCGATTTATTTTGCTTGCATGGTAACATATATAAATCTATTTTATTTCGATGAAACAGAGGACTTTGCATGATGTTTGATGCTAGATACGAAATTCACGTGGGACTGATTCCGCCCATGAAAATCAGGGAAGTCAGTAACATTTTTGTCTGTTCATTTCTAGCATGAAGAATTGTAATCTTTAAGAACTCTGAATATCCGGCATGTCTCTTACAAGACGACCAGGTTAATAGAGCTACAAAACGATCAGAACATCGAGTAAGTAACGAGGATGAATCCCATGGTCCTTCAATAGAATACAGATTGGTAAGTCAAAGAAAGGACCCAAATCGGCATAATCACACCCCGCAAGACGTCGGTGGCAAGCTCTGGGTGGACGGCACTGACAGAGTTGAGTCACATGGTAGTGAAGGATACGACAACGGTTCAGTGACAACACTATGATATTTTATGCCCAATAGCATCTAGCTCCGTCGGATTGGACGCAGATGTGAGAAGAAGAGAATGAAGGGTGTTTGGGCCCACTGAAGCGCGTGTTCATCATGTGATCGCGTCTAGAAAGAGGGGCCATGGCCCGATACCCGACAGATTCCTTGTTTTCGCCGAGTACCGTCAAACGAGATGCCTACGGTCCTCACCCGTGTCAATTAGAATGTGACAGATAAAGTTGGGGAAAAGTTGACGATTGTTCAAGGCGTGACCACTGTTTTTTCACTGCCAGTACTACTTTGAGGTGGCCGCTTGGGATCTGTAGTAAAAGGAAGTTGACGTCACCTGTGGAAAAATACCAGCAGTCCCGTTTCTCCTTCCTACTCAAGAGAATCGGCAAGCATTCGCAAAATACTTGCCGCCTTAGGCGATAATTTTATTACTATTCAGATTCCGCCGCCAAAGGAAAGGCAAACGAAGAAGACTGAAGTGCCCAAAGTGGATTCAAAGTAGAGGTGCGCAGTTCTCGCCCGTAGCAGCTATGGATGGTATTGAATTAAGAAGTATTCGAGCAGAGCTTCGAATTCCCTATGTATAAAGAGCCTTGACTCAATTTCTGTGTTAGAGGACAAGTATGTTAGGGCGTGCGCACTTCTTCTGTCCGTTCTTTGGACAAATACAGGGTCCATGTCTTCGTTTGCGCAGGTATACATCTCACTTGATACTAACTACAGGATCTAATTGGAATCGCACCGCCTCCCATTACCCGATCTTGCCTGTCTCAGATCATTCCAGTCAGCCAGCACGAAATCAAAACTCTGAACATTGCGTCGCACACTTTCAATATTACATCGGGGAACGCAAATCCCATCAAGACTCCCCATAATTGCCGGACAATCCTGCGGTCGATCCAAAGGAGACAGGTCCCCCTGTCTTTGTATAGACTTCCGTAGAGGCGTCCGTGTGCTGGTTCTGCTGGCATATGGCGGGTCGATGCTGCTAACCACTGATAATTCTGGTCAGTGGAGGTTCGCGAGCTCACCTCGACGGGGATGATGTCTTGGTTGACTGACTCGTCGGTCTCGAAGCATGTCCGGAAGGATTCGGGGGGCGGCTTGTGTCTTCTCCAATCCCGGCAGCGCGAAAGCCACACGAGGAATTGGATGCGAGGCAGACGACCATCTCTCCACTACGATGATCTTCCCCTCTTCAGTGAGTAATTACTAGCCTGGTCAGAAAGGCGGTGCTAAAAGAAAGAACAGAGATCGAATCACATGAAATCGGCAAGGAGGAAAAGTTGAGCAAGTCAAGGTGAGTGTTCCTTTTTGTTGAACTGTCAGCTTCAGAATTTGAAATCACCAAGCAGTGAATGCCTCTTTGGGAACAGATATCAGATCCGCTTCCGCAGATAGTTCCTGAACGAGGTCATCGATAAGACATACGACGTCATGAAGTACAACGAAGTCGAACATGGTTGGTTGGCGGCGACTGCTGAGCACTCAATCGATGTAGCAATCTTAGATGGCAGTCATTCGTTAAGAGAAAGGTTACAAATCCATTGAGTAACATACGATCTAGGATAAGGAGGATTTGCATAGCTGAACTAGTACGAGGTCCCTGATGCCCCTTCTGAGGGGAGCCCTGACTATAATGTTGCACCAATGCAGGGATGCCTTTCGAAGCGTCAGTGGTTGTGACCTGTTGGATCCGTCTGACTTACAAGCTACGAATGTGGCGCTGAAGAGATGTTACCGAGAACGACTTGGAGCACCAACGACACTTGCACTTAGCCTGCCGCCGATATTCCTGGACGATTTTAGGCCAGACACCATGCAGTGCTAGAGGGGAACGTCATAAAAATGGTACCTGTTCTTTGATGAAGTACTGACCAGTCGAGGTCAAAAGAGTCAGGGAATCACTGAATGCATTGAGCATTTGGCGCGCAGTCGGTGATGCGAGGATAGCTGGAGCTCTGAGGTTCTCGGCCTGCGCTACCGCTTTCAAGCTACTAGATGCTCAGACGTTGAATAGAAGGAGCTAGAGTCGAGCTTACAATTCTTTGTTTAGTCTTCGCACATCGGCTGGCGTGTTTCCGATGTCGGGCCATCCAGGTATACAACACTGCCGAATGCTGGATAAGCAAGGGTTATTAGGCCAGGTAACGCGAAGAACAGGAAGAGACATTATTTAAATGATGTCGTCGTATCCTCTTCAGGTGCCGCTGCTGAAAATGCATTGACGCCGATGATGCTTGAATGCAAAAGGTCGCATACCTCATCCCGAACTTCCTTCTCGCTAGCAGCCGTAACTCGTCGATATTCTTTCAGCTCCTGCTTGGCATGCCGAACAATGAAAAGCTTCCGTCCGCTGGGAAGATTGTACGGCAAAACGGGCAGTATTGGCGCATATATGCGGGTGCATCCCTTGTCCTGATAATAAGAAAACACATATCCCCGGTCCTCTCTGTTAGAGAGATTCCCTTGAATACAGGCGGCAGAAAGAATGGCGTAGTACATACGATTCAAATTGTTTCGCGCAAGAAACCTGAACAGAGTGTTTTATTAGCGGAAAAATCGCGTGGTGGATAAAGTAAGATTCTCACTCGATCACAAAGGTACACTCTATACATGATGACAAGGAATTTTCCGTTTGTAGGTTGCCCGCAGCACTGAGTCGTCGTATCAGAGTGATATCAAAATCAAGAACGGTGGGACCCACGATACAAGGCTTCTGAGATGCATTGAAAAGAAAGGCGGCATAGGCATGTTCGTTGAGATTATAGTCTGAAAGCGATGGCGGAGGAGGCAGATCAGCAATGTTCGCTCGAGCGCATTTCCAGCATAACGATCCGTGAGGTTTACTATCCAAGAAAGCTTTAAAATTCTTGGATAATCCCCCGATAATTACCAAGTCAGCTGGCGAGCACCATCCAAGTATCTGCGAGCTCGGTAAGTCATGACTGCATGAAACACAAATCGAAGTGAACGTGCCTCGGAAATGATGTAGGGACATAGTCGTTGGATAGGAAATAATACGCAGTGTGTCGAAGTTCGGTAGTTTCTGAGGTTCTTGCTTGGCATACGTGGGTATTGCTGGAGGTGGCCGGTCAAGAAAAACAATTCGTGCTATAGCGAGCGTCCATTACCAAATCGGGTTTAGGCGTCGGACCAGTCGGCAACAATTTGAAGCGGAGTTTAAAGCTTTTCACCTACACCACCCTCTGTCCAAAGTCTTGGCCATACCCATACATCCTTTCTCAACCTACACGACAGGATCCCGAGTAATGGAAAATTGCAAATCCAACTCCTGGTTAATACGCCATTGGTCTCACCGTAATTTCTGTACTCTCAGTTGACGCGTCGAATCAGTCAGTCGCGTGCCCTCGTTCTAGGAAAGAATCTCCAGCTCGCCCAATTGGGAAGGATATAAACAATCATCGACGTTCACTCTCTCCCATCGACCACCATGACATCCCATGCGACCCTCAAAGCTACGCTTTCGCCTATGTTCGACATGATAAAGAACCTGGAGAACACGCTTATCAGCGTGGATGCTGCTTATGCGGCTGCCGTTGCCGATGAAGAAGCCACAATGCTGAGAATTGGGAAGCTCGAGGCAAAGTATCGAGTCTATTCAAGTGCATATTCCTTCACCTTTTCCCTTATCAATGCCGTACTGACTCGCCGCTATAGAATACTTGAAAGCCGATAAAAATATCCTGGGCGTGAAGAGGAAGAATGAAGGTATGCTTTCTTCATTTCTCAGACTTTTGCCTAGCGTTAAAGCCTCTTTAAGCCGACCTTGACGGTCTTGTCGACGATAGCTCGAAGAAGTCTCGCAACGCCTCTACTTCCAAGGACAAAGGTACATATGTCACTGTTATACAACATCGCTTTCCGAACTAACCCTGATTTCATGGAAGCTACACGGCGCACTTTAGACGGCACTCAGAAACGTGAAAGGGCCAATGCATCATTCAGCAAGAAGGGCGAGATGGAAGAATGAACGACTTTGAATACTGTACTAGGTACTGCGATAATAACCAAGCAATCCAGCTGTGGTCTAATATTGATGTCTATAAATACTGCCATCGCCCGATCACGCCTCTTGCACAAGAACCATGAGCATCATCGACGAGACCAAAGCTGCCGTTGCTATATACCTCGCCAAACCAGCTCCTACTCTTGCCGAACTGATGGCGATTGTCGACGTCGTTGACGATGCCCATGCCAAGATCCTCGAAGCCATGGGCGAAGCAATCCATTCGGCGCAAGTTGGGGCGGACGAGTGCGACGAACGTGAGAAATCTCATCGGGAGGCGTTGGCGTCTGTTCAGGAGCAGATTGATGTGGAGGTTCGCCGTACTGAAAGAGCATACAAGGCGCGTAAAGAACTAGGTGAGATATCTATGTCATTGGCTGCTTTTATTGACCTCCGTTCAGCTGCCGCTGTTCCCTCGGCGACTACGAAGGAGTTGCAAGGACGTGAGGTTCGTCCATATTCTCATCGCTTTTTGATGCTGATGATGACTCGTCAAATCTAGCCCAGCAACAGGAAGAAGAGGAACAAGGAGCATCTCGCCCAAGGCGGCATCCACGACGTCGCCCCAGAGTCGGCTGTCATTGGTTCTGGAGCATAGAAACCGCATTGTTAATTGTTATCTGTTGCAAATCGAGTCCATTTTCTGCGCATACAATCACATCGTATTGAACTAGGAAGACACTCATGCGCAATAGGAAACTTTTCTACTTTCGCGCTTGTGTACCAGTGAGGTAGACTGCCTGTATTCAGAATGGCTTACTCACTGCGAGCAACGTTGACGATGATGCCTCGTCGGCCTCCCTCAAAATCTCTTGAACTTTTTCTTCGATAGACGTGAAAACGGATAACAAAGACCAAGCCAAAAGCGTACCTTCATTGAATCTCTTGTGTATCATCTCTTCCACCGAGTCTAGCTTCTCAGTAAGCCTATCTTCATCCTGCTTCAGTTTCAGCGCCTCCTTAGTTTTCGCAGCTACTCTCCCGAGACCTTTCTGGATAAGATCCTGCTGTGTATGCGCTTATTTCTGGGTACATTCTGCGAATACGATGCCGATGTCTGTAATTTCCTTGATCTCGTGGAATAGGGCGCGGGCACCGTCAGGGTGAAGCTTTCCGTTGTTGGTGGCAGCCATGACGGGTAAGTAGAAGCAGCGGAAGGTTTACATAATGACTTCTTCTGGTCGTCTGCCAACGCTATGACGCGTGTCTTTTGTCATCATCCAGCTAGGGCTTTAACCCGAACCACCATCGCTACGCAGACTACCCTACATATCATCCATGGACTTCACTGCTGCTTCCAAGGCCCTCGTCCGACGATTTTCTACCAATCTCTTCCTCCTTGACGCTGATGCTGGTCGGAAAGAGGTATACAGAAGAGAGCTGGAGGCGGTCATGTCAAGATTGGCACGGGCGAAAGAGGTAGCAAGCAACGCGGAGGCAGATACACGTACTATGTTTCGCATTTTTCCCGCTTTTTCTCAATAGCTCATCAGCATACAGGCAAACTTGAACGACGTTTGAAGCGGTCGCGAAGCTACGCCGAATCCAGGTCCGCAAAGGAGAACAATTCAGGTGCAACTAGCTCTTCTCTGTTGTCGGATGGCGCTTATTCTTCTTCCAGGGATCGCGGTAGCGAGAAAGCGACAGAGATTTGACTCGAAACATGGCGAAGGCTCCAAAGGTATGTGCCACTGCGTTGCCAATCTCGCCTTTAATATAACAGTGCACAGTTCCAAGCGAGATTAAAAAACGACGTCGACAAGCTGTAGTCTTCTCTCCATCTGCCCTCGATAGGATGATCTCCAGCGTAAATGATAATGCTCTTTAGCTTCCTTTCACGTTCATGACTACGGCTGTATCCCACCTTCGCTTATAAATATATATCCAAACTGTGCAGAACTCGCCCCAGATTTTACTTAGGAACCATCCGTGGAAGCAAAATTGCCATCGGTTCCCAAGGGGGTATTCACCGCTTGATGATTTCAAATTGAGTGGATTAATGGTCCGTCTTTACGAGCGACTGTCACCTAGGATTACTACGTACTAAGTAGATTGAGTGCTCAGCAGTCGCCGCCAAAAAGCCACGTTTGATTTCGCTGTATTCTGTAACGTCGTATGTCTGACCTCGTTCAGGAATCACCCGCGGAAGCAAATCCCTACCTGTTCCCAAAGAGGCACTCACCGCTTATCGATTTCAAATTTATTTGATTAATGATTGTTGAACAAAAAGAAACACTCACCTTGAATTGTTCAACTTCTCTTGCTCGCCGATTTTATGATTCGATCTCTGTTTTTGATGTTAGCACCGCTTTTTCCGACCAGGCTACTAAGGACTTACTGAAGAGGGGAAGATCATCGCAGTGGAGAGACGGTCGTCTGCCTCGCATCCAATTCCTCGTGTGGCTTTCGCGCTGCCGGAATTGGAGAAGACACAAGCCGCCCTCCGAATCCTTCCGGACACGCTTCGAGACCGATGGGTCAGTCAACCAAGACATCATCCCCGTCGAGGTGAGCTCGCGAACCTCCACTGACCAGGATTATCAGTGGTTAGCAGCATCGACCCGCCATGTGCCAGCAGAACTAGCACACGGACGCCTCTACGACTGTCCTTATGAAGACAGGCTATCCTGTCTCCTTCGGATCAGCCGCTGCATTGCCCGGCAATTATGGGAGTATTCGTGGGATTTGCGTTCCCCGATGTGTTATTGAAATTGTGCGTCCCAATGTTCAGAGTTTTGATTTCGTGCTGGCTGACTGGAGTGATCTGAGACAGGCGAGATCGGGTAATGCAAGGCGGTGTGATTCCAACTAGGGTCAGTATTTATCAAGTAAGATGTACACCCGCGGAAATGAAGAGAAGGAGCTTTTGAATAACGGGGAGAAGTCTTGTACAGCTTTCAGTAATGCGGAAGTTCGAATGCACCGATAGAGAATGTTATTCCTTACCAACCGTTCCCCGGCATGAGTCCACTCCTGCGATACCATGAAAACCAGTAAATGCATTCCTGCTTATATGGATACGAGCAATGGAACCTCCCCCTTCTGGCGATACTGCTAGGGACCCTGTCCATTTTCAATTGGCTTGAACAAGGGTTTATTCACGTTAACAGACGCCAGCTCTATCTCGTCTGCATTTGGGGTACCTCCGTCTTCTTAGTTTGCCTTCCCTTTGCGGAATCCGACTTGTGAGATGAAGATTATTGAACAAGGCGGCAGGTATTTCGCGGAGGGTTTTCGATTCTGCTGACTGTTGGAAGGGTAAGATGGATTTCTGGTGCCTTTCCAGAGATGACGCCAACTTCCTTCATTTTACGCAACTGTAACGGATCCCGGGTGGCTACCTCGAGTAATACTGGCAGCGAGAACAAGGCAGCGGTCGTAAGTGAAAAGTCGGTTTGATTTTTCTCCATATTTCTCGGCCACATTCCATTTTACACAGGTTAGGACAAGCGTTTAGAGAAAACAAGGATGTCGGCCCGTGCCTCCGCATTTTCCAGACGCGATCACATGATGAACACACGCTTGGCAAACTGAAGTCAGTCTGACTTCCTGGGCCCAAACACCCTTCTTTTTCTTGTTCTCACATCCGCGTCAAATTTGAGGGATTTAGACCCTATCTGGCCTAAAATATCATGGGTACTGACACTGTACCGTTGTCGTACCCTGAAATACTGTGCTCCATCCTTTTCGGGATATGATGCTGAATTTGCCTCCTCGGATGGTTCCCAGAAAAACAAATTGATAAACGGTAGAGGAAATTTCAGGAGCTAGAAACATTGAAGTCGTCAGAGCATAAACACAAAAGGAGATTGTACGATCTCACCATTGAAGAAATTCCGTCGAGCAGAGGTAGACGGGAGACTATCTGCCTTCATAAGGATCTCTACCGTAGAAGTACTATCATCCACGCCCTTGTCCCACATCGATAAATTCTCTGCCACTTTCTCGCGACTGCAACATCTATAAGAGGAGTAGGCATCGACAGACAATGCAAAGAGAGACGAGCGCAGCTTGCACGTTCTCTATATTTGTTGTCCCATACTCAGACCCAACCTAGCTCCGTGACCGCTTAAAACGCTTGTCCATTCCGAATACAATTGGTCTCCCTCGCATGAATTCAAACGCGAAGATATATGGACATTCATCTGTTTTTGTATTCGTTTCAATGTCCGTGTCGATACTGTACAATTGCATACGCGCGCATAGAAACAGATCGATAGTCACCACTTTATAACAACACAGTTTCTCCAATCTGGAATCAATGCTATCTAACTCGGGAGCAACATTGTGGACGACGCCTTGGATGAGACACTTCTTGGCCCTTCAATTGCTGCATCATTAGCAGAAGAAAAAGGCGGTGAGAATAGACGAACCTGACGTCCTTGAAGCGCCTCGGCGGGCATCCTAGGAGTTGTATCGTCTGTATGGGAGTCAGCAACGAGCTAGATATGGAAGAGCAATCGTACCTTTACATAACAAGTCTGCTTTGTCCCTGCCGCAGACCTTCTCACAAGTCCACTTCTGAACAGATATAACAACTTAGTGAGTTTTCTCGTATCCATCGTACGTGCCCCCGACATGTGCCGAATGAATGGCCTGCCCACGGCCTTAAGGATTTTAGCATGGGTCTAGTCGACGCTGATATCCTTCCGGCGAAGCGATCTTCCTCTGCTTTCGAAGCCGCTGAAAAGAAATCGTGAGAAGCACAAAACGTGAATAAAGAAAGTAGCTCACGAAGTTATTCAGCTTCTTCGGTCGTTGCGTGCTTTGAGTTTGATGCCGAGGCTTCTGAAAAAATGGCATTTGAAGAGATAGATGTAGGGCATCAGCAAACGTACCTCCGGACAACTGCTCGTACTCATCGGTCTTGCGTTCCTTGCTTAAGACAAGCCGTAGCAGCTCTACAATACAAAGAAGGGACAAACATTCAGCATAGCTTTAGGCGAGATCGAGAGACAGCGGACCTTCCGAGGATTCACTACTAAACAGGGTAGGCTTCTTGCAGTACTCGTCCGGGATACGTTTTGGAAGGCGAAGGGCTGGGGAAAACAGGCCTCAAGAAAAGCGATAAGTGAAAGAGGAGAGGAGCGTTGACATACCGAGAAGGGCCACTTAAACCATGCCGTATGCATACATTTCTCGCTCAAGTCGTTCTTCATTGGCGAGTATCACATCCAGCTCTCCCATCTCGCATCGAAGAAAGGTGTCGAGTCCTCGATTTGCCCAACAACGGGTGTCAGATTTTCAGTGACGGTTCGAGGGGCGGACATGATGTTGGCGTAGTGAAGGTTTCGCAAAGAGTCATATAGAGATGATGGTGGTCTGTGGGAAAGAGGCAAATGAGACGAGTCGAAATTTTATAGCGATCACCTACCAGCTAAAAGTATAGGTCGCATCAGGAGAAAAGGAATACATGTCAGCCCGTTCAATACCGTGACACAGAAATGCGGACTTGGAGACAAGATATGCAGAAAAACGCGCATATATCCAGGTATACGATACAACATTGAACCAAAGAATAGATAGGACCGCTTTGCACTCGCAAAAATGCAGAGTCAAGTGCGGCAAAAGTCCTCTGTAGACGCGGCGGCAGGTGTTATAGAGAATGTTAAATTGAAAGTTTCTGTTTGAGCTTGAACGTCGTTGTTGGGCTGCTAGTCGATCTGGCGCCGTCAAACCAATATCGTTCGTAGAAAGAGAGCGCCAGACGTGTCTCGATGGTCGCCAAAGTCAGCATGACACCCATTGGCATGAGAGGGCAGAGCAAGAGGGAATTGGAACTCCGCCCAATTTGGCTCTTGACATCAACCAACACTGTGACAGACAGGTATTTTGTGTTTATTCTCACACTATCACCACCTGCCTCGCACAATGCCAGTTTCCCATCGGCAAATCGCACCCGACTACTTTCGTCTTCAGCGGTTATCTCTCGATTTGATCTTGGAGGTATGAATTCATCGTCGTCTGGGTCTAAAGTCGCGTCTAACGTGTCACAGATATTTGCTTGGTGCGCACCATTGGACCTCGTCATTCTTCGAAGTGTATCTAGGAACATCAAGACAATATTGGATCAGCACGGCAACCGCTGTTGGACTCGTGCAAGGAGTAATCTTCTGCGCCTGCCCACCGTACCATCTTCCCTGAACAGAAAATACAGCGAAATCTCCCTTATCAACTACTTCTTCTACTCTGGATGCAATAAGTGTCTTGTCAGTAGCCGCCTTATATCCTTACTTTGAAATCTCACAGCATACAGAGCTGCGGCCGTTCTGTCGATGATGCATTCCCCAGCTTGACGTACATGATATACCTATGCATAGATGTGAGCTGCTTCGGATTCATTGGCCAATGCTGATTGGAGATATAGGCGGGCTGTTACAGTCATTTCATGTCGTACGTCCTTCATGCATCATTATCCTCACTCTTACTCACCATCTTGCCTTTCAGCAATCGACAGGGATACTTGTTTTCATATAATCCACAAGAGAGGTCTTTTCACAAGTACAAACCCATTCTACAATTCCTATACTATGACCCGTCTACGGTAAAGAAGCTATACCTGGTGAGGCAAGCCAAGAGGGAACTCGCCTGGTATAAGCAAATCAGATCCTGGGGGGACGATCTCATGCTTCATCCGGTGCGAATGTTGACATATCGTTTGTTTTCGTTCACTGACAACAGCTTGATTTGATGACTGAGAGAAAAAGAACCCACCGTATTCTACAACAGGTATGTGCAACTTGATCTTAGATTCGTCGCTTAAACTGGTTTAGCATGCGAACAAGATGCAAAAATGGGCAGCGGAGTACGGTCGCGAACTCGTCGTCGTGAACAAGAAGAATCGTGCCTTGTATGTCTGTCTTTGCTTGATTTCTCGTGCTCATGGATTGTCCGTAGCTTAAAAACTGTCACTCAATCCAAGCGCCTCGATTATCTTACCACTCTTCGTACCCCCGCCATGCGTCGAACGTTGGAGGAATTCAATCGGCGTTTAACATGCCTTACACTAACGGGTACATTGTTTCTTCTAGTATGTAAGGTACTGTTGCTGAATTACCGGCAGTTTGGCGGGATATAATGACCCAAGTCGTTAAAGAATACCACGAGTTTCGTGCATCCAAATTGAATAAACGTACATCGCCGCAAGCAATTAACGAGACGCATTGACCACATCGTGAGTTCTTTCAATTACAATCAACTGATTCCGTTGTTTAACAATCCACTTCAGTACCTATCCTAATACTACCACCACCATTCTAGTTTAGTCTGCAGAATACGACATCTAACCTTCCTATTTGAGATTGTCTCAGATTGTTCCAGCCGTCTGCACCAAAATCAAAACTGTGAACGTGAGGTCGCAAGGAGGGAATCAATGTGGACCGCGTTACTTTGGCGGCCATCCTCCGGAATTGGTCACGTACCCTACATAGTGATGCGTGGGTGGCGCGGTGAGCTGCGCTGTTTCGGCCCGTAGTGAACCTGATCAAGTCATGTACGGGTCGGCCCCTATGTCCTGTCCTCTCGGATGAGTCCAGCTGCAGTAATGGATGATGAATCTCAGGGCAATGACCGGGATGTGTCCCTCGGGGTAACGAGATCCACACTTTTTGTTAGCCACGTGATTGAACAGTTTGAAGTTGCTACGGTATGATATCGTCTTCGACTTTTGTCCTGGTGATTGTTTTCGTAGCCGATATTGTGTGTTAGAAACTTGGTAAGTACTTAATGAGCCTAGCGGATGAGATAACTTACACATTTACTATAGGAAAAGTCTCGAATCAACGTCAAGGTAGTCTTACTTCCGTCCGAGTCCAGATCTGCTGAACCAAATGGTTCCAGTATTGAGTTCTTACGCTGCCTTTTTCGATTTGCGTTCTGACAACGTTGACGGTTCCAGCCTCACAAATTTATTAAAACCCTTGTCTCTAAACATCAATTTCGTTATCCCGCCAATCATCCGCGAGATAAAACCAGCATCACATCCTAAAAAGGCATTCAACGCTCGCGATTTTGAAATCCAGGACCAAATTCTCCCGACGCGTTTGACAGCTGCAGTGAGTAGTGCCTGTTGAGAACACGCTCGATTTCTTCCTATCCTATTCGTTCAACAAGCTAACTAATAGAAACAAGGCGGGATCTCCTTTGAAGATGCTGTTTGAGCAATATAGGCTTCCTATTTGAGATTGTGCCACCTCGCTCAGTCCAGGATAGCTCTGAGTCGATCACAATCGCCTTACGGATGTTGCCACGTCGAGTCGTATCTTCAGACGTTCAAATCCATTTAGCCCTAGCAAAAGGAAGGGCTAAATGGATTTGAACGTCTGACGCCTGCAGGTACGACTCGACGGAAGACACCGCCACGAAGAAAGATGTGACATAGACTATGCTGTGTACGGGACGGAAATTCCACTACCAACGAGCAAAATGAAAGTAGTCCCCGACGGCACGGACGAAGACATCCTGGTACACTGCACGGCGAATCCCCTGTTACCAGGTTCATCGTTGAGATGCAGCTCGTCTGAAAGCCGACCGGAAGCGAGGCTTCTAATCGAAATGTCGCATCTCACCGAAGCCAATGCGACACCCACGTATCCCATGGCCAACTAGGATATGCGACTTCCAAAGGATGGCCACCAAGCGGAGGCGGGCTACTGTTTCTAACCTAGGATCTCTGAGTCGGCACGTCAACAGTTACAGTTTTGATTTTTGGACAGTTTGAGTCTATCTGAGACAATCTCAGATCATCCCAGCCAGCTGTGAAAAAAAACTAAAACTGTGAAGGTGCAGACTCAGAGATATTGTATTAGAAACGGTGGCCTGCGTCCTCGTGGGAACCATCTTATGGAAGTCGTTGTATCCCAGGGCCAAATGGGATATGGGGGGTGTCGTATTGGTCCGCAAGTGATGACCTCCCCGTCGGCTTCCAGAGTCCTGCTCCTCGGCGATGAATCTAGCAACAGGTAATGATTCGTTCGAGCAGTGTACAGGGATGAATTCCTTTTGCCGACTAGGGTCACTTTTTATTCGTATTTCAGGACTTCAAAGCTCAGAGTAAAACCTGCTCATGGCCTAACGCTTTATGCGCAGTAACTTACGATGTCTTCTCTGGCCCGAAGACGTTGACTTCAACTCAGTCCGCTACAGGTTCCTTGGGTCACTACACCTTAGTGCTCAGCTCATATCAAGTACATAATCGGCATGCCTAGCAGTTAAAGCAATTCCGAAGGTAGACATAAAAGACCGATAAATTTGGGTCATAATCCACTGCACTTTGCGTCTTTGGCGGCCCTTTAAACTACGGATACCTCTCATTAGTTATAATGCTTCGTCATAACTCCGGCGACAACTTCCTCTTCAACTCTCTCGTCCCCGTCTACCTTCCTCGGCTGCGTCTTTCCATACGCTGCAGCTCTCCCCTTTCGCCACTCTTTCATGGTCGGCGCGTCCACATTCACAAACCGTCGACTCGGTGCCTTGGTGTCAACCAAAGGAAGGAGTTTGACGTTATCGTCTGGCATAGAGAAGTAGAATACTCCGAGGCGTTGGCACCCCCTCTGATCCATGGGAGGTTGAACGACACTGGTGGCAGGTCAATACTCAAATGTCAAGACACAGTCCATCGACGTACCGATGAATTGTGGAACGATAAACCTCCCCCGACAAAAACTCGAGTGCATCTCCAGCATTGATGACCTATTTCAGTTATCAGTAATGGTGTCATCTTACGGTATGTAGTATACTCACGAGCGCGTTCTCGATATGTTTTACCCATTTCCAATCTCCCGAGGTTGTAAGGATCTGCAATGCCGACACGGGCTGACTGTACAGGATGGTTATTGAACCAGAATCTACAGGCATCAGTTATATGTAACCGTAGTACAGCAAGACACGTACCGGTGTGCCCTTTAAGCCAAACATTCTTCGTCTTTTTGTTGTCCTCGGCTGAGTGTGTGTAGCTTATACCAGATGAGCGAACTTTGAGACGAATTATGGGACATTGGAGACGCAACTACTTCATAAACCTCACTAGTTGATATGTTGAACGATCCGTGGGGATTAAAAATATAGAACTCTTACAATATGTTTCCCCGACAGAGGAGTATCCGTGAATATCCACGAGGGCATTTTCTGGGAGACCTAAACCTAATGCGAGGAGTCTGTATTGTGAAATAAGAAAGACGGGCAATACGAAAATGCTAAAACCGACCGCAGTATAGGATGAAGAACATTGAAGTGGTTATGCTTTATAAATGCTTCGATCTCTTCGAGATACGGGCGTAGGCCTTTGGGGTGCTGTCGCATGGTGACATCTCGGTGAACTAAAAGATTTCAGATTAACATAACGCGAACCACTACCAACAAGTCTTACAGTTGTAATGCTCGATTTGATCTTTCACACCGTTGTCGATGTGCTATGAAAGTCAACTTTCCCAAGAGTCCAGACGTAAACATGGCTAGACATACCCAGTACTGCCGGAGTTTATACCCCTGGTAGGACCCTGTCTGTATGATTTTCGCCTCGTACTGCTGCTTTTCGCTATCACTGACATCAGTGAACGGAATATCAGCAATGTCAACTATTCGCTGGTTCTGCAGGACGGTGTAATCGGTGAGAGATAGAAATACATAGAAGTAACCACGTACCTCGGCAAGTGATAAACCATGCCCAACTACATAGAAAAATCCATGTTTCTGCATAGCTTCGCGCACTTCTTCGGGACGTGGGTTCTTGGATAGGTCAATTATCGGAAGGTCCGCATAGTCCACTGCAGGATGTAAGTACTTTTTATTAGTATATTTTGTACGTACATGACTCTTTCGTGACGGGCGGCGGAACGTAGTGTTTAACTTGAATGGTCATCGTGGTGGCACCTCGGAGGGATAAGAAAGCTCGTGAGATGAGGAAGGCGGCTTTAAGTAATCACAACACCGTGAGAGCGTGGAGCGTTCCGAAGGACCGCCAGAAAGGTTGGTACTCCCCGCACCTCGTGTTTCCTCCCCGAATCAATCCAGGAGCTCGTTTTGATTGTCCATATTCGAGCACCACACATCTTGTACGTGAAGCTCATATATGAAAGTTCAGAATGTTAGTGCTTCGAGTGACGCTGAATGGTCAAGCTTGGTGGTACTCGTAACCGTTCCCATTCGATCCAAAAATCGGACCTCCGCTAAGGATCTTCAAAAAGCCGTTTGGCACCATATGACGCATCACGCTCTTGCCATGACTCATGAGGTCGTCAACCACGGGTCACTGATATAGAACGGCAAGGGAACCAATAGACGGCATTGTTCAGTGGTATCTAGCATGAGAAAGCATGGTCATAAAGTGGAGACTCAGATAACGTACAGATAGTAAAATAAGGAAGAACACTCAAGAAAAGATGAAAACCAGCATCGAATTTCCACACTTACATGAACGAGATAGAAGAAGAGGCGGAGTGGCTATTCATAACATTGCTCCCATCCTTGGCTTCTTCCATCCTGACCCACAATCGACTCTGACAGGAAAAGTCAATCCGAGATTTTTCATACAAAGATCCCCCAAAAATTTACCTTGGCGAATATCGTGATGTTTATACCGAACATTATCTCTAAACGAGGAGAACAATTTCCCTGATAATGTCTGTGACGAGCTTTTGGATATAATGCATCATCGGCATGGCCATTTGTTCGTAAAAAGGAGCACTTACTATACCCCATTATATCTGGCTGCCGCGTATCTGAATCTTGTTGCGCTCTCTTGCCTTCTGGCCATCGAATTTTATTCTCGTTTGGCCCTATCCCAACAGCCAATCTTCAATGTGACGTCTTCAAACCTGAATCAGCCGATAAATCTTTACAAGACGTTCAGTGCCCTTCCATTCACAATTTTGCAAGTACGTACCTAGGCGGACTTGCTGCAGAATAAATCAAGAACCGAGTCAAAAGGCTATGCTTGTTCAGGCAGCTTCGAATAATGACCATTGATTTTGACTGTAATGAATGATATATAATTAGTTTTGTACCATAAAAGCATGCTCTAAAGACTCACTGCGACCACAGAGGCATTGACATTGCCGGTCCTTGTGTCTACATCTAATTCCAAAAAAGACTGGGACTGAGGGAAAACCAACGCTCGTTCTGCGACCTGTGCCACTTCAAGGTGATTTCCCTTGCCGTATTAGCTTTCAATTGCTACAGGAATATGGTCGCTGATTGAAACGCATGGAACGAAGATGGGAGCTGTTTAAGTACTAGTGTCAATGAAGTGGTAGGCCATCGCGAGGCGTGGCGTATCCGAGCCCTGTGTGAAGGGGGGGAAGTACTTGAGTAACAACATCCGGTAATATTGCAAATAACATGTTAAAGGTCGCAGCACATTCTCCACTGATATCAGAATAAATGAGAACAATCACAATTATAGGTAAAAATTGACAGAACAGGCGCACCCTTACGGCGCCTCGGAATCGTTGTATGTACCTTAGGCAAGTTACATTCAGAGGCCGAAAAAAAACGGCAGAAAAACGAGAACTGTCACGGGGAACAGCGGCTCTCCAAAGTAATCGTGTATATGCGAAAGAACAGACGTATATTAGATTGATAGACTGTACGACATGGGAGAATAAAAGAATGAAGGGAAAGAGCAAAAAATGAAATACATCACGAATTAGAAGAACCCCGAGATAATCCTTGAAATCATCGGAGACAAAGTGGACTGTTACGCGCTTGCCAAACGGCAACGTCCAAAGCTTCCCAGCGTAGGAATCACGGCGCTCTATAAGGTCATTAGACAATGGACCAATACATCAAGGTGAAATGCCTACCTCGAAGGAAATGGGGGTGCTCGTTGTTCAATGTTACATCTTCTGGGAAACCAACAACCGTGCAGGTAGCACCACGGCGGAGATAGTCACCATTGGGGTATTAGCCCAGATGATGTATCACAAGCGAGACCATTCATGAGCGCAGGAGTGACAACAAGCCAAATCCTCATCCACCGGTTGCAGCCTTGACATACCGATCCGGACCTCGTCACCAAGCAACTTGCAGAGTCTTTTATCGACACCGGAGTCAATGGTCGTATACTGGAAACCACGAAGACGGGCATAGTGCACAGCGAGGTGGTCGGGACCTTAACCAGCATTGAAGATGATATAGCTCCTTGAATTGATTTGGTTGCACTTGATGGCGCTGTAGACAGTGGCTACTGGCGCGGAGAATAGAAGTAATAACACGAGGAGTTGGGACGGGGTCAACATAGGAGACAACATATGGCGGGCCCGCTACCGTACAGTATATTCACTGAGCAAATTTCTTTCAATATGGAAAGGGAAAACAGGTTAGAAAACGCACCGAGTTCGCAGCCATTTCCGCCATCCTCACAGCTCAAGCAAGAGTCGGCGAGTGAAGGCCTCAGCCAACTTCTGAGTTCTAGCTCAAGTTCCAACCCACGGCGTCTGTCACCTCTCAGTTACTGAGCCTTCCTACCGAATTCCCAAAGTCCTATTGTGCCAAAGACAGGACACCGAGAACGACTACTACAGGGTACCTCAGGAAACCCTCGAGAATATCTGAAGGCTACTGCTGCGACAGAAAAAGAAGAAAAATCGGGGAGATCCTCGTCCAAATAACGAGATCATGCGGAAGACTGAAGACAAAATAGGGTTTACCGCCGGTTTCACTGGGTTCCCACGCCATGTTACCTGCCAGTTATCTGCCATGCCCATACTGGGCAGGTGGGCCCCACGCATTCAACAATTTATTTTGAGGTCGTTTCTTCATTGACCCTCATAAGTCTTGTATATATAAATTGAATATATTCATATAAACCATGCAGTAAAAATTTGTGGCTCAAAACGCGATGAGGATAACGCTATTCACTCAAGACGCAATTCCCCGCCAAAGTTATCTGCCATCAGCCCCTATAGTTATCTGCCATCATCCCGAGTTTCACCCGTGCGACTGTTCTTTCTCTACTCCTGTCGTGTATTCTGTCCCTAGTCATGTCGCTTAGTTGCTACTATCATAGTGACGCGTTTGTGTCAGTCTGGTATGTTCTTTTTGTGATATAATGTGGGTACACATGCTGAAAGAACTTCTTTTCATAAATAGCTCGCATTTTTCATTTTTCAAGCTCTGTCTCCTGCAGCATGGCATGTCCAAGCAGTGTGAAGGATGAACCAAGACCAGACAACGCTCCAAGGAGAGGATGGCCACCAAAGCCACGAGATATTCCATCCCAGGAGGAAAATGGTCAGTATGTCTCATTCCGGAGTTCAGATATTCTACTCACTGTATGCAACATCTGTAGACTTGGATGCCAATGACGAATACGAATTTGATGATGAGGAGTACTTGGAGGAGTTTTTGAGGAGGCTGGATAAGGCTGAAAGCAATGCCATAGCCAGTAAGTTGATTCTCCTTTCAATTTCGGAGTTTTTCCTGATTTTCTGGCTGCCTCTTAATGCAGAGCTCAAGCGATTGAAAGCAGAAGCAGACACCTGCAAGAAATGTCTTGTAGACCTGCAGGAGGCTGAGAATCATCCGCTTAGCTGTATGAACCATTCTTTTTCATTGCAACATGGGATACTCATATTTTCTATAGAACCATTCTCTAATCCACTTGCAGGACCCCTCTCTGATGGGGCGAGTGACGAGGATGAGCACTTGGACTCCCAAAATGAAGCTGAGACACCACACGTCAGTCGCAATACCGGGGATGAGCCAGCGGCGCAAAGACATAATGCAACTGACAAACCCATCAGGAAAAAATGACCTTTAGACATAGCGATAAGTAGCATCTGTATCTCCTATTGCAAATGCGAAAGGTCCCCTTTATGTAGCGATCGTAGCCACTCATTCGGACCTCTGTAGCACGTCATAGCAATAGATATTAATTGGGCACATGTACAATAGCCCTCTGTATTCATACATATAATGCTCATCCTACTACTATATTGATACAGTAGAGCTATTTCGAAGTATCGTTCATCACATTTCAGGGTATGGTGCAATACTATCATTCTATTGGAGTACGGGTAATTGTAAGTTATTACCAATTCATTCCGCTGCCTCCTCGGCTTCGCCTTCCGCTTGCGGTTCCTCATCAAGCGCCGCGGCCATTGCCTTCATTTCTTCATATGCCAGGTCCCTCGCAGAATCAGACAATTTGAGAGGTGCTGCTGGGGTCTGAAGGCCTGCTGCTCCCGCTTGTTTCCTGAACAAGATGTCAGATATGTACACAATGCTTCGTGATCAGTAATCACCTTGCTTTCGTATACCAGGCCTTCCGCAAGACTGTTGTCAAGTCCGGTGATATTTCTGCCCACTCCTTCACGGCAGGGAGATGGTGTTCGTGGTAGCGCACACTAGCCTCAGTTTCATTGAAGATCAGTGCCTTGTAGCTCCCGGTAGACCATTCATTTAAGCAGTGTTCAATCTGGCCAATCAAGATATCATTAGACGGTGAGATTGAGGCAAATGAACATCGAGGACTGACCACAGTGAAAATGAATGCCAAGGCTGGAATGGGAATCGGGTTAAAGCGATCAGGGAATGCGAGTCCCGGAGCATCTTTGTTGTAGAAAAAGGCACGACTGATGGCATCGAAGAGAATCGGACTATTAAAATAGCCTGTGCGTGTAGTAGCATCCTGAAATGTAAAACATGATTATGCTGCAGTGCAAACACTCTTCAGGTTTACACACCTTGTAGTAGAAGCCAAGCGCAGTCATGAGCTCTATACATTTTTGCTTGTTCTCTCGGACAGTGTTTTCAGATTCAGCGCCGGCAACAAACCCATATGCAGGGTGTATGAGTGGTTTGATCTGGTCCCTCACGAAGCTTCGAACACGCACACCACGCTTTCTTATCTAGAAGAAGCATCAGTAGAAGTATCTGAGTAAAAAATTTTGAATTACCAGTTTGAGCATTTCATCGCTAAGCTTGATTGGTTGTTCGTCGCTATCAAATCGGATGCGCCACTCCTCTTGGGCCCAACTCGACTGCATATCCTCATCTGGACACATGCTGATGGCCCCAAGACGTCCTTCATACCCACGCATAGCCTTGCGCAGCGCTGTCTTTGTCCAGCCTTCATAGTGACTGAGTTTATCTCCTTTTGATCCAGTAATCTGAGATGGTGGAAGAGGTGTAGCAGCGGGTGCAGAAGGATTGTTTGTCAGAGGTGTCGTAGAGCTGGTCAGAGGGTCTGAACCAACAGGGGGCAATGATGGTGGTGGTGCTGCTGGAGTCGCGGTCACGTCGTCGCTGTGTTGAGACTCTCCACCAGTAACTTGAGTGTGAGGAGGAGTAGTGAGTAGAGCACTATGAGAGGATGAAGATGGTGAGGCAGAGGGTAAACGGGGAGGAGAGGAATGATGATCGTGAGAAGTCATCATCGTCGATTCTCCATGGTAGCGAATATTGACCTCATCACCGTCAGGCACAAATGAGAGTCGAGGAATAGTTGCTGTTGGTCATGTGGCACCTTTGGCACGAATTCTTGGAGGCTCAGGAGACTGGGTACCTTTTGAACGTAGCTAAGAGTGAATATGAGTGTTATGAAAAGGTGCCAGAACAAGATAACAGCCTTACAGATGTCGGAAAAAAGTGAGATGAGGACTCTTCATCATCATCAGAGTCACTCCCATGGCCATTGAAATTGTCTTCGCTTTCGCTTTCTGGAGGTGATCGTCCATGAAGTCGTTGATAATCATCATAGTACTGCTGTTTGCGACGAGCCTCAGTACCTAGCAATGAAATTAGTACTGAGCATCTACCAATGAGTGACATACGGTTGGTATTATTGAGAAGGGCTTGCTGCTGTGCATTACTCCTTTGCGAACGGGCTAGCTGCTTTCTCAGTTGAGCGATCTCTGCATCCTTGCTGGCTTGATCTGTATCCAAGTCTTAGTTAGAGATCATTCAGACTAAAAGACGTACCATTTGCTGCCTGCTTCTCTGTGAGAGCACGGTTTTCCTTGCCCCGAGTGCGGTTGGGCAGCTGGACATTGCCACTGAGATCAGTCACGGCTTTGACGAGACTTCTTCAATGCAGACTGGCCATCTGTGGATGACCCGCCAGATGCATGGGACCGCTTGGTCATGGTGAAGAGCACGCAGATGGTGGTAGACAGATGAAAAGAGTCAAATGTCAAAATCTGAGACAGTCAACAAAAAAAAACGTGACCAGAACGCACGATCGGTCTCGCCATGGCAGGACTGGCCTCTGCATCTGCCCGCTCACTGTCATCATGTCTGGCAAAATCTTCAAATGTCCTGTTTGCAAGGATCAGTTCACCTCTCGCTCCAGCAGAGGCTTACGCTCGCACCTGTCAGCAACCTCATGTGGTCATATACTCGATGAGCGGAATGCTCCAGTCACTGGCAAAAGAAAGAAGCCACAGTCAGCTACAAAACAGGCTGAAGAGCATACCACATCACCATCTCTTTCAATTCCTGAGGAGCCTACCTTTCCGCCCGATCCACCCTCACCTGCATCTGATTTTGCACCATCAGAGATGGCCTCACCATCAAAGCGATGCCGAGTCACTATTGAAGACGTCGAGGATGAAGGTGATACCCCACCATCTTCTTGGAGTCATGACAGCCTTGTCTTTGTGGATTATCCCGATGCTGGCGCTGAGATTGAAGGTGCTGGAAAGGGTGAAACTACGTTTGAAAGAATTAAGAAAGAGAAGCAGAAGCAAGGAGAAGAGATGTGGGCGCCTTTTAAATCCTGTGAGGAATGGGAGCTTGCACGATGGCTGATGATGTCCGGGGTTAGCCAAGCAGATATAGACAGGTTCGCAAAGCTGGGAGTGGTATGATTTCAGCTTTTGATGTTAACAAAATTGCTTACCATGTAAAACCAGATCCGAGACAATGTCAAACCATCATTTAAGGACAAGCGCACCTTTCTGACTAAGATAGATGAGTTGCCATCTGCATTGGGTACTGAGTGGAAATGCGAGGAATTTGAACTAGTTGGAAATGTACTCGATAAGGATGGGACTCCCATCGTGCAGACCATCGAGTTGTGGAAGCGTGATCCACTTGCATGCATCAAGGAGCTCATGCAGGATCCCTGATTTGTGAAACATATGCGTTACGCACCGGAGAAGATGTATACGGATGAAGGGATGAAGAACCAGGTGTTTGATGAGATGGCGACAGGCAAATGGTGGTGGGCCATGCAGGTATGTATTCCTCATCAGCATGACCTATCGCAAGATCCTAATATTGGATGTAATCAGAGACTGTTGCCAAAGGGAGCAACCATCGCAGCGATCATCCTTTCGTCCGATAAAACCCAGCTCTCCACCTTTAGTGGCAACAAATCTGCCTGGCCGGTTTACCTTACCCTTGGCAACATCGATGCATCTGTCCGAAGGAAACCATCAGAACAAGCCACTATTCTGATAGGTTACATACCCGTATCAAAATTAGAGTGCTTTACCAAGGATCGTCGATCTGTAGAAGGATATCAGCTGTTCCATGACTGCATGCGGGCACTCCTAAAGCCTCTTGTCGAGGCTGGCCAGAATGGTGTCGAGATGCTTTGCAGTGATGGAAGGACACGGCTCGTGTTTCCTCTCCTTGCTGCCTATGTGGCCGATTATCCTGAGCAGTGTCTAATAGCCGGCTGTGGAGAGCGACGATGTCCGAAATGCACTGCTACCTCAAAGGAGCTGGGTGATCCATTGCACTCAGTACTACGCGACCCTGAGAAAACCATCGACGCACTCAAAGCAACACAGACAGGAAATAACATGGAATTCAAAAACCTCGGCCTACGCCCAATTACGCCCTTCTGGATGGACTTGCCACGATGTAACATCTTCCATTGTTTCACTCCTGACCTTCTACACCAGCTCCACAAGGGCGTCTTCAAAGATCACCTTGTCAAATGGTCGACGAAGGCTGCAGAGGCGACAAAGGCGGAGGTTGACCGTCGTTACATGGCTATGCCACGGCATCCTGACTTACGCCACTTCAAGAAGGGAATTTCACTTGTCACGCAGTGGACAGGAACGGAGTACAAGAATATGGAGAAAGTTTTCCTAGGCACGCTGGCGGGAACGGCAAAACCTGATGTCATCATTTGTGTTCGTGCTGTGCTTGATTTTATCTACTATTCCCACCTTGAACTACACACAGATGAGTCATTGAAGAAGCTTGAAGACTCATTACGCACCTTCCATGCCCACAAACACATATTCGTTGATGACGGCATTCGCGACCACTTCAATATCCCTAAAGTCCATTCAATGGTTCACTACTCTGCGATGATTCGGTCCCATGGCGTCACAGGAGGCTATAATACCGAGGCATCAGAGCGACTTCACATTGATTTTGCGAAACGAGCGTACCGAGCATCAAACCAGAAGGGATACATCCAGCAAATGACAAAGTGGTTGACCCGACAAGAGGCAGTGCAAAGGTTTACCCGATTCCTAGACTGGGCTCTAGAAGGTGCAGGTAGGGATGAAGTTGACGAGGTCGAGGATGATGTAGACGTGGCAGATGGTGATGAAGAAGCAACGGCGCAGGCTGAGATCAACATGGAGCTTACCAAGGACACTAATGGGGATCAGGTCACATCCCGTGTTAGCCTACAGCATGGCGAATCAACGTACACTATACCCAAAAGACCCTCCTTCACTGGCATCGATATAGCAACTTTGGAGAACCAGTACGGGACTCAGCAGTTTGTTCGCTGTCTGGAATTTTTTCTTCGTGACCGTGGCTTGCTCAAAGATGATTTCTGGGATGCTCGGCCAGCAAAATACCAGGTGTACAAGCGCTTCCGGATCTGTATACCCCCGGTTCCTGAAGTCTCGACAACTGTTACCCTGGATGTCATTCATGCATCGCCGCCTCACACAACGGGGACTAGGAGGAAAAAGTATGTGCCAGCTCAGTTTGATACAGTGCTGGCACGGCGAGACCTGCCATTGGATAAGAAACAGGACCTGGACTTGTTAGGAGTGAATGGTGTGTTCTAACTCTTCATCGCTTGCCTGTATTTAAATTCTTTGCAGGTCTTCATGTTGCACAAGTCCATGCTATTTTCAACCTTCCTGAGGAACTCGGCAGCTTCCCACATCCGCTAGCATACGTTGAATGGTTCACCCCTCTGCGGCGCGTCGATGAACACACGCAAATGTTCAGGGTGGAACGGTCTATGCGGAATCATCTTCGGAATGCATCCATTATTCCAATTACATATATCTCCCGCAGTTGTCATCTTATACCATACTCAGGACGTATTATGGACCCTACATGGACGAGCGAGAGTGCTATGGAAAAGTGCAAGTCCTTTCATCTCAATACGTACCTTAGACACATTGATTTTGTCTTACTACGCTTAAAATGCAAGATTTCCACAACATGATTACCACCGCACCAAAACCAACAGCTTTTCATTCGCAACGTCTACATGTCATGGTCTAGCACCATTATCAACCTCTACTCCTGACTCCTGATCCTGAACGTAGTCGGCATGCACAGCAACATCCTTATTACGATTTCACGCTTTATCTTATCTTATCACCTTCATCGTAATCCTGCTATGCTAGTTTTCCGGACTTGATCGCATTCGCCATGCGGGTCTCGCGTGTTTAACGCACCGTTGCAGACACTTGTAGTATATTTAGCACGACCCAAACTGTATTTAAGTAGCTCGACTGCAGGTCTTAAACCTCAGTCTCGAACTAAAGTTTATTCACCCGATAACTTAGTCTGAACTCACTCTCGCTCAACTAAGCGATAGCTCCCTTAACGCAAACCTGCGGACAACATAAAGCGCCTGACCGAAGTGCGAGTCATGCTTAGTTGTTTGATCTTGTTTGTTATATCGGTCGCTAACAATTAGTTCGAGACTTTCTTACTCCTCAACAACAACCACGTTGACGAGCAGTAACGAATGAACCCTATCGAACAATACCTCACAGACCTCTTTGGACTACAAGGCTTCGTTGCCATAGCCTATCTCGCGTTCCTGTATGGATACGAGTACCGACGAAACCAGGAGCCAGTCTCCGAAGAAACTATCCCCGTCGAAGCCCCCAACCCAGAGGATCGACGACCGCACACACCCCCTCCCAACTACGTCGACGACCGACCTGAACCCATTATCCACTTCATCTTCATCACAGACAACGAGTGGATCGCAGAAGACTCCGACTCAAGCGAGTCCAGTGAGTCCGACACCGAGATGGAAGGATGGCCCACACAAAGAGGCCCAGTCATTGAAGAAGAAGAAGAGCGAGGACTCTACGAACAAGGGGTGGACCAGCGTGTTCTCTCTCCCATTACCGAGGAAGAAGACGAAGGGGAAAATGAAGGAAGTGACCCCTGGGACGCCCCCTCCCCCACCTCGACAGAAAACTCAGCCGCCAACCCTGGGTATGATTCCGACGGACAGCGCCTCTATCAAAGAGGGCTTAGATATCGTCTGGGAGAAAGAGGAGAGGCTGAAGATGGAACTGGAAGCAGTTCAAATGAAGAAGGCAGAGATTCAGAGGAGGACTACGACAGCGACGAGCTCCCAGGGCTGCGCAACAACTGGTCCCCCCCACGGCTCGACTCCAGAGGAGAAACGTGGGGCTACTACTACACCCGCAACGACTCCTCAGACGACGAAGGTAGCTACCTCAACCTCGTCAACCGTCCAAACACCCCGATCATCGTCAACGATCGGGCCGGGGAGGCAACTACCGAGCTCGACAACTGCGGACCCACGTACGACGCCGACGCCAGCTGTGATATATGCAGACAGCTTCAGGACTACGCCGACGCATGGCTCATGTACGAAGGAATTGAGGCCCCTGCCTCCGTCGTCCCCTACGCCATCTATCCGCTCGCACCAGAACACCCCCACGCAGCGCCCGTTCCTTTCATCGCACCCTGGGTCTGGGACAGACCCCGAAGACCAGACTTCAATCAGGTCATACTCAGGGTCAACGAGTGGGCAAGAATCATACGAAACTGGAACCGCATCGTTACGGGAAGCACAGAGCCTTTCGAGCGAGTCCGACCTATCGGACTTAGAAGAAGGCGAAATTTACGAGAACCCTGGAATAGGGCGGACTTCGACTTATGGCAGCAGCATAGGGTCGGAGAATACGGAGAGGAGGATATCATCCCCGAATTCGTGGAAGGATCTAGCTCGGGAGCCTACTGAGGCCGAGCTAGAAAATATGACATATTTAGAAATGCTGCGATGGATCGAAAGGAAGCTACCACGAGAACTGTCTTGGAACAGTTCACCGCAAGGAAGGTATTTCCAAAAGGAAAAAACCTCCCAAATCGGGGCCCAGGTGATCTACCGGGAAACCGTCTTTCACACGAATGTTCTATGGAACCAAGTACACCCGGATGACTACACGGATCCCGGAGAACGATACCAGGTTCCAGCACCATCAGAAGCGTCCACTGGAAGCACGGTGGACTTAAGCCACTTATCCATCCTCCGAAGAACTGGGTACGTTGACCCTAGCCGATTATTCGCCGCCGCAGGAACACCAGGAAGTGCCGGCGCGGCAGCCACAGCCGTCCCTGCAGCTCCAGCCCCTGCGCCACCAGGCCCTTTAACCCCACATCATAACCCGGCACTACGATCACTACCGCGTCCGGCGGCAATCCCCATTCCAGCGGATCCTGTACAACCACCAAACACGCCGCCACCCTTCATCGTAGGGGTGGCAAACACGAACCCGTGGGGGCAAGTAAAACCGCAACTTGCGGATCCCCCCGAGAAGTTCAAGGGAGAATCCAGCGATGTGGACAGGTTCCTCAACCAATGTGAGGATTACTTCAACGTGTTCCCTCAACAGTTCACTATGAACACACACGGGCAAAACCCAAACCGAGTGGTGTTCTGTACGTTCCGATTTGCAGACAAAGCATTACACTGGTGGAACCACGCCCGAGATGAATACTACGACGAAACATGTGGATACCTGCGATATCCCGCATGGCATGTATTCAGGCAGATCATCGAAGAACAGTTCCGAACTGACGCGGAAGTAGAACTCAAGCTACAAGAGTTCAAACGCCTACGACAAAACACGTACAAATCGGCAAA